AAACTCTATAAAATTTCTATAGAATGTCTATTAATTTCTATAGAAGTTGCTATAAAACTTTATTTTCTATAAAAAAAAAAATAGAAATTTTATAAAAGTTAACTAAAATATAGAAATTCTATAGAATTCTATAGAATTTCTATAGGCCACATGTATCAAAAGTTTATTGAAAATTCTATAGAGCTTTTTTTCCTGGGTTGTTATCAAGGACTTGAAATGTTGACTAATCACTAAAGACAAGCCAAAATACAAACACGAATAAATAAATAAACAAAAAGACATGTCATAAAATTTGCCGAAAACGGAAGACAGCTTGTAGAATGACTATTTTCATCATATCCGAAAGATCACATCAATTGCCGAAGGATAATACAACAACGTACTGATTGTCTATTCATTTTAAATTTAATAATTTAAACTCTATAAGCAAAAATTATATTTATAGGTGTTTCACCCCATTAAAATTTATTTGGATATCTTTTTCCAGTCTTCTTCACCTCAAACTTTGTACTGGACTGCCCACTGTAAACAGCAAGCCTTTTGCTTCTCCTTTCTCATTTTGTGCGGTTAGCAAACAGTGTAGCCAGCCTATATAAAGTTGCGACATGAAACAGCTCACAGAAACCTTTTTGAAATAATGTTCAATCACATCCTGCAACTGTATGCTGGTAATTGTTGATTCTAACGGCGTTTGGACAAAAGAATTCTTTTGGAATGTGAAGTGATGATTTTTTTTCTGATGTGGAACGTTGTGGGGATGATGTTAGATCAAAACCTAGTATCAGCTTCATTTTGTAGAATGTCTTTTAACTCTGTCCTACATATTAACTGATTTCCCTCTGTGTCATAATCCTCAATTTTAATAAAGCCTTCACTTTCCCAATTTCAACCTTTTCTCTTCACGGACTTGGATCACTACTTTTTATCAAATCTACAAAAGTACATAAAAATTTGTATTGAATTAAAAAAAAACACACACACAAAAAAATAGAGTTTGACATGATATAACATTTATTATTTAAAATCAGAAGTTCTCATGTTTTATTTTTCATAAAATAAAAAAATAACGAAAGTAAAAGGTTATATATTATAGGTATAATTTTAACAACAATACGTTCCTCACCAACTTTTCATGAAATTATTCTCTAACTCTAAAAAATTTTCATACCAGCATTTTTTTAATATTTTTCTGAAATTAAATACTCTAACCAGAGATACTCTGTTAAATAAATTAAATTCATTATGACAAAAAATTACCGTGATTCTAATATTTTTCACACCACTTTATTTATAAAAATAAATACATATATATATATATATATATATATATTTATATATTTATATATATATATATATATATATATATATATATATATATATATATATATATATATATATATATATATATATATATATATTGCAAAATTTACACACACACCCTCATTTTGGCGGTCAGAAAATTTGCATGGTCATAAATTTTGTAATTTGCAATATTTTTCTACGAAATTTTAAATCTGTCAATAAATTTAAATTTAGTTTAAGATTGTAAATATGAAAGTTTTACTACATTAATAAAATTACATTTGGGCAGGAGGGGGGCAAGTGTTGAGGGATTTTTTATTTCCAGGCCTCCGCAATTTTAAATTTTGGCAAGGCCTCCTTATTAGGCATAGGTATAATCATACTTAAGTTTGGAGTTTGCACAATGTGTGAAAGTGTCCTATATGAAACATCAAAAAATCATGCGGGCGCCCATATATATATATATAAATAAATATATATATATATATATATATATATATATATATATATATATATATATATATATATATATATATATATATATATATATATAAATAAATATATATATATATATATATATATATATATATATATATATATATATATATATATATACATAATATATATATATAATATATATATATATATATATATACATATATATATATATATATATATATATATATATATATATATATATATATATATATATATATATATATATATATATATATATATATATATATATATATATAAATACATTTTTAGAATACCACTTTTTCAAAATGATTTACTTTTAAACTGAGATTCTAGGCTAAATATATAATGTATTATTACAATTGAATATGTTTTGTATCAATATTGATCACTATAATAATTCTAAACTATGTATCATAGATAATATTAGTAAATATAATTTGCTTCAATTCAATGATTCTCAAAAATTATTAAATAATATTATTCGCAATGTTTGGGATAAGAAATTTTATTAATGTTACATACATTTGTTACAAAGAATATTAATGTTACATGCATTTTTCAAATAATTTTATAAATTACAGGTACTTTTTATCTATAGATATAGTAGCATATATAAAAAATATTCGATCAGTTATGAGCAATTGTAAATTGAGGAAAAATAATGAGTAGTTTGATAATATTGTTGGTAAATTATTATATGCACTTGAAGTGACAATGTATAGTCAACTACTAACAAAGGAAGATGTTGTACGCCATGATTTTTATCTTACAAGATTCGATTTGAAATTAACTGGTAAAAAAGAAGTTGCACCTGTAGTTTGGGAAAAAGTTAATGTTTTTTTGGAAAATGGCAGGAATTTCAACAAAACAGAAGAAAGATATCGTTAGAATGATACTGCATCTGATTCATCTTAGAGAGAACTTGATTAAAAATGCAAAAAAAAAAGAAACAAATGTTATGCAGCTCAACTTCTGAGTTTTACTAATAAACTATCATCGTTGTTTGATATTGTAGCATCAAATGCAAAAAATTTCATTAGAAAAGATACCTCGCGTAGTATCATTAGTTAAATGTCCGATATAGGTTTACTTCCAGATCAGCGTCACTTAAAAAAGAAATTTTTGGGCCAAGAATTATGCTATGAATTTTGGACAAGAATTATGCTATGAAAGTTAAAAAAAAGGAGGAAAAAGAGAAACATAAAATTAAGGCTATTAAAAAGAAAAATTTAGTAAGGAAAACATAAAAGAAAAATGTTTCAATGTATTGGCAGCATTTGATAATAAAGACAAAATTCATAACTAAAATAAAGAAAATACTATTGCTAGACAGAAAAAAAAATCAAGATATTAGAAAACCCTAAAGTTTCTTTAATGACTGAAAGTTTAAATCTATCCAACAGAGAAAGATCTAGGATCATTTTAGCTGCAGCTGTAGCATTATGTCACAATTAGATGAAATATTTATCTCAAAAACCACACCGAACAAATCAGGTAATAAAATTCGACAAGTTTCAGATGATATTAAGAAAACATTAATTTCACTCATGTACTCTTTCATTCACTGGGGTTCAAAGCTGGTATCTGAGGTTGGTGGTAAAGTGGAACGTTTGGCTATTGTAGTAACACGAAAACCAAGTACACATAAAGTGAAATTGTTGTATGTATCCAGGATTCCTGATAGAACTGGGCGATGTCAGGCAACAGCTACCATAGATGCTGCAAAGGCATGGAAACTAAAAAAAATACTTATGGCAATGATTTTTGACAAATGGTTCTGCAAAGTTAATTGAAGAACACTTTAATAAAAAGTTACTTTGGTGCGCCTCTCAACATCATATTTTTAAAAGAGTTTTGTCTTCTATTTACTTAAAAGTTTTTGGAGAATGTAGATCTTCAAATTACAAGCCATTTAGACACTTTAAAAATGAGGTATGGCCTAAACTTTCATTAGCTTCAGATACTACTTTTAAAAAAATAAAAATCAAAGAACCAGTATTAAAGACCAAACAAGCTGATGTACTAACTTTTTTAACTGGTTTACTTAACCGGAAATCTCGAAAAATATTAAGAGACAATTATAGAGAATGTTGTTAACTTGCTTTGTAATTACTCAATCCAAAATTAATAAATGTACAGTGGCATAAAACTGGAACCTTCCATCATGCTAGATGGATGTGTACAATCTTGTACACATAAAAAATATTTGCTTTTGCTGACCTGGCATAATATGAAGAGAGTTTTATTGAGAAATTATCTAGGTTTTGTAAATTTACTTTACTATTGTATGTGAATATATGGCTTACGTGCACAAGCACAACTGATGCCCTATTTAATGACTTGGAATTCTAAAAAGAAATGGTTATTTATAAAAAAATTGACAATAATGTTGCTGTTGCTGCCCTGGAAACATTTAATTGACATCATTGGCGTTTAACCGAAAAAACGTCCCCTCTTTAATTTTTTTCTGATAATGTATCTCATCGTGATAAAACTAAAATTACTAAAACAATTCTGAAAAATATAAAAGAAAAATATAATAACTGTGAACATGATATAGGCTTTCCACAATTTCTTCCTCTGAAGCAGAGTACTTGTTTGACTGATTTAATTGGATTAAAATCAAGCAACATTCTAAATTTATTCGGATATTTAAATAAGGACGGTGGTTGGTTGGTAAAATTCCCAACGTTTTGTAAAGCTAACAAAAATTTTAAACACATGTTTGAACATATGAAACCACTGAAATCTGTAAACGATACAGCAGAACGAGGTGTTAAACTAATTTAAGACTATGCAACATCTATTAAGAAAGATGAAGAGCAGAAAGATTTCTACTGCACGTAAAAATTTCTTTTACGTGCAGTAGAACACCACCAAAAAGTTCTTCCTCATATAAATAAACAAGCAATTCAAAAACTTAAATTTTGAAAATATGCTCCAAACAATCTCTTTTTTATCATAGTTTTAAAATATTGTTATTTTGTTGTTATTATCTAAAAAAAATGAGGTTTTAAATTATATATACATATATATATATATATATATATATATATATATATATATATATATATATATATATATATATATATATATATATATATATATAAACTTTTACATTTTTATTTTTATTTTTTAGTATTACTTTAATTTTGTTTGTATACTTTTTAAGTGAATTTGGTACATATTTATATATAGTAATTTAAAAGTTTATTTAGGTAATGAGTTTTTGGTCACCAGCCTCACCCTGTACCCCAAAAAAAGAGAAACAACCGCACAATTTTAAAGAAGATGACAAGGACAAAGTTTTTGAAACAATAGAAGAATTAAGACTTCGATTGTTTAAACAATACGAAGAGGCCAAATTGCGCAAAACAAAATATATTTCATCAAATGAAAATTTATCTCAAGAAGAAGTGAGACAAAAAAGTTTGAACGGAACGCGTGTTACAAATCGAGCTCAAAACACAAATATATCGCATGATTCCAGCAGAACACGTGGTACTGCAGTAGCGTGTAATACAGAAACAAACAACCCTTTAAAAATGAAAAAAAAAATACGAGATAGGGAAAATGAAATCACTAGCAAAATAAGATTTGAAAAAGAGCTATCTCAAAAATTATCAAAATTTAGTGTAGCAAACCTTGAACTGTTCCAAACTGAAAAATGTGTTTTTTCAGATTTGTTACTAAAGGAATCAAACTTAAAGGATCAACATGATTCATTAAAAAAATCCCAGGACACATTAGCAAACCGAGTTGGAAAAGAACCTAAAGATAGTTCATTTATTAGTTTAGAAAACTCTGATGTTAATCCAGAATGTTCGGGTATTGAAAGCTCAAATGTTAACCCAGAAAGTTCTGATTTAATTTTGGAAAATGCACTTTTAAAATATAACGAGAATTTGGTAAGTAAACAAAAAATCTAAAAGGTATGAATAATAATTAATGATAAAAGGTAAGAATAGAGTTGCAATTTTTAAAATTTAGTTTCATAATTTATATTATTGATAATAAAACTGATAATTCATTAAAATATAAAACTATGGATTACTGTAGGAAGTTGGTATATACTTTTAAACTTTTAAATGACTAATCAAAAAAGGATTACATGTATTTGCAAAGCATCAGCAAACTTCGCGGACGCTTTTTTGTGAATAACAAGAAGAGCAATATAGAAATGTTTTTTTTTTTTCAATTATTTTGGGAAAACTGAACTTAGATTAAAAAAAATCACAATAGCTGTGTTAAATTTTTTAAAAGAAAAGTACAAATAAGTAAACATAATACCAATATATTTAATGGAAAAAAATAACAAATACAGATTTCGTTAAAAAATAAAGAACAAAAAATAAAGAACACAGACACTATGTGATCGAAAATATAATATTTAAAAAAAAGAACTATATTAAAAGCAAACAATAAAATCAGAATTTTTTAATTTAAATAATAAAATCTAATTTATTAACTTTCATTTTACATTAGAAAGTTTTTTTTCTTTCCTAAATTGAAATATTATTATTTTGTATTTAGTATCTGTGGTTTCTTTTTCGTGGTTTTATAGGTATAACTCTTCCCAGTGGGCACTGACGTAAGAAAGACGTCTTTTAAACGCCTTATACACGTTTTGGACGTGTATAAGGCGTTGTATAAGACGTGTTTATTAAGTCACGTTTTGGACGTCTTATACTTGTCCAAAACGTGACTTATACACGTTTTGGACGTGTATAAGACGTGTATAAGACGTGTTTATAAACGTCTTTTGAAAGTTCAAAAGACGTCTTTTTTGGTCCGGTGCCAACTGGGTTGTTGTCAATTTGTTTGTAAATTAGTTCTCGTGTTGTTGTTTTTTCACAATCTTTAGTTTTTATTATTATTTGGTATTTAGTAATAGAGGGATATGGTTGTGCTCAAACCTTTTAAGCAGTATTACAAGGTTATTTGAACAAGTCTTATATTGCAAGTGACAATAAAAAACAATCCAGTTGCTGATATTAAATTTAGAAACATCACAATGTCGCACATATACAAAATTTAAAAGCTTTGTAGATTTACAAGATACTCATAAAGTATAAATAAGTTTGACAAAAGTAATCTACATTATATAAAGTAAAAGCAGGTAGAATAACGGATAGAATAAAATAGCTATAAAAATGATTGTTCTTTTAGTTTTACTTATTTATTGAATAAGCATTTTGCAAATATTTTTTGATTGTGTTGTGGAGAATTTTTTTCTAAATAAGATGAGATAAAGTTTTAATACAAAGTAAATAATTTTTTCCAATGAGTGGTCAAATTTTCGGTCGCGTATGGGAAAGTTGGGTAGCTCCAGACGGCGGGTAACTGCGGACACTTGATGTTCAGTTTAAACTAAAGAAGCTAAGTAGGTTTAAATACTATAAAAATATATGATATGGCATATGCAAAATATCTATTTTAATATGGCAAAGCGATTGGCTGGGAGCGCAAGATATTATTTACCACTACCAAAGTTTATTTACTAAATATCTACCAAATATATATTTATCATCTTCTATTTTTTATGCTCAAAATTAATAAAAATATTATTCCAAAAACTTTTAATATGTTATTCAAAACAAATCAGAATAAATACTTAACTAGATGTTCAAATAACACCTATATACAAACCAAAAGTTATTTTTCGGAGTTTTCAATTTAAATTAGAGGACAAAAGACACGAAATAAAATACTCACAACTGAACTCAAAACTCTAACAATGTTTAATGAGTTTAAGGCTAAACTTAGACAGATATTTTTAAAGAAGGGTATACCACTTTTTATCGATTAAAGATTTTTATTTACAGTATTTATTAAAAAAAAAAAATTCGTATAATACCTTCATTCACTAATACTGTTAAACTTTTTCTAGTACTTTTAAACTTCACTTTAAAAACTATTATTTGTGAAACTATTCATTTTTATTTATATAAAATATTCACTTTTAAAACTTTGTGAAACTATTCACTTGTACTTTTAAATTTCACTTTTAAAACTAGTATTTGTGAACGTGGTATGATGTATCGGACACATGTTTGGTGGGTGGTTCCGGACAACTTAATCCATTTAAATATTGAAAATGAGCAACTTTTTTTATATAATTAATAATTTAATACAATACAAAAACTCATAATAGTAACTCATTTAATTGCAATACAAAGACCTAATATTTGAAAAAAGCGTTTTTAAAGTGTTTATTTTCATTAGTAAAAGGCTAATGTTTATATTTCTAAATGATGACATTTATATTCGCATTCCTTATACATCAGAGGCAATTTTTATTTAAAAATGTGTTGAGAACAGTCCGATGCTCACTAATTATATATTATATGTGTCACACGCGTAAAAAAGAGGTAAAATCAAGGTTAAACTATATGTCCAGGGCTACCTTCCAGTTTTGAAACATATCTTTTATCTAACATTTTTTCTTTTATATTTTGTATATTACAAAGGTACACAATAATTTTTTTTTTGTTTCTAATTTGATAGATAAATGTTTATATATTTAAAAAAGTCTTTATTTTCTGTTAGAACATGTGTATAATTTATTTTTCCTTAAGGACTACCCGACTTTCTCCTGTAAATTTTTTTTTTGAATAAATAGGCATCAAACTCTCGGAAATGAAATTTGCGTTGAACTTAAAACGCATCCACTGAACTCCTTGTATTAGTTTTTACACCGTTCAAGAATCGTTTTTCAATATTGCAACATGCTATTTCCGGTAAAAAGGTATGAGTTAAAAACGGAAACAGTAAATTATGGGGTTTAATTAAATAAGCCAACTGTTTGCTTGGAAATAGGGATTTATTAATTAATTATGTCTAAATTGACCAATGGATCTTTATAAATTTTTCATTTAACTTTTAAATTAAGTATTATCAAATTTATTTTAATATAAAATATGCCTCGAAAAAACTTGCATGCAAAAAAAAGAAACAACAACAAAAACATACACCAAAGACCATGTCGCGCTTACAGTGGAGAACTTTCACTCAACATTATCAAATCTTTATAAGCGTTTTAATGTATAAGGTGAAACAATTGGCAATGGTTCCAACACAAGGTTGCCGAAATACTTTGAATCGATTCTGGTAGATACACTCATCAAATAATCCGATTGGAGCTTTGGTAGAACTTGCAATAGCGTCATTAGTTTAGTTACCGACTATTTGTAACTTAAAGGTTAATCTCATCTGTTTTCTAACGGTACACCAAGGAAAGATTGGTACAAGCTTTTCATCAACCGGTGGAGTCATAAGTTAAGCATCAGAGCCGCTTCTTACAAAAAATAGAAGCGTAGTACTTGAACACACTTAAAATAAATTTTAATGATATGGCTTCTCTAGTGATCAAGGAAAGCAACACTTGATTATTCAATAATAGGTACTCATATTTTAGTCGTAGATGAACACTTGATACATATTTCTATCGGGTTGTACATATTTCTATCAATAACAATATCTTGTTAATTTGCTAACTAGCATAGGTCATTTGTAACATTCAGTAGCCACTAGATGTTGGTGTTTATTGCCGGGTCAAAAGAGTTTGACGCAAATTACTCAAAGTGTTTTATGAAGAGACAAAATTCAACAATTTGTTAAAAGAATTTTTCAGTAAACTGAAAGCAAAACTTTTTTACTCAGGTGAAGTTTTTACTCTCAGGCAAATAGTCACTGGATTTCAAAATACTGGTTTGTTTTCGCTCAACATCAAGAAAATCGATCAGTTTAAATTACATATTGTTAATACGTTTAAAACACTTTCATCGCAAAATGAGTTTTTGAAACACTTTCTTCTCAACCACAGATTGACTTTGATGGTGAGCAGCAGATAAATCAATTAACAACAACGACGCCTACAACAACAGCAGCAGCAAACCAAGTTAAGTGTAAAAGGTACTGTAAGGTTTTGAGCGAAGCTTCGGCAAGTCAAAAAAGTGAATGGCATCAGTACAAAAATTCAAATTACAAGGTTTAACTTTGTCAAACATGCATTTCAAAGCAATATGTAAAAGGCATCGAGTATTATTGCACCAAAAAGTGCAGCACGAGTAACAACTCAACTCCAGACAAAAAAAAAACTAATTTTTTTTTTCCCGTAATAAATAAAATGAATTAAAACTCTTAAGGTGGTACTACCCTATTGAAAACATCAAAGAACAAAAAAAAAGTTTTTTTTCAAATTCTAACAGTTTGAACATCTTGGATCACGAGTATATCTTTTTTTTCCTTTAAAAATCAATATAAAGTACTTAAATTAGTATTTAAAGGCAACAAGGTAATTTTCGAATCCCTAGCAACGGCCTTAGCAACCATGTCTGTTTATATATTTGCCCTATTTTCACAATTTTTTCATTGGTATTGTGAAAAGGTTATTTTGACACAGAACATAATATTAAGGGAGGTTAATCAAATTTTTGGGGCCAGTTTGTATGTTTTTTAATTAGAGATTTTTTTAGTTTATGATATTTTTTATTGTAAAAGCTTTTTTTTGTTTTTCTCAGAATAATATTTTTCAAATATTTTTAAACTAAAATATTTATATCTCAGAAACTGTTTACTCTTTTTCCTTGCAATTTTCACATTTTGTTCATTGATGTTGTAGAAAGGGCTGGTAGTAGAATAATCAAAAAATACTTTTTACTTAGACCAAAATTTAAAATTTTACATACCCCACAGATCACTTTTTATGATTTTTACAGGCTAATATCTGCCATTTTTACAGGCTAATATCTGCCATTTTACTTTGGCTCTGTATTCTTAAAAAATTCTACTAGGGGCCTTTCACCAACCATTTAGCTATGTGTTTGTAAAATTTAAAACTTTTATCTTAAGTATTACTCTAGCTATTTATGTTCTTGTGACTGCATATTTTTTGCTTTTTTTTTGCTGACTCAGCATTTTTTTGTGACAAATAAGTAAAAAGTTATATTTTTTATATTCAGTTTTTAAACAACTATTCAAAAATGTTTATTATTTTAAGAAAAATATCATATTTTGAAAAATAAAAAAATGTAGGGTAGTACCACCTTAACTATTTCATTTGACCCGCTTTTAATCTAAATGTTATAGATTTTCACGACTCGCTCTTGATAATTTTGGTCAAAAACTATTATTAATATTTTTTGTTTTACTTTTTTTTTAAACATATTTTGCCGTTGAATAGACATTATAATCTAGATAAATTGCAAGTTAATGTCCAGAGTAAAATGACATTAAAAAGTTATATGTCTTATCGCCAAACACCGTCTTACAATTTATAATTTTTTACAAGAATATACAATTTAAAACTGGGAATTAAATAGATGTTTACAAAAATATAAAGTATAGAATAAGATCATATGAATTGATAGATAATACCATTTATAAAACAAAAAACAAACAAATAAAAAAAATGGGAAAATATGATTACTGATAATGATTGTTTTAATAATTTATTAATTTTTTTTTTAATATACAGGGTAATTTAATTTACAGTGTAAAGTAAAATAACTACATTCTTTTTTGATTTTTGATTGATTTTATCTTATTGTTCTATTTTAAAAGAAACACTTATATGAAAACTCATCAAAACATCTGTGTAACAAACACCGTTTTAATTCAGTTTCAAACTTATTAAGAGAAAATTTTTTATCAGTAACAATGTTTAAAAAGCTTTTCTCAAAAATGCTTTCCAATTATCAATTGAATAAGAATCGCAAATTGAATAACAAAGTTTTGAATAATAATTAGGAACAACAAAGGGGTTAATGGTGTATTTCTTTAAAATAAGTTTCAAAGATTTGGGGGACAGTCCATATTTTATTTTATACATAAACTGTAAAACAAAATTAAGAGTTTCAAGGCTTAATGCCAGCTCTAGCTACATTTGTAATATTGTAAGGAAGGAGTTGAGATGTTTGTAGTTGCATGCTTGTCCGCTGTGGTTAGTGATAAGACCGTAAAGACATTTTGGACTTACGGTCTTATCACTTACAAACACACAAAAGATCTATCTATGTTAGTTTCAGCGTCATTTATTACTTCTCATGTCATTTTCTTTTTATAAAATTGATCTTAAGTTGTTTTTTTTTTATTGTTCAGCGTCAACGAAGTGGTGGTGGCTGGGTAGACACAATCACCAATTTAAAAAAAAAATCCTCTAGAAATTTCTAATAAAAAAAAGGGGCCCGTGCCCCTGGACCCTGGTGTTGAATAAGATTATCAGAAAGATTATTAGATGAATAAACTACACCGGACCAAAAATGGAACCTTGTAAAAGATCAGAAGTTACTGGAAACCAATAAGAATGTTATTCACCAAAGGCAACCTTAACAATTCGATTATAAGCATTTGATTATAAGCAACGTAAAGCCCAAACTTAAATATCTATTTGGTGGACCATTAGGCACACACTTCTTTTTTGCTAGAAAAAAAAAATGTCAACTTAATTAATATTAATTTGTATTATCATTAATTCATTGTTCATTTTTTCATATCTCTTTTAGTAATCATTAATGAATATATTTATAATAACGCCTAAAATATTGTTTACATAAAATATGTTATGCATTTATGTATATTATATACATGGCTAACTTTCTTTAATTGTAACAAACATTTGCTTTTATATTGAAAACTTTTTTTGCTATTCTGATTGCTCTCACAAAAGAACCAAATCCACCATTGGATAAAATACATTTATGCGGTAACATTATCGAGCATTTGTAAAACTCTCGGTGGGTATCTTAATGGAGCACTAAGTGATTTCATTATAATTTCTATTTTTTCTGCTAACATATTGATTCAAAGTTCATCTTAATGATTAAGGAGATTCTTAAAGGCACACTTAACATTTGAAATCAACTGTAATGCATAAACAAGGTCTTAGTTGGGAGTTTGAAGTGTAAATGATAATAGTTAGAATAAACAAAAAACTTTGAGAAATACTAAGAGTAAAGCAACAGAACTTGGTTTGGTGATTTTATGATACAAATTGATTGTGTTACTAAATGATTCACCATTATTCAATCGAATTTAAGGCAAAAATTTAGTAAAAGAATTTACAAAATCCTTTTAAACTTAATGTATATAATGCCTCTTTTTTCTAAAATATAAAATAAAAAATAAAAGATGGTGCTCTTTTACATCTGTAGATATTGAACTGATGAAATAAATCCATTCTTTTTGCGCTTTACTTTTATTTATAAAATGCATCAAAAAATGAACATAATCTTAAGGTGTTTCATGAACATAAACAGTTGCTCTAACTTCTTTGCTGCTCATGACACAAGCTCCACCGTATAATTGACTTACCATATGTTAAAGTTTCAATTTTTCAACAATTTTTCAATATACGTTATTCCATAGATATCTTTAGCCAAGTGTAACTTATTCACTAACAGAAAGATTGGCTGCTTCATTTACACTTATAGGGTAAAATTATTCCTGAAGAACTCTTTTCAAAATTTGTTTCCGTATAAATTTATCTGCAAATTCAACTATTTCATTTTGGTTTGATTGTGTAAAAAGCATTTTTGCTAGATGAATAAAGTTTTGATAAAAATTGACCGCAATGTCATCGTATTCTTAGTATTGCATTTAAACTTTTACCCATTTTAGTTGGATCAACAGTAGTTAAGCAGCCTTCATTAAAATATCCGGAGAAAAAGATATTCTCCTGAGTTATAATCCTCTTATCTAAGTTTAGTCCCACAGAAAAGTCAGTTTTATTTTGTAGTCGTTGACAAAGAAATTCATAATAGCTTAACAGAACAATAAGTTGTACAAGTTGTGCAATAATTCTTGCAACAATTTTGCAATAAGTTGTACAAGTTGTTCAATAATCCGTCTTTGCAACAATTTTATTAATTATTTTGAAACAAAAGATCCTGTTTTCTTTCTTTTTTGTTGCCTACCAAACACATTTACTAAAAACAACGAGCAAGCGATACACCAAGCTTAATAACTTTGAACTTGTGAAATTCTTAACCATTGAAATACAGTCAAATGGTGACAAGAAAAAGTAAATTTTTGTAGCTTTTATGTGTTTGATGGTATTTTCGATTCATTTATAGCCGCAGATTGATTATTGAGGGTTTCTCATAGTAATATTTTACAAGTGAGATGGAAGTAAGCATGTCCAATGTCGATAGGATGTGCGTTACTTTGACAATGAAGTTAAAAGAAAAAAGAAACTATAAATAATAAGATTAGAAGCAAAAATAAACTATAAACTTTAAAGTTATAAGAGGAAGTCACAACAAACTATCTAAATTAGCACTTAATACAAATGTAATGAAGCTTGCTTGCATATGTTAGGATTCTCAAACCAAAAAAGATTGATTAACCTTCAATGCAATTGATTAATTAATTAGTTTTTAAATAATTAATAGTTAAAAACTAATACAATTTATTTTAAATTAACTAATAAAAGTAGTTGAATAAATTAAAAAAAAAATTTTAATTGTGATGTTTTCTTAAATTTTGATGATTGATGTTCTCAAATTAGTAAAAACAGAGAGCTAATTTTTCAAACACATTTTTTTCAACTTTTTGCATATTTTTACAAAAATAAAAACAACTAAGTTTACATTTAAAAATACATATAGAAGTTTTTGTATAGAGTAGGGAAAAACATTAATACTTGATTCTGCGATAAGTAAAATTTAAAATTTTTAATTTAAATGTCACTATATTATTCCTATTGTATGCATCAATATCTCCAGCAATGTCAACTGAAATCCAAATGAAAAACGTACATCCATTCTTAATTGAGAAATGGATAATATCATATTTTCCTAACTTGTCTATACTTTACATAATCGACTTGAATTTTCTTTTTACATCAGCTTATGGTAAGAAAAGTTAGAGTCGGCAAGGGTTATCAAAAGTTATCAGTGATCAACAATGACAAAATAATGTCTTTCTAGGTTGGCATCTATTTTAATTGAACGTGAGATTGCTGAGAGCATTGACTTTGAAATTATTATTTTTCTTCAGCCCAGCGGACACAGACGTAAGAGGTCTATACAACATCTTAGAGTCGTCGCAGGTTCGTACGATGTTCTTAAGATTTCCAACAAACGTCCTGTACCCACTAAAAATAAAATTCCTGAAAAAAATATTTATAAAAATTAGCGGGAAATTAAATTTCTTTTTTAAGGCTTGCTTTTAGTAATATGTTTAGTTTAAATATATTTTTAAATAACCGAACCATTGCGATAATATGTTAACCAAAATAAACTCAATTTGAATTTAGTTTACTCAAGTAAACTAAATTCAAATTGTTTAGTTTCTTAGACTTACTTAATATTTATGATAAAAGATACATTAAAGTATCAATAAAATATAGTATACTGCACTATAGAAAAAAAAAACATTAAAAATCTGAGAAAATCAAAAGTTGCACAAATAAATAGCACAGAAAAGGGTTCATATAAATAAAAAACAGAATTCGAAAACAAATAAGTAGACAAAAAATTAAAGACCAATAAAACAAATCAATATCAAGTTCATAAATATTCAAGTTCAAATAATTGCAGTTCTTACCAATGGCGTTTGGCGTCAATGGCGTCAGGCGTTTGGAAAAGCTTTACCAAAAATAATGAGATCACTGCCAAAATCTCCGACTAAACGTGATCACTGCTAATCTCCGACTAAACGTAAAGTAGTTGTTCAAAGTTTGGTAGGTTATAATTTGAAAAATAAAATTAAAAAAGAAAAGAAGTTATCAAGTGATATTAACGAAAAGAATAAGTTAGTAATTGGTTTTTATTATTGAACAGACGTTGCTTTCACAATTCCCGGTCTAAAAGATGAAATAACAGTGTGGAAAAATGGAAAGAAAAAGAAGCTGAGAAAAACCTTTTTGACAATGTATTTGAAAGAGGCTCAGTTTATTTTTCAATCAACCTATGGAAAAATAATGCCTTTCTCTAAGTTTTTTAAACTGAAGCCTAAAAATATACTTCTTTTAGAAGAAACACCTGCTAATTAATGTAAGTGCAAACTGCATGAGAACATTTGCTTATTACTTAAAGCATTATGCATCAACCATACTTTTTCATGGTGGTTAGATAAACTCTGTTGGTCAGAGTCACATAACTCATCTTGTTGACTAGACAACTCTCTGCTATGCAAAAACAAAATTAATAAATCCCTAAAAAATGTAAACATAGCAGTGAAGGTTATATGACAGCTGCGGATCAAAGAAGAATCTGGACGCATTCATGTTAAATTAAAAAAATGGGTGCAAAGGAGAAGTAATAGAGGAATAACTGTTTACTTTATCTAAATTTAAAGAACATGTTCGTATAAAATGAAGACAAGAAGAAAAATCTGAAAAAGACAAGCGGGTTGCAGGAAAAAGGATTCTTCAAATTTTGCAATCGCATTAATCAGTTGATTACTTATTTATTTCACCTTCATCATCATTCATTTCATCTTTATCATCATTCGTTTAATTTATTTCATCTACATCATTGTCTTTTTAAATAATTTTTCTTTAATAATTTTAAATTTAATTTTTTTTTTTTTTTTTTTTAATTTACAATGTTAGTCGTGTTACAAAATTTATAAGTCGTAATACATAAACATAAGTTGTAATACATTTAAGTCGTACTAACAATATAAAACTAGGTTTTCGAAAGAAAATCATAAGGATCTTATCATCGGAACCTTAAAATGTAAAAATATTTATTTATAACATATATATATATAGAGAGAGAGAGCAAATTTAACGTATTTACATTATGCAAAATACAACACATTTTAATATATTTAATATAATGTATTTAATGTATTTATAAGTGAAATGTATTTGTTAAATCTTCAACTTATATATAATATAAGTTGAAGATTTAACAAATACATTTCACATACACTTTTAATAGAATTTTAGAATGTTTTCCAGAGAGAATGAATTTTTTTAACTTAATTTTAAAAACAGGAAGAGTAATAGAAGGATCAAAATTTGGTAATACTATTTTATTCCAAAGATGGGGTGCACGATATGCAATACAAAATTTATGGAACTTAATTCTACAAAAAGGTTCATTTAAAAAACTATTATTTCTTAATGTGTATTTATTTATTGGTTTTAAAGAAAAAAGGTCGTTAAAAACAAATAAAGATAAATCGTTTTTCCATATAAAAGTAAAACATAAGACATTAAATATGTTCAGTTTATAAACATCTAGAATCTTCATATAATCAAAAAAATATTTTGAATGTGAAAAGCGATCCGCATAATTAACTACGCGGATTACATGTTTCTGACGGCGATAAAGATGTTGTAATTTACTTTTATCCGTACTTCCCCAGGCGATGATTGAATAATTTATATAGTTATGTATAAATGAATAATAGAGTTGGGTTAAGTTTTTTTTGTTTAGATAATTTCGGGCTTTGTATAAAATGCCAATATTTTTGGAAATCTTTGTGCTTATATATGATCAATATGTTTTCTCCAAGTAATATTCTCATCAAGGTAAACACCTAAGAATTTTATAACTGTATCTCTTTTTATTATCTTTTCATCAATATAAATTTGAGGCATATTACTTGGTAAAAACGTTTTTTTGCGCAGGAGTGAAAGATAATATATTTTGTTTTGTTTATATTAAAATTAATTTATTAGCTTTGAACCAATTAGAAATGTGATTTAATTCTTTGTTTGTAGTTGAAAATAGTTCATAAATATCAGTATGGGATTAGAAAAGATTAGTATCATCAGCGAACATTATACTTTTCAATTTGGAAGCTTCGTTTAAGTCGTTTACATAGATTAAAAATAGTAGTGGTTCGAGAATAGAACCTTGTGGAACACCACAGGTTATGCTCAGAGGTTCACTTTGCTGACCATTATTACTATAAACAAGTTGTTTTCGATTTGTTAAATAGCTTTCAAACCATTTTAAGATTCTATTGTTTAAACCATAATGTTTAATTTTTTGGATTAAAATGTGATGATCGACCGTATCAAAAGCTTTTGATAGGTCAATAAAAACACTTAGTGTATATTGAGATTTTTCAAAAGATTCAGAGATGTTATGTATAAATTGAATAATGGCATGTTCAGTTGAACTCCCTTTTCTGAAACCATACTGATTGTTATGAAGTAAGTTGTTGTAATTAAAATAATTGTATACCCTATTGAAGATAATTCTTTCTAAAATTTTAGAAAATATAGAAAGAACAGAGATAGCACGATAATTTCTGATATTGGATCTGTCGCCTTCTTTATGGATAGGGGTAACCCTGGCAAGTAAATAATAAAAAATCGAATAAATACAAAGTTTAAATATAATAAAACAAAAATAAATTTAACTATTTCAATGGGTTGAATTTCTATATCATATTCAAAAACTTTAAAATTATTTTTAACATTACGTTCAATGTAATCTTTTACATATATATTCAAAACCCTTTTGTCTCTTGGTTATATCCAAGCGGGCATAAGACCTAAGTTTAGATGTCTAAAAACTTTTAATACGTTTTAATACATTATTTTAAGACGTATCACAGTGTATCGCTTCATACAAGCTTGGTGGACAAAAGTCATATCAAGAAGTCGACTAATTGATAATATTTTCACAATAACACCCCTATATTAGAAATAACTTGCAGTGTTAATTATGAAAAACACTCTAGTGCAATGAGCCATAAGCAATTAAAAAGGCGTTTAAATGTTATTTCATTTTTGAAAAAAATTAGTTAAAAATTTACAATGGTTGCATTAACATTTAAGAAGAATTAAAGTAAGCAATAATTTTAATGTAGCAATGGATTTTACTTTTGAGGGTAAGTACTATTTAACTATATTAATTATTTTATTTTTAGGCAATACGTGTTAAAAGATGGTTTTAAAAGCTGCGTTAAAATTGTAAAATATTATTTGGTTTTTTTTTCATGAATGGCTCCAAAATTCGCAATAAAATGGTCTGCAGCACATATGATAATGGACCGCTTTTTAAATAAAAATAAAATTTGGTTAGAGGGGGAAAATGTAGAATTTAAATTAAGTATATACCAGTAATGTACTTTTTCATCATCTGGAGAAATTCTAGGATGAACAAAAAAAAACTTTGAAGGCTCGTTCTTTAAAACCAAAAAACGAAGAGTTGAAAACTTAGTAAAATCACAAAGTGCAACTGAGTTGACGACAGCTGCTGAAATAGCATGCCGTGTGTTGGGGCACAGAAACCAAGCTACATTAATCAGAAAAAGTCTGGAATCATCAGAAAAAATTAAATAAAAAGACTTTATTTGTGGTGGCAGGCAGTTAAATTGTGACGAGGCATTAGCTTATTACATTGACTCTAAATGTACGATTCATTCTTATAAACAGACGAGAAAGTGGTCTTTAAAGGCAGGGCATATATTATTTCCATCTTATTATAGTCTATGCAAGTCGAAAAAGTTATGTTATCTATTAGATTAACATATTTCTGTTACAGAAACACGTACCGAAATTAGCCTACAAGCTATACTTCATAAAACTACCCAAAGCCCAATGCGATGTTCTAATTAGCAAATGGGGATGTGATGGGAGCTCCGGTCACAGTACATACCAACAGAGATTTAAAAATTCTGATGCTACTAATGAGTTTCTGTTTGTATTTTTATTTGTTCCGTTGAGATTGAGTGGCGGTCAAAATATTATTTGGCGAAATCCACGACCTTCATCCATGCTTTATTGCCGACCAATTAAATTTATTTTTTCAAAAGAAACAAATCTTTTAACTACAACAGAAACTAACGAAGTTTTAAAAGAAGTTTCTCAACTTGTTCCAACATCTATAAGACTCAACGAATCTCAAATTACTGTTAAACACGACATAATACTATTAATGATAGTATTATGTTATATATATTCAATCTCATTAAAAATTTCAGCATTTTATTAAGAACACTTTCCTCTGGCTATGATATTAACTATTATGAATTTGAAAAGCTTTGTTCTGAAACCAAAACTCTTTATATTAATCTGTATTCGTTGTACTATATACCTATTATTGTACACAAAATACTTGTACATAGCACGGAAGTTATAAAAACATGCCTTCTTCCAATAGGACAACTATCAGAAGAGTCTCAAGAAGCCTGCAATAAAGATTTTTGTCGATTTCGCGAACACCATACAAGAAAAACCTCACGTATTTGCACAAATATAGATTTGCTCAATATGCTTTTAGTAACATCAGATCCTGTCATCAACTCACAGAGAATTGTCAAGTAAGAAAACTGGTAAACTACCGTTGGAAGTTTTGAATATAATTATCCCACCTATAATACCACCACAGCTTGTTGAAAATAGAATTATGTGCGACGATGAAAATTATTTAGAGTCCGATTCATCGGGTAGTGAAAATAACAATGATTCATCCGATAATACTTAATTATAATTAAAGTAATTTTTTATTTTACGTAGTGTAGTGAGTATATTTTTATATTTTGTATATTTGTAGTGAGTATATTTTTTTATTTTAGGCAAAAAATTTTTACATTATTTATGTTTTGAAACTTAGTATTTATTTTTCTTACTTGATTATCTTTTTCAAGACAAAAAATTTTTAAAAAGTTAAAAGCAATTAAAATATCGCCTTTTTTACAATCAAATTAAAAAAAAAAATACTTTTTATAGTAAAATGACTTTTTGGCGTTCCTTTAAGCTTAAACGCGCGGGGTAATTGCTCCCCTGCCTCCCCCAGGTTACCATACTGCATAACTAATCAATAAAACACCAAAATATTGTTAACTACATTCTTAGAAATGAAGTTATAAAACAAAATATTTTTGTCCACCTAGCTTGTATGAAGCGATACACTGTGCGTATATATACTAGGATATTGGTTTCTAATAAAAATGTTTCGCAATTCAGGTGATAAGTACGTAAAGCTCCAGGTTTTTGTTACGAAAATAATTCTAAACTATTTTCAGTTTTTCTTTTAACTATATATATTTCAGGGCCAACAACACCGGGGGGCCAGGGAACACATGCCGCCCCCTATCTTCTTTTCTACAGAACCTTTTTCTTTTTTTTTCTTCCAGAAAATTCTAGATATAGAATACTTTTTTTAAGATTTGACGATTACGTTCCCCTTTCCCACTTTAAAACCCGTGTCGTCGGCCCTGTATTTTTTGTTATATTTGTTTACTCTCCTGATTGCAATGTGAATGATTTGATTTCGATTTTGTCACAGAACTTTTTTGTTTTTAAAAGGATCTCTTTAACATCAATGAACAATAATGATTATCCTGGGATTTTTTTTTTGTCATGTAGTGATGCTACCTAGTTGTTAGTGTTGCTGGCTAATTGTGCTGCATGGAAAAATAATCTTAATCTCTTCTGTGCGCTTCAAAAAACTTATGAATTTTGGGTAGATCTCTCTCTCTCTCTCTCTCTCTCTCTCTCTATATATATATATATATATATATATATATATATATATATATATATATATATATATATATATATATATATATATATATATATATATATATATATATATATATATATATGTATATATATATATATAAATATATATATATATATATATATATATATATATATATATATATATATATATATATATATATATATATATATATATATATATATATATATATTCAAGTAAATAACAGCCTCTAATATTTGCACATTCTTTAAACTTTCTATAAACATACACAACACCCCATAGGCTCAAGTTGTATTGACAATGCCGAACATATATAAACATTTTGAGCATCCAAGTAGTTTATTTGAGCATTCAACTTTATAGATGAAATTCGGCAGGTGGTGAGAAAATAGGTTTAAAACAGTTGCAAACGTGTTAGAACAGATTAAAAAAATAAACCGAAATTTCATGAATTGAACCTTGAGTCTTCAAGTTTTAAATAGTAAAATTAATAAAAAAGCTTGAAACTGCTAAATCGAATAAAACGAAACTGCTAAATCGAATAAAACGAAAAAAAAAAGTTAAAAAAGCTATTCTACTTTTTCAATAAAATATCCGATCATTAGTTTTTTAAAATTTAAGGGGTATTACATTTTTCAAAATTCTTGATTTTTAATTTGCCGGACAATTTTTATGGTGCCACTAAATGTGAATAATGACTTTGGGAAAAAAAAAAATTTGAATTCTTTTTTTAATCTATTTAATTATTACCTACCTACACTTCCGAGTGGGCAAAACAAGCTCCATTTCCTTATCTTGTCTTTTTAGCAATCACAACATTTTTACTCTGTGACATGGTCATCAACAATAGTGTGCTTTAATTTTATTTTATATTATAGATGCAAATATACTTGTACTACCCATTTAACGATTAAATAAAGTTTTGAAAAAACGTCACCAGTAAACGTGTGTTCACTCAAATAGAAAAAAACAAAAGCTTCTGCTGTAACAATCCATCTAATGCGGCAAGCCATCTGCTATGACAAATATATTTACACTTTGTTTTAGAAAGATTTATGTCAATTTGGTCTGTAGATAAGCATTATACCAATTTATAACAAAGCATTGCATCTGTGAACATTGTCTTGGGATTTTTTCACGATGTTCAATCAAAGATTCCATCTGTTATATAGGTTCAAATGTTTCAATTCTTTTTATGCCACTAACTTTAAATAGAGCCTTTTCAATAGGGCTAGTAAAACAACTCTTTGAATTAGTTGGACCATGTAGTTTAACAGTTATATACCTCAATGATAATTTATTACAATGCAGCATACAAATAAATCAGAATAATCGCCTCCTGGTTAATTATTCCAATTTTGATAGAAAACCTCCGTCCTTTCCTAAACCTGTTATGGTGTCTGTACCATCCCATTTAATTAAAATAATTATTATAGTTAATTAAAGTTAAATTATATTTAACTTTAATTAACTATTTAATTATAAATAATTATTAAAGTTATTCTGTATGAACTTTAAATGACGTCATTCAAACAATGAAAGTCCGATTCTTTTAATTTTATAATTTGTCTAATTATATTTTAATCTTTTAACGCACTTTACCCCACACTTTACCCCACACTTTACCCCACTAATATATTCATTTTTCAAAAAAAAATTATTCACTTTTTATAGCATATGGTAATATATAAAAGAAAATCTAAAAAGTTTCAGATTTCAATAATTAATACATAATAGAAAATCTAAAAAGTTTCAGATTTCAATAATTAAAAAATTTTAACCCCCCCTCCCTTCCGTTTATGCATAAATGATCAATTTTTTTCAAAGTTTTTTTCTCAAAGTCAATATTCACATATAATGTCGCCATAAAAATTATCCGGCAAATTAAAAAGTCAAAAATTTTGAAAGTTTGATGTACCCTAATGTATGTGGGTATACATTTAATGTATTCGATTAAAAATGACTTATTTTTAAACATGCCTTTTCTAACTGATTATAATAAAGAAAGATACTAGCATTTTATTATATTTTATATAAAACCAATATTGTAAATCAATATTCGCTACATTTATCAAAATACTACCATTTTACATTGGTGCATTATTGTTAACAATATTTAGTCTATTGACTAAATATTGTTAACAATAATGATAAATATTGATACTGTTGATAATTATTGACACTATTGATAAACATTGTACCAATGTTGCTTGCAATTTGCAATGTTGCTTTCTAATCGGGTTTGGCCGCAAAACACTTTAATATAATACTATTGCAAAGGAGACTTAAAAAACTTAGCATAAAACTTGGCCGAATAAAACGTAAAAAGTAATAGCATGGTTTAGCATACCTTAAACAAAATGATTAATTAAAATAAAAAATTCCAATTTTCCAAGCAATTTTATTGAAAAAATATGAACGTGAAGAAATAAAGAAAAATTAAAAAAAAAATTAAAAAAATAAAAAAAAAAATGAATTTTTACATTTTACATCTAATTGTTTCTCTTCACCGTTTAAATTCAAAATAGCTCGTGATACTTTTCTTAACACTAAATAATTTTAAGGACACAATTGTGCAAATTTTTAAGTCTTCAAAACTGTAAATTGTTAAGCTGGCATCATAAAAATGTAGTTAGTCTCATTTTTCAACCTGCTTCACAATGCTCCACATTATTTAAAAAAATTATTTTAAATGGGTAAAAGTGATTGAAACACAATTCCTTTTGACTTCTATTATTTATAAACAACTATTAATTATTTATTATATAATGTAATCCAGTTAAGCTTTTTATTGAAATTATTATGATTAAACATTTACGAATAAAAATTTTCAGTTTTTAACTATTTACATAAGAAAAAGAAAAAAATTTACATCTATATATAAAGTTGTCATTTTTAGATCCAAACGGAAACAGATTTTACAAATGTTATGGAAATGTTATCAAATTGGTAATCTAACGCCGTTATTTCAGATGCCTACCATTATGAAATTGATATATATATATATATATATATATATATATATATATATATATATATATATATATATATATATATATATATATATATATATATATATACATATATATATATATATATATATATATATATATATATATATATATATATATATATATATATATATATATATATATATATATATATATATATATATATATATATATATATAAACAAATTATGATAAGTACACCTGATTATGCAGTGTTAAAAACTTGATATTGTAGCGTTTAATTTATGCTTTGTATTTTAATTTATGTTTGTTTTATCAAATTAATAATGAAATAATTAGTTTATTTTAAATTAAGTTAATATGGTATTGGTTTTTGGCAAAATTGTTAAGAGACAATTAACAACATAAAATAAAGAAATTATAAATATAATAAATGTTAAACAAATACAATTTAAATGTTTTGTCTAATAAAAAGTTGGAAAAAATAACGCAACAGACAAACCTAACTGTTGAATTTAATATTCTAAATTATTAGAAAGTATTTTTGGACGGTTTTTAACAAAAATATTATTGAACTTTTACCTTCATTAACCCTACTCAATTGGTGTCGCGCTTTATCTGCGCAACGTGTTTTTAAAATTCTTGCATTTCAGAAATATTTGTCGGACTGTTATGAATTTATTTGAGAAGTAATTTTTTTCTGTTGAAGTCACGGTAAAAAAAATTTTTATAGCGTGAGCTTAAACGTTGATATTGGCTCACCATATTTGTCAATAATTAATTTATAGCTCTCATTCCATGTATAAATTTGTGGAGTTAAGGTGAGTTTCCACTCATCCGTTTTTCAACGGAAAAGGGAAAGGAAAACGGAAAAATAATCACGTGAGCATGCGCAATTTTCTTTCGGACAAATAAAAACCTTTATTACGCATGCTCACGTGATTATTTTTTCCTTTCCTATCCCGTTCACGGATGAGTGGAAACTCGCCTTAATGTCGGAGAAACGCGCTCAAAGGGATGGATACAACTCTATCATAGAAACGACAAAGTTATTTGAAAATAATAAAGTAATTAGTAGTGATAAAAATGAATAACATTCCTTTGAAAAAACATTGCTATGAGACCCCCAGGTGATGATATGTCCAATGTCAACTGTGAAAATATGATTTTATTATTGGTAAAATATTTAAACTCTTTCAAATGACCGCTGATAATTTTTAAAACAAATGATAACGGTCTAGTTAATATTTGAGTTATTTTTTTATTCTGGAAATCAATAAAATAAATGAACATTAAAAAAAAAAAAAATTGCTTGATTGACCAACTGAGAATTTTTTCGACACGGAGTTTAATGGAGACACCAACGCTGAGTTCAGAGAATAGTCAAGCCATTATGACTTTTTTAATTTTTTTAAGTACCAGAGATCTCATATATGGGAATAATAGGGTTAAATCATATGTTTTATCCTTATTATGGATATGTAATAATATTATTACATATTATGCTCATGTAACAATATTATTAATTATTATTACATATGTACCACATGGCTTCTTGTAAAAAATCAGCAAATAAAGTAAAATTTTGTTCTTAAGTTCTATTTTCAATTTATAAAATATGTTTTAAATTAAAAAAAAAAGACTATGGTATTAAACGCGTGTATAATAATTAAGCATTTTAGACTTGTTTTGGTATTTTTTGGTATTATATAATACACAAATAGTATATATATATATATATATATATATATATATATATATATATATATATATATATATATATATATATATATATAATATATATATATATATATATATATATATATATATATATATATATATATATATATATATATATATATATATATATATATATATATATATATATATATATATATATATATATATATATATATATATATATATATATATATATATATATATATATATATATATATATATATTATTTGATCAAAATCAATGTGTTCAAAATATGATCAAAATCAATGTGATCAAAACCTATGCGTTCCTATTTTTAAACCTATATGATTGTTTTTCCTTTCATAGCCAATGTATGTGACCCCGAAAAAAATGAGTTATATGCTTGAATACTATATACATACTAATCGATAAAAAATACAATTGAACATATTAAAAGTGAATACCTCCTTTTCCCCAGTGAACATTTAAAAAAAGCATAATTTAATTTAATAAATTTCTTATTTTTTGATATTTATATATAATTTGATATTTCATATTATAATTTGATATAATTTGATGTTTCATCAAATTCCGTAATAACTAAAAGTTGTGTAAAAAGAGTTCTAAAATTCCTAAATTCTCCCACAATCCGTCGACTGGAGTTCTTTTATCAATCCATCAAACGGAGTTCTTTCTTCAAAAACTTTAAATTATTTAATGCTATTTTGATAAATCAAATATATTCAAATAAGCATAAAATTATTATTTCAGACAAATCAGTTTGATGCAGGGTGAAAGTAAAATCACAACATATGTACCTCTAATTGTATTGAAGATATTTCTAAAACTATATAACCACTAAATATTCAAAAAAAAATTTACTTCCCCAATGAAGCAAAGTTCTATTTTGATATTAAGATTAACTTAATACTTTAGATTATTAAAAAATCTTTTTCGGATTAAAGAAATTTGTCAGATGATTCATTATTTATTAGAGACAGATGACTTCGAAATTATTTGAGACTTATTTTGAGAAAATCACAGATGCTCGGTGTAGTTAAGGCAATTTTAAAATATTATACCGTGTGTATGATATTTTGTTGACTACGATATATTTCCGTTAAATGATCAGGTCTGTGAATTATAAAAAGACAAAAATAAAATAAATAAAATGACAAATTTTGCGGTATCATAAAATATAAATGTTTACAGCGAAAAAACCCAGACCGAAGATTCTTTTTTTTTTTTTTTTTTTTAAATCTTCTTAAAATCATAATAGCTTGTCCAAATTTTTATAAGATTTTAAATAAATACGTTTTTTAGGTCAAATGAGCATTATAGTTTAACAATATGATCTCTTTTGATCGTTTATTGGCAATTTCCCTTAAATATATGCTCTTTCTCGGTCGGAATTCTTTTATTTTTTGTGAAAATTGATAGAAATATTGTGTTTTGACAACTGTTTACAGTTAATATACGTCGGAACCAATTAGAACTAGAATCAGTAGTAAATTAAGGAACTTTTTCAAAAGATTCTAACTAAATTCATGTTAACGCCGATGAGCGGAATTGATCTAAAGACTCCAAAATGACTCTTTAGATTAAATATTACTGGTAGTAAAGAGGTTTTGAAAATTATATATAAAAAAGAAAAGTTTCTTTAAATATTAAAAAAACCTGAAGCAAAGAAAATTATATCATTTAAAGCTCTTGTTTGGACATAATACGCCGATAGAACCATACTAATTTCAAATGAAAAAATTCGAATAATTTGTAAATTGCCTTAACTACACCGAGATGATAAAGTTTGTGATTGCTTAGTTAAAATAAGCTTAATAATGCAGTTTTTTTATTTTAATCATATCAACTATCAATTGTATTTTACAATTATTGTCAAATAAATATTAACATAAATAAATATTAATATCAATAATTATAAATAAATACCAGTAACGAAACATTGTAAAGGTTAAGCATTATTGGCTTCAGACTTTAAAAGTTACTAACGTATTTTATTGTTTCAACACAATAATAGTTACTTATAGTTTTAAATAATTAGCTTTGAATAGAGTCTATTTGTTAGGTTTGAAGGGGGCTTTATTTATAATTACAACAATAAGTGCGCTGTATTTCACAGTATTATGTCTAGGAATATAGCCGTTCTTCAGCATTTCATGCCGATCAAAACATTCAATTCGTCTTTGTTTAGAACTCCGTTGAGTATGTATTCAATGACTTCTTGATGCACTTGGTGAGCAAATGCATTCAGGCAAACGATAAATTCAATTTAACGCAAACGCGATATAATTGAACCAAACGAATTCTTAAATTTCCAAATGAATAAATCAATCAAAACCAACGACATGCATGAAGGATCTTGCGTTTAACAGCCTGTAATTAAGATCGCAACGTGCGTTGTGGTTATCAAGTTGAAACTCTCCACCTCACATATTCTAAAAAGATATTTTGGTTAAATTAAGAGTATAAGAAGATTGAGGGTGCTTACTCACTTGCAGGTAAGAGTAATTTTTGATAATATTTTTTGTAAAAAAAGTCGTTCTTATGCATAATTTGTGCACTTATGCCAATAGTGTTATACTCTTGCTTAAACAGTTGCGAGAGTTGAACGATTCTATAACTTTCGTTCCCGGGTCTTTAACCTGGATTATTGTTAGATAAACGTTCATATTCAAATTATTTAATTTATTCCATTGGAATATTAAAGACAACCGGTTTCAGGGTATGCAGTATGTATAACATGCAAAGTACACAAGATTCCTTTTATCAAGACAATGTTTCAGCAGGTTATCGCATGTCATTCATGTTTTTTTTTTTTTTTAACGGCAATATGTATTCAATGCAATTTGTTTAGATAAATAAAATATTTTAAATATTTATTGTTTTACAACTTTAGGTATGATGGGTCACATGCCGCGTTTTTACCCTAGTCACATGCAAATGCCAGCTGCTGTACAAAATAATAATCCATTTCGTTCATTATCAAGGTTATCCGAAGATATGCGTTTTGATCTAAATCGAAATTCCGTACACGATCGTCAATTTTATCAAAATAAGTTGCCTAAATATTACGCCGAACCTAAGTTAACAAATAAATCATCTCAAGTGATGAGAAACTCTATAAACCGTTCGCTTTACTCTCCATACCCTCCCCCCATGCCACCTCCAAATTATTTCAAAACCTCGCCTTTAGAACAAAATAATTATAATCAAGAACCTATGGTAGGAGATTATTGCGTGGAACTTTTAAATCGCGATAAACACTACTGGACGGATGAAGAAACAGGATTAATGCTAGAGTTATATGAAGAAAATAGAGAATATTTTAACGATTCCAAAACAAAAAAAACAAAAATTTGGAGTATAATAGCTGATATGGTAAACAAACGATTTTCTACCTGTGTTAATGCTGAACAATGCAGTCAAAAATTTAGAAATTTAAAAGCAGAGTTTTTAAAAGTTTCAGATCCGACACTAGTTGACGGGGGAGCAAAAAAATTTGGAAGACATTTTCAGCAAATGAAACGGCTGTTAGAAGACGAGGAAAAGCGAGCAGTTACACGATCGTGTGACGAAAAACAAAATGCAATGACGGGCGATGATAAACAGGAAAACTTTGATAGCGGAAAGTTAGAAAACACAAAATCAGTAAATATATACAATTCCCCAACTTCTTCACCAGAAGTTATCGCCCCCGTTAAAACACCTCACCTGCCTGTTTCGCCAAAAGCCACACCAACAGCACCAAAAATATCTCCATCTCCACCGCCTAATGCGAACTATTTACCTCACGATCAAAAACAATATAAAAGTAAAGCTGAAATTTTGCTAGAGTGTTTAATTAACTCTACTTTAAGTGATATAAATAAAGCCGATTGTGATAAAGCTAATAAAAGTGATGAAACATTACCAATGAAATCTGAAATAGAAACAGCGGAGGAAAAACACCTACCAGAATCCGAATTTATTGATGTAGAAAGTGTAAACGAAAACCAATCTCAAGGAGGATCTTCTACAAGCAATATAAAAGTAAAAACAAATGATCGCTATCAAACAGAGTTGCGTTCAATTTTTGATGATTATTTTGTTTCGCGCGGCAAAGCCGTGGAAAACTTTGAAAACAACGAAAAGAGAAACATTGTATGTATGAATAAATGTATTGAAGTATTCAGAAGCGTCGTTCGAGAAAACATTCTTAAATAAAATAAAAAAAAACTCCGCTCCCACATTGTGTATTTATTATAAAATATTTTTTTTTTACAAAATAGTTCAACAAACAGCTATAAACTTAGTATTCACATAATCGTTATATTAATAAAACATTTGCCGATTCGTACTTTTTCTTTAAATCACTTTTTTTTTCTTTGAAACATTTCATAAATAATTCAGTTCTAAACAAAATTAATAAAAATTAATCACGAAAATCAAAAGTAAACCACTAAATTGTAAGGATGATTAAAAAATAATTTTTTCATATTCTTATTGTATAAGAGTTAGACATTTAAATCTATACACGCCTTCCATTAGTCTAAATATGTCACGCGTTTGTGGTGATGTATGGCACTTTAACATTATAAATTTATTTTTAAATTAATTTTTTATAAAAAACTACACGAACAATTTAATACGCTAGAAAAAAAAAGTCAAACTAAGCTCTAAGCAACTTCATGTGATTACTTTATTTATTAAAAAAAAAAGTTATCTCTTGAGTCCCAAACCATATGGAGCCGACATATGACATGAATAAAAGATTTAAAGCTTAAGTAAATGTGTTAACGAAAACGGGAAAGAACCCAACTTCTTTTATGAAAAAACCAATAGAGTCAGACTATTTGAAAACGAGTGAATATTTAACTACTTAACTCATTTTTCTGGAAACCTAGTTTTCTCAATCTCGTGTTTCAAAGTTTTGAGAATGAAGAGAAAGATTGAAATCAGAGTTCCCACCAGATAAAAAAATTGAAATTCCAGGACAATTTTTTTGTTTTTCCAAGGCATTTGCTTTATTATTTCCAGGACTTTTCAAGTCGCAACCATATTTAACCATATTTAACTAACTTTTGCAACAGAACTGAAATATTATTGATAAAAGTATTCTTTTTATTCGGATTTGAAATGAAAATTGTGTTAATAGATACTACAGTGCGTACTATGACAAACTTCAAAGGGAACTTCTCAAGAAGATGTGTCAACAGACCAGCTAAAAACTGGCCTGCCTATTTTTTAAATATAACCACTCAATAGCCATAAATGGAACTATAGGTTTGTCTGTTTGAAAGCATCTCAAAAAACAGTTTAACTTTACAAAAACCATTTCAAAAAATTTAAGCTAGCAAAACAGGATCGTGAACCATGGCTTTCAGTCTCTGCCAGCTTATATTGTTTGAATCAAGTTGTTTGCTTTTCTCAAGACTACTGAAATATAATAGAAACTTTTTGTATAAATTGCTTTTAATAGATTATTATACTCATAGCCACTTGCTTTTGCTCTTGCTTTAAAATTGGACTTTAAACTTGATCCTCTTATAGCTATTGGACCACAGGTCCCAATAGCTATAAGAGGATCAAGTTCTTCCTTTTTCCTCTGTTCCTTTAAATTATCTAGAAAAATCAAATTTATATTTGGCCCTTCTGATGATACTGTAGAATCTTTGATTTATCTAAATCAGAAATACAGTTTAGTAATGTTTGCATAACATCATGTGCTGTCGAGCGCCCCATTTAAGTTAACGAATTAAGATAACAAGTTTTAACTATACTAGTATTGTCATCCCAAAATCTAACTAAAAGATCCATTTGACCCTTCTGAAAAACTTGGTTCATGGATTCATCAAATGAAACAGCGTAATAAGGTGTATTAAATAACGAAGTGAGCAACTCGTTTTCAAAAAACTAAATAATTTTTACTAAATAATTTACCAGAATATGTTAAAGAATTCATTGAATATTTAGAATACACAATATTAAGGACCCAACGAACTTCAGCTTCAAATGTAGATGTATTTACTAGCATTTTATTGATTGTTTTTGGTGTTCTGCTTTATTTGAGCATTCGGAAATAAACTCATTAACTTGAACAGCGTTAGGAGCTCATGGCATCAATGACTTGATATTGTTAGCAGAATAAGATCTCTCTATGTGTGTTTTACCTTTCATGTGTGAAGTTAAAGCAGCTTCTCCTATGACAACAACATTAATGTCTTTAGCACAATAGCTGCAAGTCACAACAGTTTCTCTTTTTTTTACATAACCAATCTTTATATTTTTCTACAACAATCTATCTTACTTGAAAAATACATTTATTTTTAGGCATTTTCTAACTATTTTATCTGAAAAGTAAACAAACAAAAAAAAACGTAAATATTTCAAAAGCCAAAAAGAATTTTGAATCTCTAATATTTCATACTTTTAAAAATTATTCAAAACTATGCAGCAATGCAATAATTAAATACCAATTGAAAAAAAAAATATATAAACTGTCTATATATTTATGATGTATGAAAACCTTTATGATGATATCTTTCAATTAATACTTTTGAAACAAATTAACTATGCCTTATTGTTAATGTGTAAATTTTTTTTTAAAATCTTCAAAGTACAAATTTCAAAAACAATATAAGAATTTCCAGGACCACTTTCAAATTCCAGGACCCTCCAGGACTTATAACAATATAAGAATTAGATTTTCCATAAAAATTATAGATTAGAGCCATTATATTACTATAACTAGTATTGTAGCTGTAGTGTTATTTTTCTTTACTTAAAAACAAACAACAATATATTAAATCCCATTTTCCAGGACTATTCCAGGATTTTACAGAATAATTAAAAAAAACAAGGACTTTCCAGGACCACTTTCAAATTCTAGGACCTTCCAGGACTTTCCAGGACTTGTGGGAATCCTGTTGAAAGATATAGATAAAAATGAAGAAATATAATATCATAGCATATCTAATTCTAGGCAGGTGCACTAGGCAGCTGATATTGAAAAATTAAAAAGGAACAACTAAAATCATAAATTATTGAATCTTATTCACACAAAATGAATGTATAATACTATTTTTAGGTATATTCAATCGTTCTGGCAAAAATTCAAATCAAAACATCAAAAACAGAATTAAAAGATAGTCAACCATCACAAAGTTCATCAACTACTCCAAATTAAATGATTTTTCACCTAAAAATCAGAATCAAAAGTTTGTATTGGACCTAGTACAGAAAAGTCAAGTCTAATTGACCCTAATTTTTTAATCTTCTTTTATTCAACCCCAATTTTTGATGAACCAAATGAAGAGTCTAAGCTTGGGAGAAAGTTTAGAGTTTTTGACTATTGAATAAGTGAAATCAAAGATGTTAAAAAAAAAATAACAAGAGTACCAATTTTTTTTTTTTGTTAATTCACCTCCTCAAGGGTGAGAAGGTCACTACAGACGATGAGGCTACTTATTTGTGGTTATATAACCCTCTCTCAACTCTATAACTCCGAAACACGAACCTTGACGAACAAGGCCGCTGCGCGGAGAAACAAGTTGAGCGCGGTACTACAAGGGACGTGGCGGGGATTGAACTCGGAACCTCTCGCTAATGAAGCGGACGCTCTACCACTACATTACTACCTATTTGTATAATTTGATGCATGGTAAGGACATTATCAAACTTAAAAGACTCTTAGAAGCTTGCTGTAAAAAAAAAAAAGTTTAAACAAGAGAAGAACTGAAGATATTTTACGAGAGAAATAAAATATGCTTCTGATGTAGAAAAATGGTCTGCATTAGGATTGAAGAATTTTTTATCTTGTAACTCACTAAGAATAACAAATTAGAATTTTAAAATGAAACCATATTACACACCAAAAAATTAAAAAGTCTACACTTACTGCATTCTCCTCTGTATGCTAACTTGATTTTTCCTTTTGACTTACAACGCGCAACATTTAGAAAGCATTCATTTTCATACGTCAATCCATTGTTTGCGCAAATTGGATCAAAAACTGTGTTGCATACCTCATTGCAAACAGAACCTTTAAAAGTAAAACATATAAAGGCAATAGAGTAAACATATTGTTTTAATTGATAATCTTTTTTATCTCTAATATTAAAAAGAAAAAAAAATTATACCGCAATCATTAGTAACATCTTTTGATAACAACATAAATTTTGCTTGACAACTATTACATCTATCAACAATACAAGAAGCACTGGGGTAACTTGGGCAAAATACAGAACTACATGCATTTTTACACCGCACAGGCATTTTCTGACCACCACATGTTTTACCTAAAATTATTTGAAAATATATTAAGTATGAATAACATAATATAAGTAACTAACAATTAAATAACAACTAACTAGTAAGAAAACAAATTTTATAACTCATAGTGAAATATATGTATATATATAATACATAATATATAATATATATATACATATACATACATATACATATACATATATATATATATATATATCATACATTCATACATATATATATATATATATATATATATATATATATATATATATATATATATATATATATATATATATATATACATATATATATATACATATATATACATATATATATATACATGCATATATATATATACACAGTCATGTGACAATTTAATAGCCACCCACAATTTTTTACATTCTCAAGTTTCAAAGTATACTATTTTAATATCTTTTTGTGATTTATGTACTCAAAAGTAATTTTTACCCAAAAGAAATGGTTATTATTTTGACAAATGAAAAACATTTAACAAATTGGTAATAAATTTTATTATTTAAAATTTACTACAAATATATCCAAGATTTATATTTGGCGATTCCCCTTTTTGCCTCTGTAATTGAAAGAAACCAATTTGACATACTTTTGATGCATTTTTTAGCCATTTCCTGCAATCTTTTAGGAGCGCCCAAACATTTTCTATAGGATTTAGGTTAGGAGAGTTTCCTGGCCAATCAAGTAATGGAATATTCTGTTCTGATAGATATTTTTTAATTGATTTAGCGTGTGACATGGTGCCTCATTCTGCATGAAGTTTCTTTTTTCACCTGGACCAAACCATTTTGCCAATTGTAGCAACAATTTATATTCCAGGATTTTTTTATATTGATGATTCATTATTCCCTCAACAATATAGAGCCTCTATATTCCCCTTTCACATACCACTGACCAGATCATCACAGAGGTGGGGTGTTAATCATTTTGAATGATGCAATCCAATAAGTATTTTTCCTCTTTTTTTATTTTTATGTATTGAGCATAACACTTGGAATGTACTCTCTTTGTTAAAGCATACCTTAAAATATTATACAGGGATTGATTACAAATCTTCAAAGTTTGATGTAAAAAAAAAAAATATTTAAAAATCATTTGCATTAATTTTACCAACTTCTGATTATCATTTTTTTCTCCATAACTAAAACAAAATATCATTTTTCAGTACCAAAGCCAAGAATTTGCTTAGGTACTCATAACTTTAAAAATATCGAATCCAATACAATTATTTTCATTTTAAAATAACAAAACATTCAAGAAAAAATATTTTTATTGATTTAAATATAAAACACAAAAAACCAAAGTCATCACCAAGTTTGTTAAACCTATTATTCACCAATATTCGTGGTCTTCGAAGTAACTTTTCTTCTGTTGAGTCTTATCTTTTGCAAAGTTCACCAGACCTACTTGCTCTTTGTGAGACTTATTTGAGTTCAGCTGTCTCATCTTGTGATCTTAGTGTTGAGGGTTATCTTCCTTTAATTCATAAAGACTCCAATAGTCACATGCTTGGACTAGGCATTTACATTCGTAAGAATTCACCCATTTGTCGGAAAACTAGGTTTGAATCCACAGACTACTCTTTTAGGTGCTTTCGTTTAGCATCACTTCACTCTATCACCTTTCTCCTTGTTCTATATCGCTCTCCCCTATCTCAAGACTGCACACTTCTTGATGTTATTTCTGATTATATTGACCAAGCCCTCATTCTTTATCCATCAGCCAATATTGTTGTTGTCAGTGACTTTAATGTTCACCACATTGAATGGCTTGGCTCTAGTGTCAGTGACTCTAGATTAAGGCCCACAACTTTTGTCTTTCTCAAACCCTAACTCAAATAGTCAATTTTCCAACTCGCTTTCCAGACAACGAATCATTTCCAGACCCGAATCATTTACCTTCTCTACTCGACTTATGTCTTGTTTCTGATCCTAGTCAGTGCTCAGTTTCTTCACACTCACCCTTAGGTGCGTCTGATCATGGTTTGGTCTCTCTAAAACTATTATCTCATTCTTTTTTACCATCAGAATCCCCCTATCAGCGTACATCTTACAACTACCTTAAAGTTGACTGGGACTCTTTCCGTGATTATCTTCGCCATGGTCCCTGGGTAAAAATCTTTCGCCTCTCTGTTAACAAATGTGCTTCTTACATAACTTCGTGGATTCAGGCTAATATGGAATCCTTTATTCCCTCTTGATAATTCCAGGTCAAGCCTCACTCTTCTCCATGGTTTTGTGCATTGTGCTGCTGCAATTGCTAGTCGAAACCATTACTTCCATATCGATCAGCAAAACAATTCTCCAGAAAACAGACGTCTGTTTATTACTGCTAGGAACCATTGTAAAAAGGTTTTGTCTAATGCCAAGGCCCGCTTTTCTCAGATCATGAAATCTCATATTTCATCACAAAAGTTAGGCTCTCGTGACTTCTGGAGAATCTTTAATAGTATCATTATTAAGGGCAAGTCTGTAATTCTAACTCTTTTGAATTGGTTCAGACTATGTCACCACACCTAAAGACAAAGCTGAATTGTTTGCTAAGAACTTTTCATCAATATCATCTCTTGATTCCACTAGTTGCGTTCTACTTGATATAGCTATCAAATAGGTTAATCCATTGCTCGACATCTGTATCACTCCAGCTCCTGTATCTAAAGTGATTTCCCGCTTAGACTTTTCTACAGCTTGCGGCCTGGACAACATACCTGTTATAGTCTTGCAGAAGTGTTCTCCGGAGCTGTCGTCTATCATTTCAAAACTACTTAACAAGTGCTTATCAGAGTCTTGCTTTCCAGCCTGCTAGAAAGCAGCATCTGTTATCCCTATTTTTAAAAATTCTGGAGAGCGATCCGATTTGTCTAACTACCGTCCCATTAGTCTTCTTCCTATCATAAGCAAGGTTTTTGAATCTTTAATTAGCAAACACTTAATCTCTCATCTTGAATCTAATAACTTACTTTCTGATCATCAATATGGATTTCGATCTTCTCGTTCTACGGCTGATTTGTTAACAGTAATAACCAATAGGTTTTATCGCGCATTAGATAAAGGTGGAGAGGTTAAGGCCATTGCTCTTGACATTTCTAAAGCGTTTGATAAAGTTTGGCATGCTGGTCTTCTCCATAAGCTTTCTTCTTATGGTGTATCTGGAAACATCTTTAAGATTATTGAATCCTTCCTTTCCAATTGTAGTATAAAAGTTGTCCTTGATGGACAACACTCTTCTTATTCTGTAACCTCAGGGGTTCCTCAAGGTTCAATCCTTGGCCCTATACTCTTTTTAATTTACATTAACGATCTTCCAGATATTCTCACATTTAAGGTAGCATTGTTCGCTGATGATACTACCATTTATTCTTGTCACAATAAAAAGCCAACTCCCTCTGATTGCTTGCAGGGGGCATCTGAGCTTGAAAAGGATCTCACTTCTGCTACAGCATGGGGCTCACAGTGGCTGGTGAACTTTAATTCAGATAAAATTTTTTTTCCGCCAATCGTTATCGCAATAATTTAGACCTTCCTATATTTATGAACGGTAATGTACTTGATGAGCCTCCTACCCTTCATCTTCTAGGATTAACTCTTACTTCTGATCTTTCTTGGAAAAACGCATTGTAAACATAGTTGGACCTGCTCTTGCAGCCAACCTTTAACCTCTGTCACATCGTCGTAATGTTGCTTCTCTTTCTCTTTTCTACAAATACTATAATGGGCACTGCTCTAAAGAGCTAGCCTCTCTTGTGCCATCTACTAAAATTCATTCTCGTGTTACTCGTCATTTAATTAAATCTCATCCTTTTTCTGTTACTGTTCCTAAGTGCTCTAAAAACTCTTATTTGTCTAGTTTTTTTCCTCGAACATCAGTTCTTTGGAATTCGCTTCCTTCATCTTGCTTTCCTGATTCATATAATTTGCAATCTTTTAAGTCGTCTGTCAATTGTTATCTTGCTCTACAATCTTCATCTTTTCTCTTCCAGTAACTTCCAACACTAATTAGCGGTTGCTTGCAGCCTTGTTTGAAGCGAAGATAATTAAAAAATATATATATATTTTGAAGATAACCTAATAAATGAATTCGAAACTCTGGTAATAAAACTCAACATGTGTACAGCGAAAAGATTATAATAAAGAAAACATCATACAAAATGACTGTAAAAAGTGACAGTGTTGCCAGTAGAAAAAACAAACAAACACTGATTTTATGAGGTAAAACTTTAATTTAAACAAAAATGAGATTAAATTTCAAAATGATCAAAAATATATGTAGGTATGTATATATATATATATATATATATATATATATATATATATATATATATATATATATATATATATATATACATATATATATATATATATATATATATATATATATATATATGTATATATATATATATATATATATATATATATATATATACATATATATATATATATATACATATATATATATATATATATATATATATATATATATATATATATATATATATATATATATATATATATATATATATATATATGTATATATATGTATATATATATAACCCTTGGAATTAGGAAAAATGAGGTCGGGTCGTGAGTTTATTTTCATATTATAGTTTATCCAACTGTTGGAGGTCGGCAAAAAAAATTTGACACAAAGAGGTTAGCATAAAACATAGAAATGAGGTTGACAATTATTTGCTGACCTCATATATAAATATATATATATATATATATATATATATATATATATATATATATATATATATATATATATATATATATATATATATATATATATATATACAGTGGTTTTCATAAATTTAGACGCACTCATATTTGAGAATAGAAAATTTTAGGTATTTTAACGATAAAACAATGACGAAAAAAGATTTCGGTTTAGTTTTTTTTCTATTTATCAGATAAATACATACAGAATACAAAATTTAAAAAAAGTTTACAAAAAAAATGAAATACTAAGTAATAATTAGGTACAACTACATGGTATTAAAAAAATTAGACAAAAAAAATTATTCATAAATTTAGACGCACGATACATTAGAAGGCGTAATTTATGAACCAATCAATATTTTGTGTATCTGCCTTTTGCTTTAATACAACTAAGAACTCTTCTAGGCATAGACTCAACAAGATTTTTGCACATCGCTTCTGGGACCACATACCAGGTCTCCTTCAGGGTATTCCTTCAGCTGACCAAGTGTGGAAATTTGAACCTTTGCTAATTCACGATCAATCCAAGCCCAAATGTTTTCAATCGGGTTCAAATCAGGTGAATATGGAGGCCACGGTATTGTCATAATATTATTATCGTTGAACCACTCCTTTGTATAGTATGCAGTATGTGCAGTAGCGCTATCTTGTTGAAGTTTCCATGGTTTATCATTGAGCATAAGCAGGTCAATTGATGGAATTAGGTTGTTTTCCAGTACTTCTACGCATATTCTGGAGTTGATTCTTCCGGTGTATGTTTGGCACATACCAACACCTTTGTAATTGAAGCATGACCAGATTCCTATCGAGCCTCCTCCACTTTGTACAGTTGGTCTAATGTACCTGGCGTAATACTTTTCGTGAGCCATTCTTTTGACTGTTATGTTAGATTTGCGATTGATAAGCTCAAAGTTACTCTCATCACTCCACATAATGTTTTCCCATTGATCTATTGTCCAATACCTTCTTTCACGACACCATTTTAGTCTCCTTTGTTTATCATATGGACGCAGAAGCGGTTTCTTCAAAGCAGTGTAGACTCCAATCTTGTATTTGATAAGTATTCGGCGGACTGTGCTTTGAGAAATAGATGTATTTCGCGTTGTATTGAATTCTGTGGTCAATTCTTTGTAACTAATTCTTGGATTAGCTCTGACAGCTCTAAAAAGAACACTATCGTCCTTTCTCGTGGTTGACAAGGGTCTACCTGGCCTCGTTTTCTCGCTAGCACCACCAGTGTGAAGAAAGTTTTGTTTCGTTGTCCGAACGCATTTCTCAGAAACTCCAACTAACTTGGCGATTTCTCTATTACTTTTGGTTCCTTCTTTGATGTGCGCAATAATTTGCCATCTTTCACCTTGAGTGATACGTCTTTTGCCCATTTTTCACGTTTTTTTAGTGCAAAACTAACTTAACTTTTGTTTATTTATTAAATAATGATTAAATAATTCCAGGTAAGTCATATTTATACAAGGTTTTTTGACAAAATCAATTAATTTAGGCCTATTAATGAGAAATATAAGAAAAAAACTACTAATTAACTTCCAATTAACAAGATATAAGACTTTTTTAATTGTGCGTCTAAATTTATGAACAAAATAAAATCAAGTTTATCAATTAACTTTTTTGTGTTAATCGGTATAAAATGAGTAATAAACATCCTGTAAAAAAAATTAAGGTACTCGATAATAGAGTTTCATTTCCTCTTTTAAATTATATATCAAACATAGCGGTAGCACTTTTATTTTATTTTTATTTTGAGTATTTTCTTACATATATGAAAAAAAAAATGAATGCGTCTAAATTTATGAAAGCTACTGTATATATATAATTGGGTGATTCAGAATCATAGATGAGTTTTTGACTTTATAAAAATCCCGGAAATTTATCTTAATAAAAAATCATAAAAAATTCTTGATTGTATTATTAACAACAAAAATTTTTGCAAAATTTTAAAACTGGATTTAGATTATTTAACTTTTTACAAAAAAGAATTTCTAATATTCGAAAAAGTTAATTTGAATAAATTTAAAAGAAAAAAAAAAAGGAAAAAAAATTGTTGCTAAAATTGTTCGTGAAAATTTCTATTAGAGAAAACAAATTTGTTTAAATGCAAACGTTGTTGTAGTTAAAATTTAATATAATTTTTTTCAAATTATTAAAACAAAAAACATCGGGAAATTTCTTGAAAATTAAAGGAATTATTAAAACAAAAAACATCGGGAAATTTCTTGAAAATTAAAGTCAATTTCCGAAATTTGGAGAATTTTGGGAAAAAACTCATCTATGCAGAATATTAAAAATGTTTGGTTTTCCTTAAAGCTGTCCTTGTTTTTGTCCCATTTTTATTTTATATTACAAAAGTAATTTGAGGACAAAATTTTATGCAAATCAAATGATATTTTAAAGTTGCTGTGTTTTGTGACTTTATTGATTTCATAGTAAAAAAATTGAAAATTTTAAATATTTTTTTGACCAATGTTATCAATTGTGACAAATAATATTTTGTAACTTAGAAATGTTATTTAACAATGTAGATTTTGTTTCAGTGTTTGTATTACTTTGAAGTAGTCAGAATCATGATCATTAGAACAGTTTTGGATGCACTAGGAAATTCTTTCCAGTGCTCATCCACCGACTGAAGAAGGAACTGTTTTTGGACTTCATTTTATGTAATTGTAGAATTATAGGCTGTGATTAAAGTTATGCCTCTTTCAACACGGTCATTAACAATCTTCATTTGACAAAACTTATGTTACATTTCGATATAAACAGGATCTTTTGACCATTCTTGTGGTTCTTTTGAAAGGAATGACTGTGCCTTCTCTTTATCATTGTTAAACAGGAGATCAAAGAGTTCATCGTGCGCTGTGTGAAAGAATTATATAAAGGACTTTGTTGAATTTTGCAATATCTAGTTGCTTGAGAACATTCTTCATTGGGTGATGCTGTAGGTTTTTAACCATCGCCTTCTTAGCATTGTTATCAACACATAAATCAAAAAAAGCCAATAATACCAAATGTTCCAAGAAGTACCAAAGGCAACGATGGAAAGCTTTTGCAGCTACAATGACATGATTTGGATAAAGATAATTTTTACGAATAATACTACTAAGGTTGTTTACAAATAACTACTGGTATTAAATAAATATCTAATGATAATGATGATAATAACAATAATAAAGACAACAACAACTAATGTCATATAAAACAGATAATAATAGTGATTAAGTGATTTCTCTTCAAGTTATTATTTTTAAAATAAAATTAATTACTTAAAAAATTATTGTTATAGGAATCAGTTGCATCATTGAGCATTATAATCAATTTAATTATCTTTACCATAACAACTTAAGTCACTTTAGATTACTAAAGCCTTACTTATTAACTTACTTAAAATTACTTAGAAAGCCTAAAGTCACTCTACTAAGCCACTGATTACTTTATTATCACTCAACCAATACTACTGAGACACTGATTACTTTAACATCACCCAACCAATACTACTAAGTCACTCATTACTTTACCATCACATAACCAATACTACTAAGCCACTAATTACTTTACCATTGGTGTTTTTAATATTATCATTTACTAAATTTTAAAAAATTTCATTATTTTGCTTTGCAAGAATGTGTAATTTGATGATAACATAAAGGTTTTAACAACATAATTGTGACTAGATTATTATATAAACCTTTATTAACAAAAATGAAATATACTAAATGAAAATAAATAATAAATACATAACAAATGTTACTGCAAGTAATAAATGAGATAGCAACATACGACAATTCTCCTTGTAGGCAATTCTTATTTCACCACCAGCAAGACATTGGGCTCTTCTGAAAAGACAACGTGAATAGGTCTGTCCATCACTTCCACATATTGAGCTGACCTCTTCTATATGACACATTGAAGATAGACATTTTCCTTCTGAAAATCAATAAAATATTTAACAAATTATTACAAATTAAACATACAGCTGTGGTCATAAAAATTCAATAAAATGATTAATTTAACATTTTAATGCAAATTTAAAATTTTAATGCAAAATAATTATGTAATCTTTTTAAAACACACTACAATTTTAAATATTATTTATAGATATTTTTACTTAAATTAAAACACACTAGAATTTTAAATATTATTTATAGATATTTTTACTTAAATTTTACAAAAAAAAATTTAGTAACAAAAATATTCCCATGCAAAACTATTGATAGATAAACTAAAAATAAATGTAAAAAATACTGTGAAATGCCAAGAAATGCTGTCAAGTGTAAGAAATACTGTGAAATGATGTCAAGTGTAAGAAATAGCGTAATAAGAAACAGATAGGAGAAATAGATAGAAATGCTGATAAATGCTGTCAAGTGTAACCCAGCGAACAAAAAACATTCAATTACATTCGACAAATGTTGTAAACGTTCAAACATGTTCATAGAACATTCTTTAATGTTCGTTGAATGTTCTTGACTGTTTTGTCTTAGTTGGGAAGAAGTTCTGTGAAATGCTAAGAAGTTTTGTTAAGTGTAAGAAATACTGTGAAATACTGAGAAATGCTGTCAAGTGTAAGAAGTACTGTAAAATGCTAAAAAAATGCTGTCAAGTCTAAGAAATACTGTGAAATGTTGTCAAATGTAAGAAGTACTGTGAAATACTGAGAAATGCTGTCAAGTGTAAGAAATACTGTGAAATGCTGAGAAATGTTCTCAAGTGTAAGAAAAAAAATAGTGTGATAAAAAATAAATAGAAAAAGAAACAGATAGAAACAAATACAGTGAAATGCTTAGAAATGCCGTCAAGTAAATTTGCTCTTCTATTTTTTTATTTGTGTTGTACTAAACAAGTTTTAGAATAGAAAGTGCAAGAAACAAAAAGTTTTATACATTCTTTTGTTGTTTCTTAACTGGATGCCTGACACGAACATATCTTAGACAAAAATCATAGTTTTTAAAGAAAATTGAACAATTAAATGTGATTAGTAAAGAATTTTATTTCAATCAATTGAGTTTCATTAATAAAATCATCAGTTAAGTTTAATTGTTTCAATTAATGGAACTTCATTAATAAAATCATTGAACAAATGAAATTTAATAAAAACAAAGAAAAATTCAGAAAAGTAAAGAAAACTAGGACATTTTATTGGCTTCTTTTAGTTGATTTCTTTTAACTTCAAGTACTTCATATATTTTACCTTGAGAACTAATTATTTTGTAAAATTTCTCCCAACATAGAGTTGATTAAATAATGAAAACTGAAAGTTTCAGACAGTTTAAAGAGCAGTAATTGGTTTTGAATAACTTTTAGAATTAAAAATAATGATAATCAAAAAAGTGAAATTAATAAAATTAGTAAAAATTCAATTATCTGCTCAGATGCACATTTTTTCTAAACAATATGTAATACTTCAAATTTTAATTTTATTAATGTTTACATAATATTAATACAATAGATCAGTAAAAATCAATATTAACAAACGAAAATCATTCAATTTGTAAGTTCAATAAAAAATATTAAAAAAAATTTTTTTTTTTACATACTGCATTCTCCTATGTAATTGAGATAAACTTTTTTATTTTGGCATGTTATTTTTTGAAGTTCGCATAAATTTATATAAGTATTGTTGTCTGTACCACAAACTTTTACTCCTCCTTGTGGACAAGATTTTGGACATGTAGGCGAACCTCAAAAGACAAAAGTGAAACATTTTAATTAGGTTTTAATCATAAAATAAGGCTATATATTGCAATAGTTTCCAACATTCTTACTGCAACTTCCAGCGTACTTTATTTGCAGACTTCCAGCACTTTCACATATTGCATGGTTCATCAAACATAAATTTCCATAAGTTTCATCATCACTACCACAGTATGGATCCCATTCTTGAGTACATGTTTGAAGACAATTTTCTAAAAATTATATGAGTTTATATTAAAAGTAATATTTTTTATTAAAAACATTTATAAATTTGAAAAATTAGGATTTTAATCACAGATCATAAACCATAATCTTTAACCATAATCTTTTGCAACTCATAATCTTTAACCATAATCTTTAACCATAATCTTTAACCATAATCTTTAACCATAATCTTTAACCATAATCTTTTGCAACTCATAATCTTTCACCTCAGTAATGTTTTTGTTACATTTTTTTTGAAAATAAATAAATAAACTTAAATTATAGAAATTATTTCGAGCTTTTTTAAAAGAAACTTCTAATAATAATAAATTTCTAATAATAATAAATAATAAAATAATAATAATAAAGAGTTTTTTCATATTTTTTGAGTACTTATTTTTCTCCTAACTCAATTTGCATATGCTTATTCATAATAAGCAAGAAATCATTTCTTACTCATTCATTGGTTTAAAAAAAATTGTTGCAAGAAAATGTGTTCTCAGCATTTTTTTATTTATGTTAGATCTGTCTTTGAATACTAAACATTGATTATCTGATCCATTCCACCATTTAATTATCAATAAAAAAGTAATAATTTTATAACTTTTTAGTTTGGTTTAATACTTTTAAACTTGCATCTATTTGTACAGACACATACACAAATAAACCCAATAAGAAAAACATACGACATTGTCCTTCATGAAGAAACTTGATTTTTTCTGAACTTGAACAAATTGCAGTTTGCAGCATGCACATGTTATTGTATGTCTTTCTATCACTTCCACACTGTGGACTAATTTCTCCTGTACAAATATCTGGGCAATATGGCTTATCTATAAAATGAATTTTGGTTTAAGTTTATATGTTTATTGTATTATACTTAGTTATCTAAAACTTTAATGATTTTTATCAAAATTTTAAAATTAAACATTGAAAATAATTAATACAATGCAAGTAAATAGTGAAAAATTTATAAATGTTTAAATTTATGTAGGTATTGAATTTTAAAAATAGTATTTTTACCACAACTTCCATTGTAAGCATATTTTACTTGACCATTCGATTCACATATCTTTTTCTCCATTTCACATTTATTACTATAGGTAATTCCATCACTTCCACACTGAGGCATTATTTCACGTGTACATGCAGTTTTGCATTGTCCTAAAATTTAAAGTAAAAACAAAGTGTAAATGAAAATAAAAAAATAAATAGATAGAAATTATGTTAAGTTAAAAATTAAACTATAAAATAAATATGCAAAAAAATTAAAATAGATTAATAAAAAACAAATAGAATATAAAATAATAAAGACACAATAAATTAAAACAACTAAATATATTGAGTGAAATTTAAACTATAAAATTTTAATAAATCAAAATCAAAACAAATGTAGAATAAAAAAAACATTTATTTTTATATTATCAATCTATTTCAAAAAAAAAACTAAATTTATTTATTTTCAATAAAATTTTTTTGAACTGATAAAAATTAAAGAACAAAAATGATTCACCACAAACTCCGTTATGGATTTTGAAAATTTTTGAATTTGTAGAGCATGCACTAAAGAGCATGGTACATAGAGAAGAATGAGTTCTCCGATCACTACCGCAAACAGGATCATAAATATCAGTACATTTAAATGCACATGAATTTTCAACTGAAATAAATTTGAAAAGTATTAAAGTGATGCTTTTCAAAATAAAAAAAAAAGATAAGATTGAAAAAAACTTACCCAATATCTCATTAGATATTTCACTATTATCAGAAGAAACAGAAGGTTGATACTCAGAGACTATTAAATTAAATAAAATATATAAAAAAATAATTGTAGTTTTTATTTTATAAATATTGTAAGTAAAAAATATTGTAACTTAAAAAGAAAATATATTTAAAAATTGAATAAATATAACAAATATACAATAAAAATGAAAAACACATTGCTAAGAAATAAAACTTACTGCAATTAACCTTTAAACCGTTTATGTAAAACTCAGCTACACAAGAACATTTATTAAAAACACATGTTGCTAATGGAAACCCAGGGCAAGTAGAATCTTGACACTTATTTCTTATACACTCTGTAGATTTTTCAGGACATTCATCTAATAACAAACAACTTTTTTTGAAATAAACGTCTTTAAATATGTCATTATAATATCATAATATTCACTTTTATACTGTACTAAACCTATGAACTAATTATAATACCGGTAGTTAACTAGCAAACTAGCAATACTAAATCTGTAGACTAACTGACTATAATAATTATATAAATATTAACTGAATAAATAATAACTGCACAAATACTAAATAAATAATAACTGCACAAATACTAAACCTGTGGACTAATTGAGTATAATAACTAACTGTATAAATACTAAACCTTTGAACTAACTAACATCATCAATATAACAACAACAAAAACAATAATAACAATAAATACAAATATTAAGGTATTCTAACTTATGAAATAAAAATAAGTTGTTACCAAAATAAATATACCTAATGGGTCTTTGTATTCAACTATAGTTACATCAAAATCAATCTTTTCTTGATTAGGTAATGGATATATGGTATGAGTATATTCATTGTGATAATCACCATATTTTATTGAATTATTATTATCTTTACACCAGCCATTATTAACAACTGCTCTAACAATATATGAGGTTGCTATTGAGTAATTAAATGACATCTTGTAATGAATAGTATGACTGGCATCCACATTGAGGTTATTAGCATGATACCTAAAACAATTAAATGTACAATTTTATATTCATTTCAGAATTTCAAAAAATTTCAAAAAAATCTTTAACTTGAAATACATTGATTTAAGTTAAAAACAAAAAAAGTTCAAAATTTTGAGATGTTTTCTTCTACATTATTTAAATAACTTGGTATAGTTTCCATCTTTAACATTCTTCTAGTCTTGACCAAAAAAAAAAAAAGGAAGAATTTATTACTTATTACTTACGAAGCAAGAATTGGTATGTTACAAGTTATTCCTTTACAATATAATCCCTCATGTAAAGTCATTGATAAACATGAACTTGGTTTTAATGAGAAGTTTTGTGGAAATTTCACTAAACCAGATACTTCAATAGCTGTAAAAATACAATTGATTTTAAGTAAAACATATGCATCCCAATTGAATCATAGTTTTAAAATAAATAATTAGTGTTAGTAACAAAAATGTTGCTATAACAAATGCTACTATGTTGCTATAATAAACAAGTGCTACCAGATTTGCAGGGTTGGGCTAAAGTTTTCAATCAAATCCAATAAAAATGTCTCTTAAACTCAAAAACTAAACACAAAAGCAAAATAAGCCTAAAATAAGTAACCAAAAAGTTTTTGTATTGTAAATTTGGTCCGCTCAAGGTGAAAACTGTTCAGTATGTCCCCTATAAATGTGGCCCTGCAGATTTATTAGAACAGTTAGTAAACAAATGCTATTCTGCAAAAAATCTTGGTAACAAGTGCTGCTAGAGTGATATCAGTATATCACTTCAAATTAAAAGAATAATTAAAATAAAATACATGAAAAAATAAATTTAAAAGCAACCTTAAGTACTTGCAAAGTATAAAAAACTTACTTTTTAAAACAATTTCAACATCATCTTTGCATGTAAAATAGTGGTTTATAGATAGGTTTTTATTTTTGCATTGAGCATTACTAAACTCACATAAATTTATGTATGTTTGACCATCTGATCCACACACAGGCTTGTGTTCATTTGAACAGGGTTGAACACATGTAACTTCTGGTGTATCTAAATCAATATTTTTGAAACATTTTTTTTCAAAGTATTTTTTCTCTAAATTCTTTTATCTTTACATATTATTTTTCTGTTCATTATATATATATATATATATATATATATATATATATATATATATATATATATATATATATATATATATATATATATATATATATATATATATATATATATATATATATATATATATATATATATATATATAGGTGTGCACACACAGGTGCTCCATACATTTGAGCATAGCAGTATATATAAAAATAACATTAAACTAAAATGTTAACTCTTAAAACAAATATTTAGCCACAAATTAATATTGTTTTATATAATATTAGAAACAAGAATTATTTCAATCTGGATCTGAAATGAAGCAAAAATAAATAAAAACTTCAAGTATTACAACTACTTGATATAAAGTCATTGTTTTAAATTTTGTTGCATAAAAACTTTTTTATTATTATTTTTTTTTGTTTTGTTTTATATGATGTTTTTGAAATTGAAATACTAGGTAATTTATTATTTTTTGAGTAAACCACGAAATATGTTTTTTAATTAATTTTTTTTTTTTACATTTTTCTGTTACTACAAGGATAGATATTTAATGAACAGAAACACACAGAAACTAAACATAACTTTTTAATCAAATTTACTCCCAACAAAGCTGCATGCAACTACTATTTACTATTGTTACAACTACTATTTTTATTGTTAAAGATATGCAGATGAAAGTAGACTTTTAAAACAATAAGATGTATGAGTCAAGAAAACATGAAGACAAGACCTAATCATTGATGTGTAAGAAAAAAAGTAAATGAGCAATAGTTTTCACATCTAGATTTGTTTTTTTAATTAGTAAAATAAACTTATTTTGCCATAATTTATTTTATTGTTAAAAAAGTTAATGAGCTTAAATTAAAAAAAAAATAAAGACAATTTTATGATGTCAAAATCATGACAAGCTAATGTGCTAAGTTAAAACAAGGCTGACATACCACAGGCAACTTTTCAAATGTGTGTGCATAAGTCCAATCACATGGTAGAGGCAAAACTACTGTGCTAAGTACAGTGTTTAAATTTGTTCTTGTTTCAGTATTTATTAGTTTAGCTGATTGGGGATTTGGCAAAACATTTGAAGATGTCTTCACAATAGTTTGGGTTATTTGGTATTTACAAATCAAGGTCATCTGTTTCCATCAAATAGTATCAAGGTATCAAGGTTTCACAAAATGATGGAAACATAAATTAACCATCTCAGTAGCAGGCAATATTTTGTCTCTGAGAACTTCTTCTTGTACTGAGGACAAAATAACAAGTTATTTCTTAGGCAAATAACAATAATAACACTTCGTGTAACTTGTGAAATTCTGAAGATAATGGATTTTCAGGTGATCAAGGTAAACAGCTACTTCTCTCAGTCGTCTCTCAGAGCTTCTTCTTGTATGAAGGATAAAATAACAAGTTATTTCAATATACTTCAAAAACAATTTTTTAAAGCAAATATCAATAATAATAATATGTGGAATTTTGACGAAATTGGATTGTTAGGCAATCAAGGTAAACAGCATATAATTTGAAGCTGCTAAATGCCATTTAAAACTGGTTGGTAACAACAAAAAAATTAAATACACAGCAGATAATTGTGTCAACGCTACTGGTACCATTCTGCCACCATTTATAGTTTATGAATATATCACAATATCACGCCTGTACATAGATTGCAGGGTGTTAGCCAGCCTGATGGCACCACGTATAACTCTGTATTCCCAATTGGCTTAAAATTCCCAAAGGTACATAATCATATTAAAAAAATCTAAATCAGTTTCAGATTTAAAGTGTCGCGCTAGACAAGTAAAAAACGCAATTAGTACATACGACGAGGAAATAAATTAAGTTGATAAACTTTTTTAATGTGTAAAAACGTGTCATTATTAACAAACATCATTAACATTAACAAGATCATTCATTCATAAGTTGATAAAAACTTTTTTTTTTAATTTTTATTGACGTCAGTTATTCTTTAGTAGATTTTTCAATATGTTTAATAAATCATTTTATTAATTTATTTTTATTATTCAAAAAATCTTTACTTACATTTTTTCTGTTTATCTTAATTTAAGAAAGTTACAATGAAATTTGCATATTACTAAATATTATACTTTAAAATAAGTTAATAACGTTTTTGTTATAAAAGATTTATTAATACTTTTGGTAAAATAAATTAGCTGGTAAAGTAAATAACAACAAAAAAAATCAAAAATAAAACTTGCAGTGAAACGTATTATCTGTTATGCGTAAAACATAAAAGAAGATAATTAAATAATATTAAACTATTATCAACTATTACCCATTATTTGTAAATATAAAAATTATTATTTTTTTAATTTACAAATACAAAATTTACTTATTTAATGTATATTTGTAAACTAAAAAAATTCCTCGTGCGGTGAAAAATTTTTGCTCTGCCCCTTAAATGCCTTAGTTACTTATTGAAATTAAAGTAGCATATCGCAACTAAAGTTCTTTTAACAAGCATCATATTTGAAAGAAATCCGCAAGCCAACCAAGCTTTTCAATTAAAAGATTTCAAAAACTTTCATTTAATTTTCATTTAAAAGTTGTTGATTTAAATAAGTTTTTTAACTTTTAAATTTATCCAATGATAAAAATTATAAAATAAAATATGATGAACAATAATACTAATACTTATGTAAAAAAGTTTAAATTTTTCATTTTTATTTTTTGATTTTAAGTTTTAAAAGTATTTAAATACTTAAATATTCAAAATCTTTTAAAAAGTTTAAAAAAGCGCCACCTCAAGGCTGTGAAACATGAGCTTTTGCAAGGTTTTTTTAAACCTTGACTATAGTCAAGGTTTAAAAAAGTGTACACCTCAAAGCCTTGAGGCAGCACTTTTTTAAACATTGGAGTTGTCAAACATTTGGTCTTTATGGAGTAGAATACAAACCTGTAAAAATATTTTTTTTTTACTGTGTTTTCCTTCGTAAAAGCCGGAATTCTGGCAATCCTACATGTAATGTATAGTGTTTTTATCGACAGTCATTAATTAAAAAGTTGTTTTAGCAATTTGAAAAGTAACAAGATGATTGTGGAATTCATCAAAAATGTTTTGTTAAAAATCAAATATATTTAGCATTTTTTTAAATATTTATAATTTAAAAATAAAAATAAAATTAAAAGAAGACATTATATGTAACTGATCGTTTAAACCTTTTAAAACTGTATTTAAAAGCAAAGTACGCAATTAAAATAGATCAAAGTTTCAATGAATAAATTTAATAATTTCTTCATTAAAACTGCAAACAATTGTTTTTTGTTCTTGTTTTCTTTCTACTTTATCAAACAAAGTAAAGAAGCGATTTAAAAAAGAAAACTTTAGAAGATTACTCAAAATGAATCAATAATTAGAATTAAACATTCATAAAATAGAAAAATATTTCTGCTACAATTATAAGCCAGCAAAAATAGAAAATTATTTTGAATAAAATTTAATTGTATCTAAAAAATGTCAAATTTATCTACTTTTTTGAATGTCAGGATGCAATGACCTTTTTTTTTTTGCTACACCTAAATTCCCAATTTCGCAAAAATGCCATATGAACTTTTTTCCTGGCTAACACCCTGGACTGGTATGCGGGAGACCATCAAACACTGTATTTACATCATCCAAATGAGGATGAAAGAGAAACAATTTACTCAATGGCTCACTAAAGTATTTATACCAATAATCAAACTAATTCCAGATAATTAGTATGCTCTACTTAAATTGAGTAGTTCAATCAATTAATCAAATAATTTTTTCAATTACAGATATTCATATTTTAGTTTTGGACAGACAGGTCACACATCTTACTTACAATTTTTCATGTACATGCATTGATAATAACATCAGGGTGAAATGTTTACTGGCTTATTCATACTACATACTTCAACCATTAGACATACTGGTATATTGTCGAGTTAAATGAGTTTGGCACAAATTACTTACAGAATTAAATGCAGCTATAAATTTCATTAACTTAAGAAAGTTTCATTCAACTACAAGCAAAAATTTTCGGTGAAATATTTGCTGGATTTCAAAACACTGATTTCTTTCCACTTGATATTAGCAAAGTTGAGCACTCAAAATTACAAACGGCTCAAACATTTCAACTACTATTTCAGCCTGCTTCATCATCTTCATTAGAGACTGCTTATCACCCTCAACTGCTTTATCATCCTTATCCCAGCCTATATCATCTTCTAACATTAGTCAATACTGCACTCAAACAATTTGCAAACTTAAAAATTTAACACGGATAGTGACTGCTGCTCAAACTTCACAGAAAAACTTAAAAAAGAATTTAAACTTCACAGAAAGATTAAAAAAAAGGCAAATTGAAAAATGTATTATAGTGCCACCATGTTGACACTAAAAAAAAAAAAAAAAAAAGAGTTAAAATTCTGAGAGTTGAAGGTCAGTGTTTAAGTAAATCTGAGGTGCTCTAGAAACTAAAGCAAGACAATGAGGTCAAAAAGTCAAGAAATTAAAGAAACGCCAGAATAACTTCAGTGAAACTTTAGATGAAACTCAGCAAGTGCAACATTCAAAAAACCTGAGACAAGACAAAGACATCAAAAGGTTGAAAAAATGTCGCAAAATCTGGGAAGAAGCGTTGCTAAATTAAAATAACATATGGTATCGAAGCTTTTAGTTGCAAGTCTTTGGTTTGTCAATTGTGTTTACCCAAAATATACGAAACTGGTGAAAAGTTTTTTTTGTATGAAAAAATGAGCAGAACTGCATGAAACAACTCAAATTTATTTTGCTTGATTTTCTTTATATCTTTATCAATTGTTATTAAAATTTAATTAGTTTACTTTTCCTCAATTATCAGGGAAAAAGTGAATGTTTTTTTCCTTCAAATAAATTTTGTACCAAATTTTCAAATTATTTTTGTCACAATTTTTATATAATGTAAAAATTCTCTATAAAACAAAAAACAAAAAAAAAAAAACAAACCTTAAAATATTTTTTCTTTAAAAAAAATAAATTTGAAGCCGACCCTAATTTACTCTATATCTGCTAAAATATTATTCATTATACCTGATTAGTAAAATATCAATTAATACATATTAAAATAAAAAACATATTTTTTCGAAAAAAAAGTTTATATGCAGTAGGGTGGGTCATTTTTCAAATTTTCCCAGTAAATCCTTAGGCCATATGATTTTTAAATGTTTTGGCCCTTATATAAAAGTAATCCAAAAAAAAAAAAAAAAAAAAAATTCATTTTTAGGTTTTCAAATTTTGATCTAAAAAATCGAGGTTTTGGGTAAAAAAACGCTTTATACACGGTTTGCCACAACTTTTGACCAGTTGCTCCGATTGATTCAAAAACATCTTTTATGGAATCCTTGATCCCAAATACCCCTAATTAGACACCTAGATAATCATTTTAGCTTAAAAACTTATAATTATAAAAGCTTACAAAAATCGTTATTTTTGATATATTTTGCTGTAATATCTTCCATAACAATGTTATGTGAATGTAAAGCTGCAAAACAGTTTCAAAGGATTTCTCAATCACAACACGAGGCACAACCAAATAGAAACATGAAAAATCATTAATTATTGTTTATAGCAGTATTTACCAATTTATCATTCTCAATGCAAGAGTAAACTTAATTATACTAAATATACAATAAATATAAACTTATTACTTAAAAAAGCTTAAGCAAATTCTGTTTAGATTCTAAAACAGGAAGAAGTTCTCTGTGAGCTATTGATGCCTTTATAAACCCGTCTCATCTTTCCTGTCCGTAAACTATACTAGAAGCTCTTGTAACTTCTTTCACAATACTTTTTATGGATTGCCCAAGTACAAGAAATTCTGGAACTTCATTTGGAACTTCTAAAAACTTAATAAGTTCTTCTTTACCAATCTTGCATGTGAGCAAAGGTTCATAAATATCATTACTCCAACCAATCAATTCAATAATAGTTTCAGCATTAGTTTTAATATTTGGGATATTTCTTGGTCTAACAGCAGTAATTCCTAGGGAGCTCTAACTCCTTATTGAAAGTATTTTATTTACTGCAAACTTCTTCTCCTCTTTACCTTTGCTGCATAGTAGTGCTTGTAGAATAGATTAACTGTGAGCATTCCAGGCAGAGGAGCAAACATAGGGCAAAACTGCTTGTTGAATATTTAAGTTCATTTTTCGGACAAGTTCCAGCTGTTTGATAATATGGTATGGTCCATTGGTCCATTTATCTTTTACCTGAACATTAATAATAGATTTTTCAAAAATAAATAGACGATTATCAAACTACATATAAACATCTCTTACTTTAATTTCAAACCATAATACAGAATTGAACCAACACAAAACTGTACAAGGTGTTTTAAATTCTCAACAGTCCATGCTCTGAACACCAAATTCTGCAAAGTTTACTTGCCAAATTCAACTAGCGTACGTTATTCTGGGGACCAACTTAAATTTTTTTTAAATTTTTGGGCATTATTTTATTTTCAATAGCCTTTGTTATTCGGTATAGATATTTTTAATCACTCAATAAAGTTTTTAAAATATCATCATCAATATCTAATAAATTAATTTCAGTATCTATATCTTGAATCACAGTGGAAATTGAATCACAGAGATCATTGGCAATAGGAACAAGTTTACCGATATTGCCAGAAAACTTGTTATTTAAAGTTGTTTTCCCGTCAACAATTGACATTAAGTGCCTCAAGGGTAATTCATTTGTGTGCAAAGCCCAAACTATTCAAATAAGTTTTGTTTGAAGTTTTTTTTCTAAAAAATGAATGATACCTCCTTTCCAACCTATAAAATAATTGTGTTTAAATATATGTACGACATTTATTATCAAATATTTACCTGTATTTATTATCAATTATTTACCTGTATTAAGATTGGTAGAATCACAGCCTACAGCAACTGGAGTTGATTCTACCCCATGTTCAATAATTCATTTATATATATGTTCTGCTATGTGCTCTGCTGGGGTATTACACTCAGATCGGTTTTCTTTATCATTTTTAAAATGGTACAGATATAAACCACGTGGCTCTGCACAAACCGAATAATGGTCTTCTTGAACAAGTCTGTGGTGAAATTTTCCATCTTCTCCCATCAAAGAACATTTTGTCTAATCCTTTCTTCCATCAAATAAAATACATTGAACTCCATCTTTTACAACATTTTCAGATTTTAATTGTTTCATCACCCTCAATTTAGATCTTTCAATTTTCTTATGATCTGTCACTATTTCACTGTCAAACACTCTCTTTTTAAGAAAGCCTGCTTCTTTTGCTGCTTTCAGTGCTAATGTTGAAATAGCAGCAGTTGCTCGATTTGATACCCCATATCTTATTGATGCTAATGCAACTTCTTCTATATTCAATGTCTTTTTCGAAACTTGTCTACTAATGCACTCAAAACTATTGTCAGAAACAACATCTTCATTGTCAGTATTCGCAATATTATCAATTGTTTTTTTGATTTCATTTTCTTGAGAATGAAAAAATAGGTACTCTATTTGTGGCTTCTTTTTTCCAGTGGCCTTTTTTTATTATTTTTTTCTTTTCTATTGGTTTCTTTAAAATCTGGAGCACCCATTTGCATACCACTTTTTGTTCCAAATTTTTCTCTTTGAAATTTCATAAACTGAAATTCTAATTGTAGAAATTTTGTTTTCTCTATTGCATTGACAAGAAATATGCGCTTTAAAATTACAAGAATTACAACTTGCCTCCCCACAAGAAACATTGTCACACTTGCACTTTGCTATATCAAATAGCTTGTCCAGAGTTTGCTTTACAGTTTTCATCTCTTCTTAGAAGCAGATCATACTTTATAACATCTCTTAATGTGAACTCAGAATCTAAAAACTCACTTGCAAAACCAATCATAACACTTAGTTTGTAACTTTGACTATTTTTACGTGTTTGTTTAGCCATTGATAAAGAACTCAAAGTTATCAATAGTTTATAAACAATATTTATTGTAGATTTAACGTGTCAACTCTAATGCAGCATTTAAAATGCAGCAAATTCAGATACTAAAGCAACGGTTTAAAATGCTGCAATTCAAATGCAGAAACTTATGAATGATATTTCATAAGTTTTTTCATATAATCTACTAAATAAATTTAAGTTTAACCAAAACATCTTATTGTAACTACGCAAGATATTCCAGCAAAATATATCAAAAATAACGATTTTTGTAAACTTTTATATTTATAAGTTTTTAAGCTAAAACAACTATCTAGGTGTCTAATTAGGAGAATTTGGGATCGAGGATTCCGTAAAAGATGTTTTTGAGTCAATTGGAGCAACCGGTCAAAAGTTGCAGCAAATCGCGTATATAGCGTTTTTTTTAACCTAAAACCTCAATTTTTTAGGTCAAAATTTGAAAACCTAAAAAAAAAAATTAAATTTTTTTTTTTTTGGATTACTTATATATAAGGGCAAAACATTTAAAAATCATATGGCCTAAGCATTTACTTGAAAAAGTTAAAAAAATGACCTGCCCTAATATGCAGCCATACTTATTGAATTCTACGCATTTGATTGTATAACAAGAAAATGACTATTAAAGATAAGACTTTTAAAAAAATTATTATTATTAAAAAATACTTCGTTATTACATAAACTAGTTTAAATTTTATGTATACAATCAGTTCTATACAATCATTTGGTGATTATATCCTAAAGTATATACATGAGGTGGAAAATTCTAAGTAAACTCTTGCTAAAATTGTATACATTAAAAGAGAAACTTAAAGAGATTTCTACACTTTTTAAAATCTATATTGATTTTTTTGCTTCCCAAATCATTTCCAAAAATATTGTGGAGCTTAAAAATGATTTTATACTATTTAAACAAATAAAGATATTAAAAGTATATTAAAAATTATAAAATTTTTTATTGTAAATAAAAACAATTATTACAGTATAAATAACTATTTTCAAAAATTGTTACAAAAGTACAGTTGAACTCATGTAATTTGAATGTAAGTTCAATCCTAAATATTAAACCTTAGTTTGATTTAATTGTTTGATTTAAATGATTTGTCAAATTTATAGGAGTAGAAATCACAATAGTTCAACTGTATTTTTATTTAATATTTTTAATATAATGGAAACAATCAAACTATGTAAACCAAACCTGAAGGTTGAGGGTTTTTATATTCAACTAAAGTTACATTGAAATTAATCTTTGCTTGGTTACGTAAAGGATGTATGGTATGAGAAAACTTAGTGTAGAAATCGCCATTTCTTTCCGAAGTATCTGAATCTGAACACCAGCCATTATTGATTTTCGCATTAATTTTAAAGGGTATTAATTTTATGTAATTAAATGACATCTTATATTGAATGGTACCACTTGTACTCACACGAGGATCACTAACATTGTATCTAAAGTGAAATTATTATTGAAAATTAAAAAAAGAAATAACTGAATAATTCTTTTTTTTAACATTAAATTAAAAAATTTAAAATTTTTTAATTTAAAACAAGTATAATAAATATTCAAAAGTTTAAAATGAAAAATATAATGTTTAAAAGTTTAAAATGAAAAATAAAACGTTTAAAAGTTAAAAATGAAAAATAAAATATTTGAAAGTTTAAAATGAAAAATAAAATGTTTAAAAGTTTAAAATGAAAAATAAAATGTTTAAAAGTTAAAAATGAAAAATAAAATATTTAAAAGTTAAAAATGAAAAATAAAATATTTGAAAGTTAAAAATGAAAAATAAAACGTTTAAAAGTTAAAAATGAAAAATAAAATATTTGAAAGTTTAAAATGAAAAATAAAATGTTTAAAAGTTTAAAATGAAAAATAAAATGTTTAAAAGTTAAAAATGAAAAATAAAATATTTAAAAGTTAAAAATGAAAAATAAAATGTTTAAAAGTTTAAAATGAAAAATAAATTGTTTAAAAGTTTAAAATAAAAAAATAAAATGTTTAAAAGTTAAAAATGAAAAATAAAATATTTGAAAGTTAAAAATGAAAAATAAAATGTTTAAAAGTTAAAAATGAAAAATAAAATATTCAAAAATTAAGATGTAAAAATAAATATTTAAAAATGCAGCTAGAATGTAAAATAGTATAATAGTATAACTTATAATTCATAAAAAAATTAAATTCACCGCGCCCTACTCTGCATTGCATATCATTTAATAATAAAACAAGAAGTTAATATAAAATATCAAATATATATAATGGTAATGGAATTGTCTATATATTTTTCAAGTCTTTTTATCAAAATGTTTAGAATTTACTTTTAATTTATACATTTTTTGTCCTGTAATTCATCAAAGATGAATTACAGAACAAAGATTTTGTTTGTATTTCTGTTTTTATGACTATGCAACTCATTCTACTATCTCCTAATAAGGGTACAGCTCTAAAACTCAGTTTTAAAGTTCTGAGGCCGGCTGGTAGTCAGTTTCATAAACTCTGTGGTAGCTCACAGAGAGGCTGATTTCATCAACAGATGAAAAATATCAAAGCACTAACAGTGCCATGCTGTGCATGGATGGTTTCCCTGTTTGTACTTTTGGTGTGCATTAGCAAGGCCACATTGGAGCCCTTTGATACAGCTAAGGGTTTATTAATAGTAATGAAGCAATAGCTTGGGCTATTAAACAGTGTACTGAGTACTATCTATGTTTTGAGTCGAGTTTTTTAACAAATTTAAAAAAGAATAACGTAACAAAAACTATAAAACACAAAAAACCACAGTCATCAACAAGTTCGGTAAACCTATCATTCACTGACATTTGTGGTCTTCGAAGTAACTTTCTTCTGTTGAGTCTTATCTCTTGCAAAGTTCACCAGATCTACTTGCTCTTTGTGAGACTTATTTGAGTTCAGCTGTCTCATCTTGTGATCTTAGTGTTGATGGTTATCTTCCTTTAATTCGGAAAGACTCCAACAGTCACATGCTTGGCTTGGGCATTTACATTCGTAAGAATTCACCAGTTTGTCAAGAAACTAGGTTTGAGTCCACAGACTACTTTTTTATGTGTTTTTGTTCAGCACCACTTCACTCTATCACCTTTCTCTTTATCCACCAAGCCCTCTCTCTTTATCCACCTGACAAAATTGTTGTTGCTGGTGACTTTAATGTTCATCACAATGAATGGCTTGCTCTAGTGTCAGTGACTCTGCAGGCAATAAAGCCCACAACTTTTGCCTTTGTCAATCCCTGACTTAAATAGTCAACTTTCCAACTCGCTTTCCAGACAATCTGAATCATTTATCTTCTCAACTCGTTTTATGTCTTGTTTCTGATCCTATTCAGTGCACAGTTTCTCCACGTTCACCCTTATGATTGTGCTTCTGATCATGGTTTGGCCTCTCTAAAACTATTATCTTATTCTTCTTTATTATTAGAATCCCCCTGTCATACATCTTACAACTACTTTAAAGCTGACTGGGACTCTTTCCGTGACTTTCTTCGTGATGGCCCCTGGGTAGAAATCTTTTGTCTCCCTGTTGACAAATGTGCTTTTTACATAACTTTGTGAATTCAGGCTGGCATGGAATCCTTTATTCCCTCTCGACGATTCCAGGTCAAGCCTCACTTTTCTCCATGGTTTTCCTCACATTGTGCTGCTGCAATTGCCAATCGAAACCATTACTTCCATATCTATCAGCAAAACAATTCTCCAGAAAACAGACATCTGTTTATTACTGCTAGGAACCATTGTAAAAAGGTTTTGTCTAATGCCAAAGCCCACTATTCTCAGATCATGAAATCTCGTATTTCATCACAAAAGTTAGGCTCTTGTGACTTCTGGAGAATCTTTAATAGTATCAATATTAAGGGCAAGTCTGTAATTCTAACTTTTTTGAATTGGTCACTCCAGCTCCTGTATCTAAAGTGATTTCCCGCTTAGACTCTTCTACAGCTTGCGGCCCGGACAACATACCTGTTATAGTCTTGCAGAAGTGTTCTCCGGAGCTGTCGTCTATCATTTCAAAACTACTTAACAAGCGCTTATCAGAGTCTTGCTTTCCAGCCTGCTAGAAAGCAGCATCTGTTATCCCTATTTTTAAAAATTCTGGAGAGCGATCCGATTTGTCTAACTACCGTCCCATTAGTCTTCTTCCTATCATAAGCAAGGTTTTTGAATCTTTAATTAGCAAACACTTAATCTCTCATCTTGAATCTAATAACTTACTTTCTGATTTTCAATATGGATTTCGATCTTCTCGTTCTACGGCTGATTTGTTAACAGTAATAACCAATAGGTTTTATCGCGCATTAGATAAAGGTGGAGAGGTTAAGGCCATCGCTCTTGACATATTTAAAGCATTTGATAAAGTTTGGCATGCTGGTCTTCTCCATAAACTTTCTTCTTACAGTGTATCTGGAAACATCTTTAAGATTATTGAATCCTTCCTTTCCAATCGTAGTATAAAAGTTGTCCTTGATGGACAACACTTTTCTTATTCTGTAACCTCAGGGGTTCCTCAAGGTTCAATCCTTGGCCCTATACTCTTTTTAATTAACATTATCAATCTTCTAGATATTTTCACATATAAGGTAGCATTGTTCGCTGATGATACTACCATTTATTCTTGTCACAATAAGAAGCCAACTCCCTCTGATTGCTTGCAGGGGGTATTTGAGCTTGAAAAGGATCTTACTTCTGCTACAGCATGGGGCTCACAGTGGCTGGTGAACTTTAATTCAAATAAAACTCAATTTTTTTCAGTCAATCGTTATCGCAATAATTTAGACTTTCCTATATTTATGAACAGAAATGTCCTAGATGAGTTATCTACCCTTCATCTTCTAGAATTAACTCTTACTTCTGATCTTTCTTGGAAACCTTATATTAAATCCGTTGCAAAATTAGCATCTGCTAAAGTTGCATCTCTTTATCGAGCTGGACACTTTCACATCTTCGTAATTTTGCTTCTCTTTCTCTTTTCTACAAATACTATAATGGGCACGGCTCTAAAGAGCTAGCGTCTCTTGTGCCATCTACTAAAATTCATTCTCGTGTTACTTGTCATTCAATAAAGTCTCATCCTTTTTCTGTTACTTTTTAAATCATTTGTTAACCAAAAATATTTAAAAACATTCATAAGACTAAAAAGAGCCAATATAAAACACTTAAGGCTCAGTTTCTGTTTCTAAAATAATTTAGTAGGAATAAAAAAAGAAAAAAGCAATTCTCATTGAAAAATCTTTTTCTAATGCTAAAAAAAATGACTTTGGTTCAGTATGTATACTCAAACAGTCAAAAAAGAACATTAAATTCCAGTTGTCAGATTTTTTTAAAAAGATAAAACAAGAAGATTTAATTAGATAAAACAATATATATATATATATATATATATATATATATATATATATATATATATATATATATATATATATATATATATATCCATATAGTGTAGTCGAAAGAGCGTTTTAATGTAAAAAAAGTCTCTTACGACTACAATTTTAATTACCTCATCTCTTAAGCTGTATTTGATTGTCGTCGAAATGTCAAAGCAATTAAATTAATGCGGAAGTACATTAAATTTTATTGTTTTTTAAAAATTTTTTAAAAAACCGCAATTATAACAACTAGAAAGTTTATTTTTATCAGTGATGTTTTTGATTTTATTTTATTAAAAAACATTTTTAAAACATGCGTAAATGTTGCTACATTGACTATCTTATAGCCTGACTCGCAATGGAGTGCTGCTACATCGACTGACAAATAGCCTGACTCGCAACAGAGTGCTGCTACATCGACTGACAAATAGCCTGACTCGCAAGGGCGTGCTGCTACAACGACTGAAAAAATAGCCTGACTCGCAAGGGAGTGCTGCTACATCGACTGAGGGTTTGGTTTAGGCAGGCAGTCTATCATTTAAAAAAAAAAATTTTAGTTTTTAAACTTTTTCTGGTCTGGTTTATTAATGCGCTCTTTAAAACTACAGTTAATGGGAAACTCTTTTCAACTACCATGCAAGAGTATATATATATATATATATATATATATATATATATATATATATATATATATATATATATATATATATATATATATATATATATATATATATATATATATATATATATATATATATATATATATATATATATATATGTTTTAATGCCATATCTTGTTGTACGTGAATATATATATTTAAAATATACAGCATAAAACAACAGCTGCATACAAACTAAATTTTTTCTTTGTAATATTTCAATCTGTTTTTGCACAGATTGTCATCAGATGTAAAATATAATACAAAAAGCCGTTACAAATATTACATAAAAACGTCAAAGAAGACATTAAAAAGAAGCCATAAATGATACGTAAGATTAACCAAAAGATATGATATGTTAGATTAACCAAAGTAAAATCAGATTAACCAAAATATCATTTTAAACACTTAATCAAATTTTTATAAGAAAAGAAAACAAATAATATTAAATACATAATACTTACGTTGCTAAAAAAGGAATATCACATATTTCATCACATTTTATTGCCTCCTGTAGAGTCAAGATCAAACACGAGCCTTCTTTTAATGTTGCATCTTGTGGAAGAATAACTGAACCAGATACCTCTATAGCTTAAAAACAGATTATAAACAAACTTTTTAACACAATTTTAAATTAATTTTAAGTTACTATTTTATACTTTTTAAGTTTGATTACTTACAAAGTATTTTAAGTTTAGTTGCTTACTATGTTAAAATTACATTAACTTCATTTAAAAGTTATAAGAATTCCAAACCAACAAAAAAAAGGAAAAAATATTTTACAAAAAAACAAACCATTTTGACATGGACCATCAAACTCTATCATTAGGTTATTATCTTCACACTGTGCCACTAATATAGAGCATAGGTTTTTGAATTGCACACCATTTGAACCACACTTTGGATTATCCTCATCATCAGGACATTCCTTGTTGCATTTTGTATTATCTAAAATATTGAAAATGTTTATTAAAACTTTGTGAAATTTTGTATCCTACATTTTAAAATGTTCAAATTGAGTTCCCTGAAGATCAATTTTATATATATATATATATATATATATATATATATATATATATATATATATATTTTTTTTTTTTACACAATCAGTTTTAAAAAATTATAAAAAACTCACAATAAATAACCTTATTTTATTATAATGGTTTTTCATCAACTTAAATTCTGGAACAGCATACTAGACATTTTTTATATGAAAAATTTATATTTTAGGTTATTTTTTTGGGGCAGGTCTTACATGAAACAATAGTTTAGTTCAAAAAGAAGAATGTGTTTAATATTTAGGGCATTATAAAATATAAACAAAATAGAACGTAATTTGTATAATTAAAATAAGTTTCTTTGGTTGTTAAGTATTTTAAACTTCATTATTCCCAATCTTTAACCAGTTGTTAAAAAAAATCTATTCTAAGAAACAAGACTTTAATTAGAGTAAAATTTAAAAAATCAAAACTAATTAAACAAAACAACAAAAAAAAACTAAAAAACTTACTACACAACACTTTTTTACCATCCAAATAAAAATCAGCTTTGCAACCACCACAATAATTAGGTTTGCACACAGCGTCTGGATAATCAAGACATGTTAGTTTATCACATGGTTTAAAACCACATGTAGGTGTTGGGGCATCTTCTGGACATTCTTAAAGATAAAATGAAAGTAATGCATTAAAAAGTTTTTTTAACCAGAAATTTAATCTTACTAATAAAAATGCTTTTTGTTATTAAAAATTTAATGGATTAAACAAGGAATGATATAACAGAGTTTATAGAATAACATATGAGCACTAATTTATATATATATATATATATATATATATATATATATATATATATATATATATATATATATATATATATATATATATATATATATATATATATGTATGTATATATATATATATATATATATATATATATATATATATATATATATATATATATATATATATATATATATATATATATATATATATATATATATATATATATATATATATAAGAATAAAACTAAATCACAAACTTCCTTTTTTTCTTTCTTTTTCAAACTACTTTGACTATATTTAATCTATTAGAATAATAAATTACTATTTAATTACAAAAATACAAACCATTAGGACATTGACCATTAAACTCTATCATTAGGCTATTATCTTCACACTGTGCTACTTCTATAAAGCAAGGTGACATGTATTGGACACCGTTTGATCCACATATTGGTTTATATTCATTAAGAGGACACTCCTTGTTGCATTTGGTATTATCTGAAAATCATTGCAAAAAAAAAAAAAATAAATAAAAATAGTAATACAAATAATTTGATTGATTTAAAATATTATCAAGAAATAATTTCATCAATTAATTAATTTGATTTAGTCCATAACTGTTAATTGTCTAAAGCTTTAGTAAATAATTTAACAGCAATAAAACTTAAAAAACATTCTCTGGCCATAAATGACTGCAATAAAAATGCAAAGATATTTTCTAAAATTTAAATGTGCAGATTAATGTTCATTGTTTAACTAAATTGACATTATAAATATAATAGTCCAATAATATATAATTAGTGGTGACTTTAGACACCACAAATTATAAGATTATTTTTTAATATAAAACATAAATAAATAATATAAACTAAACACTTAAAACTATGAAAACAAATTCAAACATGGTTTTTAAAGAGTACACTTTGTTTTACAATTGTTTTACACGTTTTTTTTTTTACACTTGTTTACTGATAGTATAGCCTACTATAAATTTACAAAAAAGGATGTTTATATACAAGTATAGTTGTATACAGCTCACTAGTGGTGTTACAGAGTTATGTAACATTATAGATGTTGTTCTTATCATTGCTAGTATTAAGTCTAGAAAATATGTATTTGTCGAATACAGAAAAATTAAAAAAGAGGTTAAAGTAAATAGTAAAATAGAGATAAAACATTTTTTCTTCTAAAGATACAATTGGATCAGCTCGTGAAGCAGAAGAGACATTATGGGAAAAAGTTTTATGTCTATTTCAAGTTTAGAGAATCATCTTTGCAACAACAAGACAACAAGAGTTTTGTTAAAGATTATGAGAAAGTTCTACACCATGTATGTTACAATGCATGAGAGTAAAACATAGGCAATGAAGATTAATGATGTCTAGCATCTGGAAAGAGCAGATATCATAATGATCAGATGGGTCTATGGTGTGAAAGATGAAGAAAAAAAAGAAAAGAAGCAATAAATTTGACAGATATGATAAAATTGTGCTAATAATAAATACTTAAATACAACACATACAAAAACAATTGCATCTTGTATATGATATAAAATCATTTAATTGGTTACTTCAGAACTTTAAAAAAAAAGACATCAAAATATAATACATATATTTATTTTAAAACAAAAACATTCCATCAGCTTAAAATATTCAACTTACTACACTGCACTTTCTTCCCATCCAAATAAAAATCAGCTTTGCAATCACCACAGTAATTAGGTTTGCACACAGCCTCTGGATAATCAAGACATGTTAATTTATCACATGGTTTAAAACCACATGCAGGCGTAGGGACGTCATCTGAACACTCTTAAAACAAAATAAAATGTAAAATTTCAATCACAAATCAATTTACAATATTCAAAACAAAATAATTCAAAACAGAACTTAACAGAACTTAATATTTTTATAAAATTAAAAAAAAATTTCAACACAGTATTTTGTGAAACTCAAGAGTTTTTTTTTAGATTTTAGGTTAACTGATGCGTATATATACCCCCAAGCCATTCATGTGACTATTGGAGTCTTTGCAAATCAAAGGATAGTACACATCAACACTGAGATCTGAAGAAGGAATAACAGAATTTAAATTAGTATCACTAAGAACAAGCAAGTTTGGCGAATTTAGTAAAATTCGCCAGACTTGCTAAAATTCAACTGATGAAAGGTTGCTTTGCAGATCACTAATATTTTTGAAAGATACATTAAAATAGTTAGGCGGTAGGGATGGTTTTTTCTGTTTAATATTTTAGGTTACTTTTAGCATAATTTAAGTTTAAAGAGAACTTACATCATCTACAGATAGACTCATTTACAGAAAGAGCGCGGCCTCCTAAGCAATGAGCTATGCATTTGTTTCAGTCCTGTTCTAACTCTAAGTTGTAACATAGGGCTCCTTATGAGGCCTCAACAATGCACACCAAAAGTATTACCAGGGACACCATCCATGCGCATTATGGCGTTGTTAATATTCTGATAATTTGCAGCTGTTAATGGAATCAAACTTTCCGAGAGCTACCACATTGTTTGAGAAACCTTACTACCAGCTGGCATGAAAATCAATAAATTGAGTTCTAGAGCTGTACCCTCATTAGGAGGTAATAAAAAGACTTGCATAGCCACTATCAAGGAGGCACATGCAAAAATCTATGAGTATAGTCAATAAGATCCAGCATTCATCATGCTAGGCAGTAAAAAATTTAACACAGGTTTACATCTATACCAGCCTACTAGATGAAGGGCTTCGAGGCTGGTCAACAGAATAATTCTGCTTACCCCTAAAGTCATTGCCTAGGAGACCTTCTATAAGTTAGTAGCTGGATGCATTTAACAACTGCAATGAGTATTTTTATCGAGACACCATTTCTAGCCTTTATAAAACCAAGAGCCCGAAGGCAGGGGATTTTCAAGTCAAAGTTTTTTTCTCCTAGCTTTTGCCTAAAAAGCACACCCTACAAGGCAGCAGGGCATGGGGCAGGTAGTGCTAGTTTAAATAATACCAGTGTAGAGTGACTATCCTGAATCTGACCTGACCTGGAAAAGTTGAAAAAAGTTACTTTCTGTAAACAATACTTTAAAACATTAGGCATGGTATTTTAATAACACATTAGCAAAAACATTACATCTAACAAAATAATAGAGATTAAGGTGAGCTAAGTTTTATAGTCCAAGTCACTAGTTAGTTGCTGAGCTTATATTTAAGCTTAACATTAACTTTGTTATTATTTAAGCATAGCTTAAAAAATCAACATCATAAAACAACAAACCCAAACATAAAATCAAAAGTTTTTGAACCATCTTGTAATATAAATAACAGATAAAAATATGATAAAAGAAATGAAAAAATACAAACTTTAGATGATTTAATAAAAAAAGTCACCTATACAGCTACCATCGTGAACATATTTAATGGTTTGATTCTGACATTGTGCATTTTTAAGCATGCATAAGTTTGGATATGTCTGATAATCACTCCCACAAACTGGAGTGCTTTCTTCTGGGCATGTCATTTGACAGGTAGAGGTTTCTGGCACTATTTCCTGGCCAACATCTGAGTAATCTGTCATAACAAAAAGTAAAAGTTTTTAAAACAACTTTAAAAATTTTAAATAACGTTATCTTACTAAGAAGATATTACAGTCTAGTATGAAAAATGATATAAATATAATATAAAACAATTACTAGAATTAACATTTATATAATTGTAATATGAATAAAGTAATAAGATTGTTGTCATTATTATTCAATTTATAGCAATGTAACAAAAAAACATCAATTATAAGAAATCATAATCAAACCAGTTTGACAAGGTCCATTGTTTGCCAAAATAATACTATGGTCTTTACATTGTGCTATTTCCAAATGACAAAGATTTGGGTATTCGACGCCATTTGATCCACATTTAGGGTTATAATCGAATGGGCAGAATTTTAAGCAAGTTTTATTTTCTGAGAAATAATTTTATAATTATTTAGATTGACACAAAAAGTTAAAAATGATAAATGTTAGTAACATGAATAATTTAATTATGCTATTTACAGTTTATACATAACTTTTTGGCGTCCAATGCCAGAACTGAATTTGTGAAAATGTTCTAGAACCGAATTGTCTAAAAACTGCTTAGAATCGATAAAAATATTACTAATTTCTAGAATCGAATTTATTGAACAAAGAATGAGATTATTGAATATCATTAAAAGTTTAATGAAACGAAAAAAACTTTAAAAAAATTAATTACTTTTTACAATCGAATAATTTAGCATCGATTTTTTTACAATCGAATTTGTAATTTTAAAACTCAATTACTTTTCACAGCATCGAATTTTTTTACAACCAAATTTTTTTACAATTGTAATTTTAATGCACTTGTGATGCAGTTGAAAGACAGCATAATTTTTTCAAACTGGTTTTTGTGTTAAAGGTTAAAGTGTACATGATCCTGCAAAAAAAGTTTTTTATTATTTTCGAAAATATTATATTTATTTGTTGCAAAATTTTATGTAAACATAAAAAATTTTATGTAAACATAAAAAATATATATAGAAGAAAATATATATAGCTTTGTTTAAATTTAAAATAGTAAAATGGAATACAATAAAATTGAAGGTGACAAATGGAAAACATTTGTGTATGTTGCAGGAGACTTTAACTACATCAAAAATAAGGAAAACAATGGTTTTGTGTATCTTAAGTGTAAACACCATCAACTTTGTGATGGAAGTGCAAAAATAATTTTGTCAACTAATTTACTCGAGAACATACATGGTCACACTTTTGGAACTAGACCCCAAAATTTTGATCAACTTCCAGCTCTTGAGAAAATGTGAGACATGGCTTTAACTACACAGCTACCTTTGTTTGAAACCTACAACAATGTAATCGTGTAGTCCTCAAATGAAGGTGTCAAGGCTGCACTTACTTCCAGAAAGTGCGAACAAATTCTACAGAGTGCCCAAAGAAGTTGCTACAGCACAAACCCTAAATCTCCAAATGAGGCAGTTCTAAACATGTTGCAACCAAATCCATTTTCTAACATCTACAAAGGCCTTGTAGAGTTTGAGGATCAGCTAGCTTTGTTCTTTAACACTGCTGACATATTTGTCAGGTAAATCATTTTTAATTAATATAATTAATTTCAACATCAAAATGGGGGAATCAAACCTAAACTAATTTTTTATTAAATTAGATCCCAGCTATTTTAAAATGTTAATCATTTATGTTTTTCAGAAACCACTATCCTGTTTGTTGATGCTACATTTCGTATGGTTCCTGCCATCTTCCATGGTGGTCAGCTGTTCAATATTTCACTGGAGTTTGGAACAATGATCCTGCCTGTTCTGGATGTCCCAATGACTGGACAAAAAGGTCTCTACCTACGTGTTTTTAAAAAGCTTCACAAACTTTCTCCAACTTTAGTGCCAAAGATGACTATAAAACTGCAATTGAAAACTCTGCCAAAGCTGCTTTTCCAAACATAAGAATAACCGGTTGCAGGTTTCATTATGCCAGACAATTCTCAGAAAGATTAAGGCCATTAGTCTGCAGGTGGAATACACCAAGAATAATGACCAATCATCAGAAAATGATTTTGTAGCAAGCACACGGAAATGAACTTATGACAAGTTCATTTCCATGTGCTTGCTACCACCCAATTTAGTAAGGCCTGAAGTTGACAAACTAAAAGCTAAAACTAGCCATCAGTGTCATTGCTGTTAAAGAAAAAATGAAAAAGTTTGTTCAGTAGTAAGAAAGTAAAATATTGGATGCTCCAAAAATCTCCTGAAATGTTTTCTGTTCATGGCCTGCATCATCGTACTAACAACGTTTCTGAATTCTTACACTCCAAGATGAATCATTCAATGACTGCACACCCTGGGTTTTGGCGTTTCTTGGACGAGCTTCAACAAAATGAAGTCTTTATATAATAGCACTTTAGTGTTCTGATCCAATAGATGCAGCAGTTGAGATCCTATCCTTAAAATTATTTTTAAAAAATTAATCTTAAATAGGTAATCTATCCAATCGAAGTTGAGATGCTCCAAATCCAAGATGGTTCCCAACCTAGAAGAGAACTGCGTCAAGATCGTCAAAGGCTGCATGAGCGTTTTTGTAGGTATGAAGAAAAGCTTGCAAGTGGTGAATGGAATGCAACCAAATTTCTTGAAGCTGCATCATTCCTCGGCAACGATATGAAAATGCCAAGTGATCAGGAAGTTCAAGAATTCATTCAACAGGTTAATTAATTACAATTTTTAACAATAAACAAAAAGTATTTATTGCATTATATTTATGTTAGGGGTTTGTTGTTGTTGTTTTTGACAAGTGGAGACTTCACTTTGTTGGGACAGTGACAAGGAATTTTACTAGTTAGACTTTTTATATTTATATCTTTTTTCTAAATATCTTCAGGAATCGAAAATTGAAAATGTCTCCAAAGTTTGCCTCGTCAACAGTCTTCGAGTTGTTGTTTTCCCTTGCAGCTATCTTTGCCTATGCCAGCGATGTACTGAAGCCATTCTAAGTAGTAATACTAATCACTGTCCAGTATGCAGAGGACCAACATCAGATTTAATAAATGTGTTTTTTTAATGTATTATTTAATGTATTATTTAATGTATTATTTAATGTATTATTTAATGTATTATTTAATGTATTATTTAATGTATTATTTAATGTATTATTTAATGTATTATTTAATGCATTATTTAATGTATTATTTAATGTACTTTTTAATAGACTATTGCATACATTGAAATTTTAATTTATTTAACTGATTCAATTCTAGAAGATTCAGTTCCAGATGAATGTTATATATTATTTAACTGAATCAAGTTTTAATAACTTAATAATTAAAAAAATTTAATAATTAATAACTTTACTAATTAAAAAAATTTGATCCTAAAAAATTTGACTGTAATGATTCTATCCTAAAAAGAAAGTTCAAATTCGATTCGAAATAGCTTTGATCAATAAAAACTTTGATTGTCTCATTCTATTCTATTCAAATGCGGTTCTGACATTGGACACTAACTTTTTCATTATTTAAAATACTCACTCACACTCAATTAAAAACATAATTAAAAACTCAACAATAATCAAAGCCCAAATCGTCACAGCTATCAATGATCCAAAATATCAGAGATATAAATTGTCTAAAATATCACAGCTATTAATGATCCAAAATATCACAGCCACCAATGATCTAAAACATCACAGCTATCAATGATCCAAAGCATCACAGCTATCAATGATCCAAAGCATCACAGCTATTAATGATCTAAAACATCACAGCTACGAAACTCTATAACATAACAGCTATCAAACTCCAAAACATCACAGCTATCAAACCCCAAAATATCACAGTCATCAGATTCCAAAATATCACAGCCATAAACTTTGATGAACATGATTGATTTAAAGTTTGATTAACATCAATTTCTATTTATAAATATGATGGGGAAAGATTATATGAAATGAAAATATGAGTAATATTTATATATGAAAAAAAAAAAAAAAAGTATAACAGTATAAATCACATGCTGTTTCCAAATTTTTTTTAAATCAATGACATGGTGCATGTTAAAACATTAAACATTTTATTTTTATTTTGTTAAAACAATATTAAACATTTTAACAAATTATTTTTACTTTAAATAGTAGAAGAACTTCATTAATAAAGACAAAAACAGCTGCAACAAAAATTTAGTAAAACAATGAGAGCAGCAGAAAAAAATTTAGTAAAAAGTACAGAATATATAGTTGAATGAAAATAGATAAATGAAGATCATCAAAATATTACTACTAAAGAAACAAAAAATTTAAGGAAAGTATTAAAAATAGCAGATTGAAAATCAAATAAATTAGAAATAGATGGATAAATAAAGAATTTCAAAATGTAACAAATACAAATTTGAAAGCTGAAGAATCACAAATTAATAGATATAATAAAAAATTCTGATATTTAATTGTAGAAATATTTAATTTTTTTTTAACAAGTATATGAAAACCTTGATTTTAAAGTTATAAATTGAATTATAAGATTTTAAATCAGGAGTTATATTTCCATATTAAGTAGAATGGTGTTTTGGAAAAACTAAGTGCAAGCAACTGATAGAGCAAAGAAGATAGTGACAGCTTGTACTTGTAAAGAAAATGTTGAATGGTAGGGGAAAATTTTTGTGATGCTAATTCCAGACAAATTGGCAGTTAAGGAATACTACAAGTCAGCCTAATTTAACATATTGGAGGTATGCTATAATATCTATGTACAATATGATACAAATACAGATAAACTATGTTTTTTAAAAAATCATTTTACTTATTGCTTGTTGACTCACCTAAATCATGCTAGTCAAAACTTGAAAACTTATTTTCAAAAAGCTTTTACCACAAGTTACAATACAACAATTTATGGTAACAATACCACAATTTAAGATAAAACTTGAAACACTCTTAATATAGAAAAAAAAAAGGCTCTTCACAGCGCTTTATAGTAATTCTAAACAGATTTCTTTTTGATTCATTTGTTTAAAGTACTTGACAAGTCTATCTGTTTTCTTCAATTTAGACATTTTTGGAGGTATTCTATAATGCAAGGTTTAGCCCTCATTATTTAAAAATTGGTAAACAGAAAACATGTTTTATCACAACTTCATAAAGCTTACCAATCAAGGATTTTTTTCAGAACATTTACTTGCATGGCAGAGACACCAACAACGTTTTCCTGCAATTTTTATGTAGACACAACTTATATATATATATTTCATCATCAAGTAATAATTGGGTAGGTTGTGTTGTTTAAGATTTTATCACTTAACACTTTGACTTATTTTTTTAATTCTAGGCATTTGCGAAAAATCATGCACAGAATATAGCAAATGTTCTGTCTATTATTTTCATAGTAATAAAACTCATATTTATCATTATAATTATCTCCAATTTACTCTCATTTAATTATAATCGATATAAATAATTTTAAATAAAGTATGATATACATTAGTTATGCTATCAAAGAATAAACTAAGTTTGAAATGGAATCATGCACAAAACATGGAAATGCAAATTTTAGTTACTAGATAGATAAACTTTAATTTCTCAGTTTTAGCAGTATACTCTTTTTAAAATAATATTTAAAATATTTGTAATGATTTTAAGAAAGTTACAAGGTTGCGCTATGTATAACACTTGTCACAGTAATCATTTAAATGCCGTTCATGTGTGGTCAAGCACAGATATTGCAAGTTTGTTGAGTTGTTGTTAGTTTAATGAAAATAAATTGCTTTTGAGTATTTCTAGAGAAATATTCATACAACTCATATTTAATATACTTTCAATAAGAAATAGTAGTCATCAAATATTTCTAGCATTTAGAATTTCAGCATTAAGAAAATCATTGTATATTTTTCATTATTATTTTATCATCAACACAGAAAAAAAAATTAAAAAAATGATAACAGTATTAAACTAAAGTAAAACATTTACAGTTTAAATATTTAAATTTTTTTTGTATATTTGCACAGTGGGAAAAAGTTTAGCAAAAAGGTCAAAACGAAAAGCCGTATATTGACTTTTTTATTCTTTTGCAATTGACATGCATACAAAAACGGCAAAGAATGTTAACTAAATTTTTTACACCCTTGAGCATTTTAACTTAAAGTTAAACATTTACAGATGAGACGGTTGAAAAAGACTTCACATAACTTTACAATTTCTGCAACTGATCTATGTGTAGCCATATGATTTTTGTTATATTTGTGCACAATGATTTTTGCAACTGATCTATGTGTAGCCATAGGATTTTTGTTATATTTGTGTGCAATGATTTTTCAAAATTTGGTTTAAATTTTAAACTTTAGTTTACATTTAACTTTAATTTCAAACTTTAGATGATTTTTTTTTTGGTTTGCTTTTAGTCTGCAATTTAAACTTTTTTGCAATTGATCTAAGTGTAGCTTCACTACTTTTATTATACTTTTTCAAAACAGTTTTTAAACTTCAGTGTGTTTTGGGTTTTTTCTTGCAAACCACCGATCAGACCGTAATGAAACTTTCAAGAATACTAAATAAACTATAATAAATTAAATTACACAGATTATTATGTCCGTAAAGGGTAAAAATTACACATCACAATTTCGTAGTTAATACACACTATACAAGTGATATAGTGACATACTGGTTGTATGCTTAACTGAACATTTTAAAGTTATATCTTTTAATTTGTAACAGAAATATATTTCAAATAAATGAACAGATTTTAATTGTATAGTCATGCATAAATTTAAGTTGCATAACTAATGCAAGCATAATTAATTTTTTAATTGTATTATCTGGTTTATAACAAATACATTTTTTAACTAGATGAGAAAACAAATAAAAATTTTCTATAAACGGCAGCCTATAATGATAAGAAAATCATCTGGTAAACTACAATAATTTTAAGCAAATTTAGTCTTCCATTCAAGCTGAGGAATTTCTTTTCTAATAAAATTTCTTGTGACACCAAGTAAGTTAGTACATATTTAAAACAAGTAACAAATACAGTAAGTAGTTATATTTAAAGTATGTGCTACTTTAATTGAATAAATTTTTTATATAATGCAAAGAATAAAAAGAATAACTAAATGATATTCATATACTTACCACATTCAACCTTCACTCCATTATTAAAGAACTCAGCATTGCACCCTCCACAGAAGTTAGGTTTACAAACAGCTTCTGGGTAATCATTACAAAATAGTCGAGCACATGGTTTAAAACCACATGTTGAAATAGGCCCTGAGCATTCTGTAAAATTAAAACTAATCAACTTAAAGTAAATAAAATTTAAAAATTACAACTATAACTTTTTTTTAAACAACGTTCCCCTCCCTAAAACAAAGGAGCCCTTACAGGTAATGTTAAGTTAGCTACTAATTTTTTTGAATTGTTTTTAGAAAAACAATATGATCATGGGTATGGACATGCTGGCCCCAAAAAACCCATGCAAAATTTCACTAAAAAGGCACAATTTGCATGTACTTATTATATTGGTTTTTTATAAGGGTATACAGGCCTTGCGATGAATAAGGACTGCGCGACGCATAAGCACGACGTGATTTTTGACGTCATTAAATTCTTTTTATTTGCTTTTCATATTTATCGACATTAACTGCACCAATTTACTTAATTACCGCAAAACTACTTTAAATCGTTTATGTAGAAATGTTATTATTTAAAAATGTTTTGGAATGTTTCGTTTTTTAAAATGTAAAAACATTTGTTTATTTTCTCGACGTTTGTCACATTTTGTCTATACTAAACGAATAAAAAACATTATAACTTAAATTTAAAAAAGATTATAAAATATGCTAAATTTGATTTTTTTTTTCTTAAATATGTAATTTAAAGTTTTTCAAATAATTATTTTTTCTTTTTAAAAAGTCAGCGAGTAATAAACTAAAAATTTTATAGCTAATATTTTTACAAGCGATTTTATATAATATTTATTTGTTTATTTTTATTTATTTTCAAAAAGCGGTTGATAAGCACAATCACTCGTATTAATAAAAAACTTAAACGAACGTTTTGAATAATTTTTAATGTTAACAAGGAATTTTAATTCTAGTAAAATAAAATAAAATGTTAGAATAAAAATCTTATAGGTATAAAAGAAATATTTCAGCGAAAAAATTATTCTTAAAAATTATTATTAAAAATTATTCGAAAAACTATTGACGTTCTATTTTTCAGCAGCTGTTTTTGAGCACGCTTCGTTGAGTTTCGGTAACTTTTAAAAAAAGCGATCGTTATTATTTAAGTAATTTTTTTGAGTTACTTTTTACAAAAATTTTAATAACTGTACTTTTTTATTGAATCAAGTAGAATACGTTTTAATATTATTCCTTTTTTATTTTTTTATTTGCCCTCACCAATTTTTAAAATGTTTCCTCGAAATTACTCTTAAATACTTTAAATCTAACAGTTAATAAATATTTTTTAAATCTATGGAATAATTTTAAAACCTAACAAACCCCCGTAAAATAATTATTTAAGTTTAAAATCTAAAACTAAAAGAAAGTATTTTTGTTCAATTTTATCAACAACTTTGCTATTGCTGAATAAAATGTTAGCTTAAAAGATTTAAACTTTTTTTTTAATTTTTGAATTTTTTCTACTTGTAAATAATGAGCATGTTTAATTTTTTTAAATTCAAACTTTTATTTCAACAGAGTGCGGTTTTTAAAATACTTTATTAAATGTTAAAATAATCGTAAATTACTTCATTAAAATTCCGCTCAAAAATATCTTTAAATATACTCAAACAAAAAATTTTTTGCTCGACGCAAATAGCCCTTAGCTGTATATATATATATATATATATATATATATATATATATATATATATATATATATATATATATATATATATATATATATATATAATTTGATGTACATCTGGTCTATGCAATAAATTACCAAACTTTCATATTTAAGCGGTCTTTTTTTATGTGTGAACTTATGAACTATTGATTTGAAGACAGATAAAAACAAATTGATATGTTATTAAACTTTATAAGAACATTTTTACATTTCAGGTTAACAAATTTTAACCTTATAACATTTTTGTGTAAAGAAATTCATAAAAATATTTAATTTTTTTTTTCTTGTTTTGTTCCTATTTCTTGTCTTAATTTGTCCCCATTTTTTTAACAAAAGAACTTTTTGCTAAAATGATCAGATTTGATATAACTTTTTATGTAAAAATATTTATGTATAAATTTAGTTTATTAAAAAAAAAAACAATAATATAGTAATAAAATATTTCAAACATATTTACCAACACATTTTCCTGAGTAAGTATATTTGATAGTTGAATCATGACATTGCGCATTTTGGAGTTCACATATGTTTGTATAAGTCTGATCATTACTACCACAAACAGGATTATAATCCTTTTCGCAATTTTTTATGCAACTTGGAGAAAAAGCTATGACATTATCGCATTCAAATGGAGTTTGATCACGGGTAGTACTTGTTCCATCAATAGCTATTCCTGTTTTTGGATGAGCACACCAACAAAAACCTGTTGAACCATGACATTGTTGTTTTTCAAACAAGCCATCAGCACTACATTTTGGGACAAATGAACCAGGTATTTTTTTTTTTGCTGCTAACTTCTTGCATGCTAAAAAAAACATAACACAAAATAACTAAATACAAGATTTAATACAAAGACACATTTTTTGATCATATCAGCAGAAATTTTCCTCTATTTGGATTTATCAGGTAAATCAACACAATTACTCTCCTGTATAAAACAATAGTTTTACTTCATAAAAATATTAGTTAACTTCATAAAAACATTAGTTTTTAATTCATAAAAACATTAGTTTTACTTCATAAAAACATTAGTTTTTACTTCATAAAAATATTAGCTTTTACTTCATAAAAACATTAGTTTTACTTCATAAAAACATTAGTTTTTCGTTCATAAAAACATTAGTTTTACTTCATGTAAATATTAGTTTTACTTCATAAAAGATCATTTCAATGCATAAAATCCAATTAATTATATCTTGTGTGATAGTCGAAGGATGCTTTTTTCAAGATGAAAATTTCAGAAGAAAAAAAACTTGAGTTTAGTACTAAAAATGTCTTTAAAAAAAAACAACTAAAGAATGGAAAGAAATAAAGAAGAAGAATGGATTGACTGTCTAATTGTTAAGAACGACTCAAATTTTGGAATCTAAATTTTGGAATATATATATATATATATATATATATATATATATATATATATATATATATATATATATATATATATATATATATATATATATATATATATATATATATATATATATATATATATGTTTACACAATAGCAGATAACAATATACAATTTATTGCTGCCTCAATTTAAACCCTCAGTTGATGTAACATCAACTCCCTAGCATGTTCTCCATATACCAATTAATGTATTTAATTCCTTGCTTTTTAATTTTTTATTTTTATTTTATACAAACTCCCAACTTAATAGTGGTTGCTTGCAGCCTTGTTGGGAATAAATCAGAATTAAAAAAATAAAAAATAAAAGCAAAAAAAAAACAAAATTAAAGAAAAATAGTAGCATAACTGGGGAAAACATAACAAATGAAAACTGTTTCCACAAATACAAACAAATTTTTTAAGTTAAGTAGATTGTTTTTTTAAGTTATATATGTTATAAATTATTTCTTTAAACTTAATATCTGAATTTCAACTTGATTTTTTTTTCAATTAGTAAAACAAATTATTTTAATAAATAGCTAGGCAGATACTACTAAATTATACAATAAATAAAAATTTATTTGATCAATTACTGTTGGAATTAAATGTAATTAGTAATTTAAGGGGAGGGGGGGAGAAGACTGTATTAAAACAAATCTTAGAACTGCAATAGCATTTTGTACCCATCTACTATAAATTAAACAATGACTATTAAAGGTTTTATTAAGTGCGATAGCACTTAATAAAACTTCTAATAGTCATTATTGTTACCATTAAAGATAAATATACCTGTTTCAGAATGAACATATTCTTTCATCTTGACATCAACTTCTAAAACAGACAAATTTGGTAGAGGGTTTATAATATAAGGAGCATCATTCTTATAGTCTCCATATTTTGCCCAAACTTTTTCATGTTGACCCTTACACCATCCATTGTTTAAAAATGCTTCTATAACATGGGGTGTCATTTTTGGATTTTTTAATATGAACTCGTAGAAAATTGCTCCATCGCTACTAACTACTGGATTTCTTGCCTCAATTCTATAAAAACAGAGCAAGTTCTATAAATACAGAACAAGTTCTATAAATACAAATTTAAATTTCTTTTAAAATAATGTAACCAATTCTGACATTAAATAATTTATTTTATTATCAAATGAAAATAATAAACAAAATTTTGAAAAAAGTAGTCCAGTAACACATTTATAAATTTCTTAGAGGTTAATTAATTATAATAACCTATTTAATAGCGTTATTATAATTATTTGTTAATGAATTGTAACAACTTTAATATACATTGTAACATGTAATATATTTTTAATCATAAATTTAGACTTATTTCAGTACTGGCCAAAGGTACAACACCTAGTTAAACAAGACGTAACTCAAGCATATCTATTTAATTATAATAGAATATTAAAAGAATATTAGAATTTAAATATATGACAAAAAAAAATAGCTTGAATAGTGCCAGTAAAATGTTGACATAAATAGAATGTTAAACGAAAATTTGATATTTTGATAACAATATAAAAAAAGTATAAATAAGCAGTCATTCTATTACCTAAATATTTCTCACTTTTAAAGTAGGAGAAACGATTATAGATTTATGAAGTTAACTATCTGTATTTAATATTTTGTTCTCAACTTCTTAAAACTCTGTGCTGATTTTTCAAATAATACTTTGATAACAATATGCATGCTGCTTTAGGCAAGAGTATTACAGGTTAAAAGGTAAAAATAAATTAATAAAAAATTGTACTAACTCATTTTTTCAGAAGTGCCCTATCAAGATTTTCTATCAAGAGCTTTTAAAACTTATTTTTTTATTATTCAAATAATGTTGTAGGCTTTTAGTAACTATACCCAAAATTATACAAGTAAAATTATACAATTATACAAGTAAAATTTGTAATTTTTTATTCAAAAATAAACTTTGCCTCCAAAACTAAAGCTTTAAACACTGCTTACAGAATGAATTGATTTTTTTAAATTTTAAAGTTTAAAAACTTTAAAAAGTTTTTATTAATTCATAGATTGGCTGTCCTCACCAAAATCCTCAGTCAATGTAGCAGCATTCCTCAGATGTTTACCTATGTGTCAGTCAATGCAGAAGCACTCCTTGCATGTTTTACTTATTTGTCAGTCAATGTAGCAGCACTTTTTGTATGTTGTACCTATTTTTCAGTTGATGTATGTAAACAGTAAAAAATAAAAACATTCGCAATGTTTTTTTTGTTTTTTTTTAAATTAAGATATTTGAGTCTAATAATTTGCATTTTTGTGGTTTTTTAAAAAACAATAATATTTAATTAGTTTCTTAAATTAAATTTAATGGTTTTGACATTAAGTTTACTAAATTTTGTCTTCTTTAAATATGTAAGAGTCTTTAAGCTTTAAAATGTTGATTTTATTTTTATCACTTTTTTTATAAAAAAACAAATAAACAAAAACAATAAACAAAAAACTATTTTTTTTTTTTGCTGCTATAAAATTCCTACCAAATCCAAGTTATTGTATGTACTGAAGGCCCTGCAGATAGCTATTTAAGTATTGCATTAAAAATGGTTAACAGTTCAGCTCAGAGACAGTTCAGAGATTATGCTTTCAAATCAAATGAATTGTATTGTCATTTGGTTTCTCAAAAAAACTTTTTTACTATACAGGGCGCAGAAAAAGTTCTGATAATTTTGTTTTTACGCTATTATGGAATTGTTATTGTAATTATTGTTTATTTTTGATCATTTTATTAAATTCTTTGTAAAATTAGGGTCCAGAAAATGTGATGTTTATTTGTTTTTTTTTTAGTTCAGTCTGTGTGATGTATTGTGAAAATCAATGTGTCACCATCATCGAGTTCTACAAGGCTGGAATGAAGACGGCCGAAATTGTTTGAATGACTGGATTCAAATCGTTAAGTGTCTACAGAGCCATGAAACATTTCAAAGAGATTGGCGGGACTGCAGACCGTCCTCGAAGTGGTCGTCCAATCACCGCTATGACTACGGAAAATGCCAACAAGGTGCGATGTCGAATTTGATTCGAAGGTTGATGCGAAAAGTGGCCAAAGAGCTCGGAATCAAAACCATTGGCCGCAGTCACTTTCCTGCCTCAGTCATGGTCTGGACCGGGATCTGCTCCACCGGGAAGATGTCTTTGGTCTTCATCAAGCGGAATGTCAAAATCAAATTCACCAGCTACCAGCAGCAAGTCCTCCGCAACATTCTGGAGCCCTGGGTTGCAAATCACTTCGGGCAGATTCACACTACGGCAGGTTTGGGCGCTGGCACATTCCGCCAATTCGACAATCGCCATCTGCGAAGAGCTGTTTCCCGGCTTTTGTGGCAAAGATGTTTGGCCACTGAACTCACGGAATCTCAACCCGATGGAATACTCTGTCTGATCTATCCTGGAGTAAAAAGTCTTGTCTACGCCATACGCCACTGTTGACGCGCTGAAAACGACTTTGACGCGCGCCTGGGACGAGATTACGATGGAACAATGCGTGGCCATCATCAACAATTTTCCAAAACGTGTTAAGAAATGCATTTATGCTGAAGCAGGCACTTTTGAACATTTGTTGCAATTTTAACTAATAAATGTTATAATTAAAAAGTTGATTGAATTTATTTTTTTATACGGTAACTATACACTATTGAAATATCTGAAAAAATTATCAGAACTTTTTCCACACCCTGTATTTCTAGTCAACAAGTGGAAATCTCTCCCAGATGATTGCAAATCAATCATCCTTGAGAAATTTTAAAAACCTGATTTGATGTTTTTATACAGAAAGAATTCTATATTTATGATGAACATAATTGAGAAATGTTAAAATCCAATCTTATATTTTAATATCTTATATTATAATTTAAAAATCTTATATTTTTATACATAAAAAATTTTAAGTTAAATTAACATTAAAAAATTAAAATTATTTACATATTATAAGTTAGCTAGGGTAAGTTACTTTTTCGGTCACTATTTTCGGACTATATAAGTCGGTAACTTTAACTTAAATTTTATTTAAACATAAAGTTTTACAAAATATTTTAATGTAAAAGCAGATCAATATATAATTGGAATACATCTATCAGAATATGTAAACAATATTTTTGGTTTGATGATGGATTATTTAGTGCATCAATATGAAAACAAATTATCTGAATATTGACTAAAATTAGGCTAATTTACCTGTTTAACAGGTCATCAAGCAATCATTTCTATATAATTTTTTTTTTTTTTTTTTTTTGTAATTTTTTTTTATTTATAGATTTTAATAATTTTTTTTGTTACTTATTAATTGTTTAGTTTTTTTTGTTTTTTTTTTTGTTTCTTTTTATTTGTTCCTTTTTATTTGTTAAAATAATTCAATCAATTTTATTGTAATTTTCTAATTATATTATTTATAATTTGTTCATAGATTCATATAAATTAAAATAAAAATGAATAAATATTTTATACTTAAAAAAAAATATTGAATCTTACACATCAATATTTGGAGTATCACACTTTTTCATTCTACATAAAATATTCTCTTTTATGGTTATAGTTAAACAAGATCCCTTTAGTATTGCTGGGTTTGGAAGAACCAATTTTCCATATATCCGCAAATCTAAATTTAAAATGATTTAATATAATTATTATTTTTATTAAAAACAATCTACAGTGATACAAGGATAATCTACAGAAATATCTGTGATACAAGGAAAGTAACTAATGGCAGCTAGAGTAAATAAAAAATAAATAAATATACAAGTCCATAAGAATTTAGACAAAGTATTTTGGTTGAAAAAAAAAATCTTATTTTTGAATATGTCAACACTGACACTTTTCAGTACAATACCAATTAATTGTCATAAGGTAACAGAAAATTTTCCAAATGTGTTCAATTATGAATCTCAATTAATTTTAATTGAGATTGAGAATTTTCAGGACTATTTAATCATTTTTCATAGATAAGAATGATATTGACATGATTATAGACTCTTTTTTCATAGATAAGAATGATATTGACATGATTATAGACATTCTTTTTTCATAGATAAGAATGATATTGGCATGATTATAGACATTCATTTTTCATAGATAAGAATGATATTGGCATGATTATAGACATTCATTTTTCATAGATAAGAATGATATTGACATGATTATAGACATTCTTTATTCATAGATAAGAATGATATTGGCATGATTATAGACATTCTTTTTTCATAGATAAGAATGATATTGGCATGATTATAGACATTCATTTTTCATAGATAAGAATGATATTGACATGATTATAGACATTCTTTATTCATAGATAAGAATGATATTGGCATGATTATAGACATTCTTTTTTCATAGATAAGAATGATATTGACATGATTATAGACATTCTTTTTTCATAGATAAGAATGATATTGGCATGATTATAGACATTCTTTTTTTATAGATAAGCATGATTTTGACATGATTATAGACATTTTTTTTTTGACATTTTTTTTAATCAAAATTTTGTTTAGAAGATAAAAATCAAGCTTATGATTGGAAGTTACCGACAAAAGTTCTTTTGATAGAAAAAAAAAATACTTAATGTAAACTTCTACTAGCAAGCAGATTGCTATTACAACAGTTTATTCAGCTTTTAAAGCCAACAAGAACAAACAATACTAAAATAGGATAGAAGAAACCAAGATGATAAAGAACCACTTTTAAAAAAAAGAGCAGTCATAAAGATCTAGGGAAAAAATGTAAAAGCCAAAAACATAAGATTAAGAAAAAGTATTTGCAAATAATCAAATAGTTAAGATTAAATATGTGGTGAGGCTAAGTATATGACAATTAGAGTCTTTGTAAATAATAAAGATAAAAAATAACACTATAATTTAGTAATGAAAACAAACAACTCAAGTAAATTTACTATGATTTCTGAAAGTCAAAAATGCTTAATATAAATAGAATACCTAAAAGATAAACCCATCATTAGTAATGTTTCTGTTAACAAATCTAAAGATAAACTCAAAAATAACAATAACTGTCTCTGTTAGTCATGACTCCATTAGTCATGCCTCTCTTAACAAATTTGAAAAATTTAAAAAGAGCCTTAAATTAACTATTAATAAGTTGGTCTTCACAATTTACACTTTTATTACTCCAATTTTGTATAGCTGTTTCTCTTTGAATGCTATAACAAAGTTCAGAATACCAAATTACGTTCCACTTTAAAAACCATAAAACTCAGTTTTATAGCTCCACCCGCTAAAAAATTTACTACTAAAAATTTAATTCTACACTTATTCGACACCAGATTAAAAAAGACAGACTACTTCTCTAGTTGTATATATATAAAAATTACTCAGTACTACATTTCAAAAAATTTACCAGTTTGACATGGTCCATCCTTTGCCAATGTAATAGTGTTATCTTTACATTGAGCTAATTGAAAACTGCAGAGATTAGAATACTCTACACCATTTGAAGCACACTTTGGATCATATAATAAAGGACATATGTCATTACAAGATGTATTTTCTGTGGAATAAAAATAAAAGAAAAATTTTATTATTTACCATTATTCAATAATAAGAAAAAAAAAATCTCAATAAAAAAATTTGCTCACTGCAATCTACTTTTGCTTCACCAACGAAAAACTCTGCTATGCACCCTCCACAGTAGTTTGGTTTGCATACAGCTGCTGGATAGTCAACACAATATAATTTTTTACATGGATTCAAGCCACATGAGACTATTGGCACATCCTTGGGACATATTTCTACATATACATATTTATATATACATATATACATATATATATATATATATATATATATATATATATATATAAATGTATATATATAAATATATATAAACAATTATATGTATATATATATATATATATATATATATATATATATATATATATATATATATATATATATATATATATATATATATATATATATATATATGGGTTAGTGGTGTTGTGGTAGAGCGCTTGCTTCATAAGCAAGAGGTTCCGAGTTCGATCCCCACCACATCCCTGGTATTACTGACTCAACTCGTTTCTCAGCGCATCGGCCTTGTTTGTCAAAGTTTGTGTTTGGGAGTTATAGAGTTGAGTGAGGGTTTAAATACAAATAAGTAGCAACCTTTTCTATAGTGGCCTTCTTAACCTTGAGAAGGTGAATTAACAAAAAAAAAAAAATATATATATATGTATATATATAACAATATTCTGAAAAGTTTTAATGTCTTAAAAATGATTTATTTAATTGTACAACTTTTATTTAAAAACTTTACACTAGAGGCCTTACATAGTATCATCAGTTGTGCTAATATCACCAGTAGTACTACTAAAAAAAATTTTTACTAAAAAATTTTAATTTTTGTAATAAGGAAATCAAGTTTATGTTGCAAAGAATTACAATTGATTTACAATAGTGTCTTTTTAAATAGGAAGTGTAAAAGTAATCATTAATCTAAGGTAATCAATTAAAGGTATGTTTTTGTTTGTGTGAACAGTTTTTATAAGGATAATAAAATCTTTTCATTTTCGAGATTTCTTAAAGTTCGTTTTTCCAGTATGTAGATTGACCATTGACACATGCTAAACACTTTAGATAATAGATCATATTTTTGCTATTACAGGTATATGGCTTTTTATCTTTCAAGTGGTGCCATTAAATGTTACAAATCGTCCTATAACTTATAAATATAACACACAAATTTTGCATTGAATATCCTTACATTTAGATAATCCTGTTTTGTTTTTTTTAACAATTATGCAGATGGAAATTTGGCAGGTAAGTTGTCTTAATAAGTTTGGTGATTGTTTTGAAACTGCTACTGGATTGTTTTTAAACTGCTACCTATTTAAAACTTTTTTTACTCTCTTATTAGATGATAAAATATGATATACATATATATTTATATATATATTTTTGAATGCAGAAATCATATTTGAGTGTATGTAAATTATTTTTTTATAAACATCAATAAAAAGGAATTTCTCTTGATACTAAATTTATTTTTTAAAAGAAATTTTCGCTGGATTGTTGTGTCCAACATCTTCGGCTTAAAAGTTTTTTTGTTTGCTTTTGATTATATCTTATTTTTAAAACAGCAGTTTTATTTTGTCAATGGGATGGTTTCATCTTTTTCTGACCTAAGTGCGCCAAAAATGCTGTCTAAAATTTTGTTGACACATATTTTCGCTCATCTAAATTGATACCATTTTGTTAAGGGGCGTATTGGTGGTACTGTATTTTAAGTGCCTCACAAACTATTAACTGGGATAGTTCTGCAACTATCCCAGTTAATTTGTTGTGCACAATGTCACATGTGTGTGGCTAATGCAAATCGTTCTGTTTTATTTCCTAATGTACCGTCTAAAAGTTGAATATTGAATGAATATATATATATATATATATATATATATATATATATATATATATATATATATATATATATATATATATATATATATATATTTACATACTTATATCATAGTTGAAATAAACTTTTAATGTAAAAAAAGTTTATTTCAACTACATTTTTGCTACCTCGACAATTAAGCTACATTTTATTGTCATCGAAATGTCAAAGCAATTAATGTGAAAATACAATAAATTTTATTGTTTTAGAAAAAAAATTCAATAATAATGATTAGAAAGTTTTTTTTAATTAATGGTGTTTTTGTTGTTGTTTTATTAAAATATATTTTTAAAACATGCGTGAAGTCTTGCTACATCGACTACCTTATAGCCTGCTGCTACAAGGTAGTATTGCTACATCGACTACCTTATAGCCTGACTCGCAATAGAGTGTTGCTACGTCAACTATCTTATAGCTTTATTCGCAAGGGAGTGCTGCTACATCATATATATATATATATATATATATATATATATATATATATATATATAATATATATATATATACATATATATATACATATATATATATATATATATATATATATATATATATATATATATATATATATATATATATATATATATATATATATATATATATCAGGGATCTATATATATATATATCAGGGATCTATATATATATATCAGGAACTATTCTATAACATTTTCGACACCATCGACCGTATTTGGGCCCTGATATAGGCATTGCTCAAATTAAATATTGAAGAGCTTTTTTTTTTAAACGTTTTTTTCACCTAATATTATCTTTTTTGCGAAAAAATGCTGATTTTCGGCAACAATTCCACTAAATTTCTTCAGGATGGGGGGTACCGCCCACCAAATTTTTTTTCCTAGAATAGCCCCTGTATATATCTATGTATATAGTATAAATATAGTATATAATATATAGTATATAATAAAGTATAATATTTGCAACTCTGAGTTTTATGCATTTCCACAATTATCAGGCAAGTAACATATATTAATTTTATTTTATTTTTTAATTTAGAACTGAAATTTGTTAGTAGTTGGTAAGTAGGAGTCAGTTATTAATAATTAATTAGTTGATTAAGTTGAGAAATAAAATCTTTTGTTTAAGTAATTTAAATTTAGTTAGATTGTTTATTAAACAACTAAAATTTAGATAAACGTAAAATTTTTAATTAAAAAATAATGTAAAATAAGTATGTTGCATATACAAATAAATAATGAAAATAAATAACTTTTATATTTTTGGATAAAAAATTAAATTAATAATTAGTTAATTACTATTAGTATTATGATTGTAGCTATGTAATATTTTGATATGAATTTAGATCTTAATTATTTAGTAGTTCTTCCAGTTTTGGGTGAGAAATAATTGCAAGTTTTTTTTGTTTAGATAAGGGTAGCATTTTTTTTTTAATGTTTGGATAAGAGGGTACAGATTCTAGAATAGACCAACCTAAAATAGGGATTTCATTATAATTACTTTTTAAATCTTAAACACAGCTGGATAGGGTGATTGCTTTAAGGTATGTTTTGTTTTTGAAGGATGATTTGTGATTGTTGTACACTGCTTTCTACTCTTTGCTTTGACTTCTGTTAGTCAAATATAGATTTTTTAAGGCTGATTTTCAGAAATGACAACAAATTTATATATGACGCTTGCAAATCTACATTTTTTGTTCATAAGACATTCTATCTTGCTTTTTTAATTGCATTTATATTGAATACCTTCAACTTTTGGAAGAAGGATTTTGTTGATGTGGTTTTTAATGATTTTTTTTAATTTCATTTTCATTCATCAATCAATATTGATATCAAAATATTTTCTGGGTGGTTATAATATACATTTCTTTAAATGCATTGAAAAACCATAAGTTGATCACTTTCAGCAAGAGAATTGCATTGAGGAACAATGTTTTGGCATCTCTTAGGTGTTTTGCCCCCATATAACATTGAGGTGCCAGTTTTATAAAGAACCACAATGGTGGTTAGACTCAAAGAATATAACCAGTATTTCAAGCTCAGTAGACAGAGGAGTGGTTGCAACATACAAACAAAAGATTCAATTTCCTGTTGTCAGCTATTAAGAATGAACCAATAGGCCTGGATTTTTTTTTTTTCACAAAGTTTTTTTTCACCTATTTCTATATATTATAAAGATACTGTTGATCTTTACTAATATTATTTGTCACAATCTCATGTAGAAGGTTTGGTAAGTTATTTTGTCTGACATCAAATTTGACTATTTGCAACTCATGACAATTTGCAAGTGGTTTACCAATGTTGCCACTAAATGCAGTTCAAGAAGTGGTGCTATCTAAATGCAATACTAAATATCTCAATAGTAGTTAAATAAAATGGAACATATACACTAACCATTGAACTGGATATCCCAAATGCAGTTCCAGTAATCTTATTACACAATTGTTCACACCACTATTTATGTTAGCTCCATCAGCCCTAATAGCTAACACATTATCAAGTTATATTTTGTTTTAATCTGAAAGTGTGGCAGTAGCAACACTTTCAGATTAAAACAAAATATAACTTGATAATGTGTTAGTAGTTGCAGCAGCATCAGATGCACCATATCTGTCACAATCTCTGGTAACTGTTAGGAACTTTATCATATTTCTGTCAATTCAAAGAAATCTGACAACTGATCATCATCAACATTGCTCTGAGTGTCATTTATAAACCCCTCACTAGAATTAACTTCTGAGTCTATATCAGAAGTGATACTAACTGATGCTTTCAGACTGCTTTTGCTAGATGAAAAAATAAATTCTGTCTCTTTGTGCTTCTATTAAGTGCTTAGGTTAGTATAAAAGTACTTTCCTTATGTAACAGAACCAATAATCATATATCTTTCATTTCTTTGATCTTTACTTGAGCATAAACTTTTTTATTAAAAAATTTATGTTTAAGTACTGATACTTCATATTCTCCAGCATGTGCAATTACTTAAATTAAGACAATGACATTCTGAAATGTCAAAATAAACCAAACTTTTTATCTTTGATTCACCTTTTCTTATAAGAATTATTAGAATTTTTCAACAAAATGTTGGTTTCAGAAACTCTAGAAATTAGTGTTATTGATTTGGTAGTTCTAGGAAGTTGTAATTTAACAAGAAATTCTAGAAATAGATTTAATTTCATTAAACCATATACAGATGAATTATTTGGTATATATAGTTATTGGTAATCTTTATAATATTAATAAAATAATCTTCATATACCATTAGTATACTAATGTTTATATACTAAAAAATAGTAAATTTTTCTACATTTTATTTCTTCATATACTATTAGTATACTAATGTTTATAAACTAAGAAATAGTAAATTTTTCTAAATTTTATTTCTTCATATAGTATTAGTATACTAATGTTTATATACTAAGAAATAGTAAATTTTTCTACATTTTATTTCAAAATAAATAAATAATAATTTTTAAGAGTTAGTTAGAATCACTACAACTTATGTGTTAAAAAATAGTAAATTAGTAAGTGATTTAAAACAATAAAAAACCCTAAATATGGCTAAAAAAAATAATAATTGAAAAAAGTGTTACTTAGAACCATGAAATAGGTAATTAGAAAGTGGTTTATAAACCCAGCCATAGTCATATTTTGAAAAACATTAAAAAACTTATGATCAAATTAATAATTAAATACCAATAAAAAGCCTAAAAATGCACAATATAAGTCCCCCCAGCATAAAAAGAAATCCAAAAAAAAAACTTGATTACTATTCTATTTTCCTTATTTCATCCAATGATAATAATTTATCATAACTTAAAATTAAATAATTTCCAAAAACTACTAAATACTTTAATAACTATAGAAATAGCCTTAAAATGAACAAATATGGTAAATTAAGGTCTTTTAGCAAAAAATAAAGACAAAAAAAAAAAGTTTTGTATTTCTTATTTAACTATATCGTCCGCGAGCAAATTGTTGCTTGCGGACAATATAAGTTAAATAAGAAATAACATTAATCAAAATTAAATTAAAATATTTTATACACACATTTTTATAAACAAGTTACTAAGTAATTAAATAATAATAAAAAGCATAAAAATATACAAATAAGGTGATTTAATGCTCCCCGGCAGCAAAAGAAGACACTAAAAAAATCAAAATATTTTTTTCCTTTCTACCTTATATTATCCAAAAGCAACAAATTATAACTATTCAATGTCAAATTTCTTTTAATGATTAACCTTAGTGTATATGTATACATACACATATGTATATATACATATATGTTTATGTATGTAAAATCTTTTTTTTTAAATGAAAGAAACCTGTTTCAGAATCTTTGTATTCTATCAACTTGACATCAAATTTTAAAACTGACTGTTTTGGTAAAGGAGTTATGTTATGTGCAACATCATTGTTAAAGTCTCCATATTTAATCCACACTTGCTCATGCTGACTTTTACACCATCCATTGTTTAAAACTGCATCTATAATATGAGGTGTCAATTTTGGATTTTTTAACACTATTTCATACAAAATAGTTCCATCACTATTTACTAGAGGATTTTTAACTTCCAATCTATGATTTAAAAAAAACATTTATTATTTATTGTATTGTTTTGTAATTAAATTAAACTGAAAAAAAATTCTAATAAATGTAAATGTAATAAATGTAAATGTAATAAATTTTGTCAATAAATTTACAAAAATATAAGACTTTGTCAACACTTTGTTCTTTTATAGAGAAAATCATAAGGCCTTAATGGCCTAATGATTTGCTCTATAACAACTAATAAAATGTCTACAATGACTACATACAATCTAAAATGACTACATACAATCATTAGTGCAACTGCTCATTGTTAAAAATCTGGATACTATTATATTTTAAAAAAAAGATCTTTTTCAAGAACTAACTCATTCTCTTTTCATTTCATTTATTTATTTAACTTTTATTTTGTTACTTGATATGTTAAAACTGAAAAACATAAGACTGAAAACTTATTGCAAACAGGAATCAATTATGTATGAAGAGTTATATATACTACATAATTTTTTATTTAATCCAGAAAAAATTGGAATGATAGAAAATCCCAAAATTAAAAATAGCTAAAATCACAAAAATGTTTAAATTTTATTTTTGCCAGGACACCCTTAATACTCTTAACAGGACACCCTCAATATTCTTGCAAGGACACCCTTAATACTCTTGACAGGACACCCTCAATATTCTTGCAAGGACACTCTTAATATGTCTTTTTAATATGCTAACTATGGCAATTGATAAAAATATTGTTTCATGATTCTAAGGCTTTATTTTTTTTAAATTTGTTTGTAACTCTTTCAAGCTTTTGTGCAAAAAAACAGGTTGAGTGTGGTACTTCCAGAGGCACAGGGTGGATTTGAACCTTAAACCTCAGGATTGTGACCATTCTATCAGTAATCTAATAACAGCAACAAAATATTTTTTATTTTACAGCAGTATAATAATAATAATAATAATAATAATAATAATAATAATAATAATAATAATAATAATAATAGAAGAAGAAGAAGAAGAAGAAGAAGAAGAAGAAGAATAAATCATAATGAAATACCATTATAAGGAATGATTATAAATAATAGATTAAGAAGATTAAGGTGTATACTACATTTTTACCACAGCATAATTTTAACAGTGTACGAATTTAGCATGTCAATTTTGCTTCAGCTTGACATAATTTTCACTGTTTTCACTGTTTTGAAAAATTCTCAGTGAATGTTTGTTTAATAGAATTGTCAATAATTAAATTAATATGAGTTTACTTGATGATTTAAAAAAAAATTAAAGATCAAAATAAAAAGCAAAATATACTCAAAAAATAATAAGAACTAATAATATTATTAATGATATATATATATATATATATATATATATATATATATATATATATATATATATATATATTTATATATATATATATATTTATATATATATATATATATATATATATATATATATATATATATACATATATGATAAATGAAACTAATTCTGTAATATAAATAAGTATATAAAAATTACTGTTTAAACAAAAATAATTTAATCTTACTGAGCAACAATAGGAATATCACATTCTTCCACTTGACATAAAATATCCTCTCTTACTGTCATTCTCAAACAAGACTCATTTAGTATTGCTGGGTATGGAAGGATCACTTTTCCATATATCCGCAAATCTAAATTTAAGCATAAATTATCTAATAAATAAATATTTTTTCAATTTTTTATAAAAAAGCTACATAAAGAGTTTTATCAAAATATTTTTATATGTACAAAAACAAATATCTTACTTAAGTCTTCGCAAATAATATCTTCAGATCTTTCAGCATTTTTTAGTTCTTCACCAGTTTCTTGGTTTACACAAAAACAATAGTTTTCATGACATTGTTTCTTAGAATATCTCCCATCTGGCTCACAGGAGGGTACAAACTGACCCAACAAAGACAAACCATCATTTACTTCTTTAAAATGTTTGAAACATTTTGATTCAAAATTACCTATAAAATAATTATATCAAAAAATATTTGAAATGATAAAATGTGGCAAAAAAAATGAATTGAATTAATAACTTGAAATACATTTTTTTAATTTAAAATAAATTTATACTTACCATCTTGACAATAACAATTTTTCAACAAAACAAAACAAATTAAAATAAAATTTAAACCATTGAAATACATCTCTCTCTCTCTTTAAAAATTTAAAAATGATTTAAAAAAAAATTATTTAATATTGAATTACAAAGCAAACATATATATATAGCTTCATGTTATTTATTGAATAACAATTAGATAACAATTTTATTTTTCATTATCCATTAAATAAACAAATGGATTTGCAAGGAACAGTTCATTATTGTCATTTTATAAACAATAAATCAAATCTTGTTTGAAGTTTTAATGACATTAATTTATTTATCTTTAATGATGACGAAAGCACTCATTGTAACTGTTTATTTAACTTTCTACAACTGCATCATAAACTTTACCAGTATTGTGTACTTTCCAGAGATTATATTGAAACAGTTCAAATATGACAATATGTTTATCCCATTATCTATTAGTATTATACCTAGTACATTACTTTAATAAGTAATATACTAATTATTTGAATTTTTCATTTTTTAATTATTATTTGTAATTTAATAATAAATAACAACTGCTGAAAAAAAAATATTTCTATACAAAATAACTCTAACAAAGAAATTTTAACTGGGAAAATTGTACTACCTGGAGATGAATTATGTTATTTTAAGTATTTTTATAAAACAATAATTTAAATTACTTCAAAAATGTATAAAACTATTTTCTTAGATAACACATGAAAATTTAATTTTTTTCTTTTTAAACATAATAATATTAAATTTTTATACTCTATTAAATAAATATTTTATTAAATTAAATAAATATATGTTAAAAACTTTTAAATATTAGCTTGTAAAAGATTAATTCAAAATTTTGTTTTTATACTTTATTAAAAGTTACTATAAATCTTTTGACTTCACAAAGTAAACAAAAACTAATTTAAAACCACTATGACCTATATTAGAATTAAATTGTATAATAAAATTAGCTAAATTGACTTAAAGCTTTATAAATACCTTAAACATTATGAACACCTTTAACTTTATAAAAACCTTCAACTTTTAACTTTATGGACACCTACAATTTTATAAACACCTTTAACTTTATAAACACCTTTAACTTTATAAACACATAAACATTTTGTGATAACTTTGTAAACACTTTTTTGAGCAAATATCTTTGTAAATAATTTGGTAAACAACTTTGTAAATACTTTAAACTTTAACAGAAAAATGTTACTAATGACCAAAAAATATATATATATATAAAATAAATTATCAAAATCTAAAAGTTTTAGACTATATATAGCAATAAACATAAGTAAAAAACACTTTACCTATTTCCTTTAAATGCTCTAATAAGTATGCCTAAAAAAAGTCAATAAAAAAATTTTATTAAAGTTATGTGTCAATAAAAATATTTTATTAAAAATATTTTATCAAAAAATATTTTGCTAAAGTTGTGTCAATAAAAAAATTAAAAGTAGAAAACAGAAAAAACTGTAAAAAAAATAACAATTATGAATAAAACCTTACAAATGAACCACCTGAAAAATAATTAATATCAATTTAAGCATTATTTATTATGAAACATTATATTTGAAATTATGAAATATTATAATATATCTATTATATTATAAGCATATCTATAGCATATATATATATATATATATATATATATATATATATATATATATATATATATATATATATATATATATATATATATATATATATATATATATATATATATATATATATATCACTGCTATAGCTACCATTTTAAATTTAAGTTTACATTAAACCTGAAGACAAAATCTTTTCACAAATACAGCTTTATAAACTTGATCTGTATTTACTAACTGCATAAAAGAAGTAACAAAACTTAATAATAATAAAAAAGTTTACTCATTAAAAAAAAAAAATTCAAATAATTATAATAACAAAAATTATATATATATATATATATATATATATATATAATATATATATATATATATATATATATATATATATAAAATAACTTTTTTATTCGTACCTGTTTAATAGAATTCCATTATTAACATTCTCTTTTTAAAAGCAACCTCAATTAAATAGATTTAAAAAAAACTCGATAACTTTTTTTTGTGATTTATGCAAAACAAAATTTTGTTAAAAAGCTTAACTAAAATTTTAAATAAAAATATACTTAAAAGAAAAAACTTATAACCTGTTACTTTCTGTGATAATACAATCTATTTTGTTAAACTAACCTTCTGATATAATCTGTTCTGTTTATTTTAACTAATATATATATATGTATATATATATATATATATATATATATATATATATATATATATATATATATATATATATATATATATATATATATATATATATATATATATATATATATATATATATATATATATATATATATAAAAGCTTGTTTTATATACTTTTTTACTAATTTTTCCTATAAGATGGTCACTTAATTTCCTGATTTAAGAAAGTTATAAAAGAAGACCAAATTCCTGAATTAAGAAAGTTATAAAAGAAGACCAAATAAATTTAAGACTTTTGTTTAAATTATTAAGCTGCTTAACCATTCCAAAACCCTTAGTCAGTGTATAATTTGCTGAGCCTATAACTAAATAAATCAGTTGATGTATGTACACTTCACTTTAATGTATATGCTCCATTCGTAAATAATCAATTGATATATGCATTCTGTGCTGTGCTAATAGTTAGAAAAATCTATAAAATAATAGAAAAAAAAAAAAAAAAAACAATAAGATTCTTAGTAAACATAAAAACTATCTAGTTAATAAGTTTAAACGTAATGAATATTTTAAAATTGACAATTTAACTAGGCAAATTAAATTTTTTATAAGATCAAAAATAAGCTTTAAAGAAATAAAAATTGTGATTGTACAATACAATATGAATAAGATTCGAGGGCAATTTTGAATTTTTCAAAGAATTACTGAGTTCTAAGTGCAAACTCTAAAGATAGTCTTTAAATCCCTGGCTCAACAACAGCTTTTACAAAACATTTACAGAAAAAAACTTTGAAATTTTAAAACGAGTCTGGCTTAAAAGGTTGCAAGACACATCCCTGTTGGCAAAATACAGCAAAAAGAAAATTTATATTTATATAAGCTGATTCCATCAATAATTTACAGAATCAATTTTAACACCATTGTGTTAAAGTTGATCAAAAGTTATCACTATTTTGTAATATTTTTGTATAAAAGTGATCACCATTTTGCAAAATCTCTTAAAGCACAGCTTTTGTGTCACCTTTACTTTTCATATCTTTATATATCTATAGATTAAAGCTAGATATCTATCTACATATCTATATATGCTTAAACTAGGTAAAAAAGCTATGTATATTAACAATGATGATGAACTTCAATCAAATATTATTGAAAACTTTGGAAATGAAAAAAACTTTGGTTTGTGATTTAAGGATGAGGATGGAGCTGTTACTATTAGTACTATTGAGTTTTTAAACAATGTTAGGAGGTGCTAACGAAAGTAAAAATAGCTTTGATTAGTGACTTTGTTTATTATCAATTCAACTACACAAAAAGAATATTACAAAAGAATCCTTATTTTTGATTTTTTTTAATGATCTATTATATTTTGAAGATTTCACAACTAAAAAACTCAATAAGATAATAATAGAATTTTTGAAAGAAAAATAATAATTTAATTCATCTCATGATGCACTTTTGAAATACAAAGGCCTTGAATAAAAATAATCAATTAGGCAAAAAGATTTAAAAAAACAAAGATAACACTAATCTCATTTAGCAACTATTTAAGCCATCTGATAGTAGCTCTGATAAAAAACTTAACACTGATAAAAAGTTTTACTTTTAAAGCTCTTCAAACGATTTCTTCCACACCAATAAAAAAAGCTAGAAAGACTGATGTCTTTCTACCTTTTTTTATGACAGCTTTATAACTAAAAAATATTATGTATTTTTGACATTTTTAAGCAAATAGTATAAATGCGTGTTTAGCATAGATTATCCAGGTCATGTTTTAAAAAATCCGGAAATTTGGTTGGGTCGAATATCCTGACAAAATCCGGAATAAATTTTCCTTCTAAATTTTCTTTTGGCTGAGTTGTTTCAAACTTTTTTCCAAACTTTTTATAATTTTTGTATGATTGATTAGTGAAAAAGCTTAAAAAACAAATATATAACAAAAATATATACCTAAACTTGTATGTATAGAAAACATTTTGAATATCTGGAAAAACTAAAAGTTAAGAAAAATATCCGGAAATCCGGAAAAAGATAATCCCTGGTGTTTAGATAAGTAGTGTAACACTATACTGAAATACCCTGCTGCAGGGGGCTTTAGTACATGTGTGTGTATCAACAAATGTGAAATTATACTTTTTTATACAACGTTATTATCATTATTATTGATTTTTTTATTCAAAAAAAACAAATTAGGTGTAAAATAAATTTCATTATATTTTAATTTAATGTATCTAATGGATTTTACAAATTGTTTGAAAGTTTTTAGAGAGTAAGAAAAGAAATTATTACAATGTTTCATAAACCATTGTGAGAATTTATGTCATGTGTCATAACTATTTGCTAAAACATAAAAAATATTTATTTAGGTTGCAAACTTGTTAGTGGGATAATCATTTGGATATTTTTGAACATGCTTCATAGTGTCTTCATACTGCTTTTTTATTCTAGGTGTCCAGGAATCGTAAACGTCTGAAAACAAATTTACTACTGCAGGTTTTTTTGTTTGCTCTGCTTTCAAAAAAGCTTGCATTATATTTTTTTGAACTTCTTTTTTCAAGTTTTCATTTTCTTCCTCAGACCACCATCCTTTGTTTTCCAAATAATTTCTAGAAGAAAAAAATTTATTACATTTTAATTTTTAGTAACGCTACATGCACATAATTTTTTAGTACTAAAAAATATGGCAATTTAAATATTTAAAGGTTTTTAAATATTTTATATTTATCAAATATTCTAACCTTGTAAAATTGAAATTAATTTTTTGTTTTTGAAATTCTAGATTTGTATAGTTAAATTTGTATAGTGAAATTTTTTGAAACTATCATATAGTACTAACAATGTTAATACTATATAGTAGTTTCAAAAATTTTAAAAGTTAAAATTTATAAACTATAAGGTCAAATGAGAACTTTACATAGGACATACATAGGGCAACAGGACTTAGTAAACACTGGCCAACAAAAAGCTGATAATACTAAAACTTTTTTTTTTAGGAATAAATTTGTCTTATAATATCTAACATATGTTAGTTAAAAATTAATTCCTTAACAAAATATTTTTAGTACAATCAACTTGATGTTGTCCTGTGTTTAATATGTCCTGTTTTGGTTATGCAAAGCCTGCAATTGAACTTATAACAATCTATATTTTGCATGGCTTAATGTGTGTCGCAATTATAAATAGCATATTATAATAATACTAAAATAATATGACATTATAATAATAAAATGAAAAATAAAATATTACATTCAATAGAAATTTGTTTTATTAAAAACTATAAGAAGTTTGTTTCATGTTTTTGAACTAAATTTTGAAATTTTGTTCAAAATAAGAAAACTTAAATTAAGAATAAAATAACTTTTAGAAGTCTAGAAACAATTAAGTTAACATAAGTTAATTTCAGAAATTAAAAATTATTTGCCTGATCAAAAGTGCTGTTTGAATTCAATCTTTCAATCAAACAATGAGTTTTTAGTAACCTCTAACCTCAAAAATGTTTTTTTTATTTATGATCAGTAACTTGCGCATTGTTTACTTAACCATAAATTATAGTATTAAATCAAAATTAAACCAAAGTTAAACCCAAATAAAACAAAAGTTACATCAAAATTAATCCAAATTTAAACCAAAAAAATGAACAACTTCAAAGCTTGATAAATACAAATTATTGTTTAATAATTTTTTTTTCAATAATTATATTAATATATTAACAAATAAGTATTAACAAATTAGGAATTAAAACTTATTTTAAACCAACCTTAATCTATTTATGGGAGAGTCAATATCTTTCCAATATTTTACTTCATTAGCTGACCGATATGCACTTGAGTCATCACTAGTACTATGGTGTCCAACTCTGATTTAATGAAAATATAGCTGATTTATTTAAATTCTTATTTAAAAAAGTTTATAACAGATAACATTAATAGCAACCAAATATAACTTGTACTAAATTTACAAACCGATATGTCATTGCTTCAATTAAAACAGGTCTGTTTTCATTGATGCAAATACTTCTTGCTTTTTTTGTTACGTTGTAAACAGCTAGAAAATCATTACCATCAACTCTAATTGTGGGAATTCCATACCCTGATCCACGAGCACCTTATTAAAAATAATATTTTTTGAAGCAAAAATGTAAGCAACAAATATAACTAACTTGCAAAAAAAATATTTATATGGAATGATATTGGATTGTAATATTGGAAAAAGAGCAAAATAATAAACTATTCATTTTACATTTTTTATATTATGTTAATTTTTTATGATTTTTCTAAATTCATATTAAGTTTAAATTAAAATTTTTTATAAATATGTTTTATCTTTAATATAGATTCTATATCTTATAATAATAGACTTAACATATAAGTTAATTTTAAATTTAAAATCTTTAAAATGTGTAAAAATAATCAATTGTTACTGATTCCATCTCCTCTGTATTGATCTTTAACTGGAGTAGATATAGCATAGCCATTATTTCTACTAAACAAAAACAGTTTAAATTTAAAAATTATAACCAATAATAAATAATAATAAACAAAATAAAATACCACAAATATTATAATATAAATATTAATAATACCAATAAATAAGCATTTTAAAACTTGAAAAAAGTACTATTTTTTTAAATTTTTTAAACTTTTCTTAAAATAGTTTAAAATATACTTAATAAATCAAACAAAAACAAACAAAGCAAAAAAAAAAAAAACTAAAATTTTTAATTTAGATTTTCATAATGTATGGAGAATAAATTTTTTATAAATTAAACTTTTAAATTTCTTAGTTGTGTATTTAAAAAAAATCCTTGATAAAAAATGAGAGACATTAAGTCCAAAGTAAACATTTGATATTTTGGTGATTTTTGTAATCCTTTTGCTGTTTTTAAAACAGAATCAAAACACTTTAGGTTTAATGTTAAAAAAAAAATTTTATGCAAATTAATTTTATATTAAAAGAAGCGAAAATTTTATTTTTAAGAAGACAAATGAAAAGTTTGAATCAAATCTGTAAAAGTGCTATTCATTTTACTATTTCCATACCATTATTATTCATAACTAGTAACAAGTGTAAAGACAAAGTATGCAGACAATGATAACTCTGATGCACAAACAAGCCCTTAACAAATGGTGCCAGTGCAGGTCTCAGGCTCCGTAAAAAATTATTGGATATTGCAATTTATTCTTGAGGATATGGATTACCATATATTCAATACTTAAATCAAATGGTTACAGTAGAAACAATATTTTTTACCTCTACTCCCCAATTTCAAAACTCAATTTCAAATTTTTCATCTTGTTTGTATTACACCTTTGGAGCAGATACTGTATTAAATCACATTTATTTCACTAGTTCACAGGGGCTATTTTCAGTTGTAAGTTTTTTAATGCCTTATTTAATGTATTAAAAAATGACTAACCCAATTTACTTGTTTTATTTTTAAACAAAAACAGACACTGTTACAGTTGCATACTAACATAATATGTCAAATTAGCCTATATTATGTTTTTATGCTAGGGCTAATGACAAAAACCAGCATATCAAGATGCAAAGCCACATGCAGAATGTAATAGTAATACTTCACTATTCATTAGAGATCTCTGTTATTCTGTTATTCTGTTAAATCTCCTGTATAAGATTATTATGTTACAGATACAAAAATATCATAACAAATAAAAATAAGTAATAAGCATAAAAATTTATCAAACATACCATATAAATATAATAGGGCAATCTAATGTAGCTGCAAAATTAAAAGCAGCATGTGCATCACCCTCACTTGCAGCACCTTCACCAAAATAGCAAACTGCACAGCTATTAGATTTCTGCATTTTTAATGCATATGCAGCCCCAACCGCTGTAATGTAAAAATATATTTTTCAAAACATAATATATTATTGTAAATAATTTTGTTGATTATGATGACGAGATTTCAAAATTGAGTTTATTTAATTGATGATGATGATGATGATGATGATGATGATGATGATGATGAGGATGATGATGATAAAATTTTTTATCTTATTATCCTCACTCTATTTCACTCATTTATAAATGACTTTTGAAGTAAGTAAAAGTTTAAAAAGAAATATTTACCATTTGGCATTTGTGTTGCAAGTGTAGATGAAATTGTAACAAAATTGTGAACTTTAGACCCATAATGCACTGGCATTTGTCTCCCAAGTCCAAGGTCATTTTCGTTTCCATAACATTGATTCATAAAACTCTCTAATGGAAAACCACGCCACATTAAAACACCTACAAAATAAAAAAGTCATTTTATATTAACCATTTAACCCTTTTGAGATTTAATATTTTAAAATTAAAAAACAATATTTTACCACTACTTTCTTATAACTATAATACAATCTTTTAGGAAATAGTATTATAAATAGCTCTTAGATATAGCTTGTACAGTAACAATAACATGTTATTAAGATTTTTAACCAAGATATTTTAAAATATGACTGAAGATGTAGCTCTTATATTTGCCACTGGTAACTATGATTTAGTTCTTAAATTCAACACTGGTAATTAGAATGTGAGTTTATATATGGCAACTATGATGTAGTTTCTATATTCAACACTGCTAACTATAATGTGACTCATACTTAAATTTCAAAACAAAGACCAAACTTGAGTGTCTTTACAAACTCTTTACAACTCTAGAGATATTTGTTTTAAACTATTTTATCAATACCAGTTATTTATCATGAAACTTTTATTTTTTCAGTGTTATCTTTTCTTTAAAAAAAAATTCATTTCAATTAACTTTTTGTAAACCCTTTGTAAAATTTGCTTAATCATGAGAAGCTTTGCGTCTGACTTTATTCTACTTATATTTATCTGAGTGTATAATTTATATAATGAAAAATTAAAACACTTTAAAACTGAATATATATTGAAATGCCTTAAAGATATTTATGTAACCTTATTTTCTTGCATCAACAGTTTTTAAAACAAACTTAAAAATTTAGAAATAAATATATATATCAAAAATAAAATTCAATAAAAAATTAATAACTGTTTACAATTGAAAAAAAAAATCTATAAAAAAATTTGCAGTTTCAAAGCTCAAAAAACACAAGCATTCTTTGAGCTGCTTTTAACAAACTATGAAACTATGCAGATCTTAATAACATCAGATACCTTGTTCTCTATATTGTGAAAATATCAAATCCACATCATTTAATGCACTGGCAGAACCAAAATGAATTGCTTCTTCACCATAGCATGTCATATAAAATGATATTCGACCCTAGTTAAAAAACAACTATAAAATAATCAAATATCTATTTTGGTTTACATACAACAAATAACCTAAATTTAACAAATTATCTATTTTTAAGATTTTAATTTTAATTTTTCTTAATACAATAGAGTTTAATACCATAAATGTGTTAAAAACGTGATAAAAATGGTTTAATGTTAATCTGGAATTTATTAAAATAATTTCTAAACTTTAACAAACTACTGAATCTCACTTGCCTGTCTTTGTGATTCATAAAGTATTTTATCCATTGAGTTAAGCTGAATCATCATTTTGTAAACATTAACCAAAACACTTTTTTCAACCTATAATTCCAAGCTATTATTTTAAAAAGATTTTTTTAAAGTTATTTTAATTATCAGCTCCATTGGATAAATAAAAAAAAAATACTGAAAAAAAAATTATCCTTTTTTAACCATTATTAGAGTTGGAAGTTACTGAAAGAGAAAAGATGAAGTTTATAGAGCAAGATAATGATTAACAGAAAACTTAAAATATTGCAAATTATTCAAATCAGGAAATCAAGATAAAAGAAGCGAATTCCAAAGAAATGATGTTCACCGAAAAAAACTAGATGAATAAGATTTTTTGGAGCACTTAGGAACACTCTCAGTAAAAGAATAAGACTTAATTCAATGAAGAGTAACATAAGAATGAATTTTAGGAGATGGCAAAAGAGACACTAGGGAATCATTGAATGATGCGCCCCAGATATGACAACAGTATTCCATACACAGATGGATTTGAGATTTATAGAGAAAAATATATATATCCTGAGTAAGAAAGTGTTGAGTACGATAAAGAAATGCAACCTTAGCAGATGCTAATTTTGCAATGGATTTGATATATGGTTTCCAAGAAAGATCAGAAGTTAATCCTTACTTAATAAAAAGAGAAACCCATGCATTAAGAGTACTTTAACTGATGCTAACTGATTGCAATCCATTGTATGTATGGTTTTCATAAGAGTGAATGAAAGTCCAAGAAGACATAAAGAAGAGGACTCAATGAGAGGATTGCCATTGATTGATATTTATTGCCATTTTATTGATATAGAAATGTCAGCAAAATTGTAATAGTTGTTTGCAGTAAATAACTGAGGGCCATTTTAGATGTGGGATTGTCAAATAATTCATTAATACAGATAAGAATCAATACAGAACCAAGGATAGAACCTTGAAGAACCCCAAAAGTTACTAAAAATAAAGTAGAGTGTTAGGATTACTAACTTAATCTCCATTATTTACATAACAATAACTCATTCTTTGTTCTTGACAAACTTAAAAGACAGTATTTATATTGAGCTTAAAAAACCTTCACTTAATATACAGGTAAAAAACTATACCATTATATCATAATTTATAAACATTATTATTTACTTTAAAATTCTTACAAAATTATTGCTACTCAGGCCATTTGAAAATATAATGCATGATATTACAAATGTTTTTTAAATGTGACAAATGTTTTTTTTATATATAACTTAAAAATAACTTAATATATAACTTAACACATTGCTCAAATTTATTAACAAACCTTGGGGTCTTCATCTTTATTCTTAACCTCTCCACTAGCATTAAGAACTTGATAAACTGGTATTCCTTCTTGTTGCAGTGGATCTAAGATTTTTAATGTGTTTGTAATCTTTAGATCAGTTCCTGGGTATAAATCTGGAAACTCCTCTTTGTTTAACTATAAAGTATATAAAATGCATGACATATTTATGCAGTAAATAAAGTATAAAACTCATTCATATCAATAAAATTTTGTTTCACATTAGGATCCTATTCATTTAGTCTGTGCATAACGCAGGTATAATAAATATTAGAAAAAATTTAGGAAATTGTTAAATCAAGAGAAAACTTTTAAAAAAATTGATTGGAAGTTAATAATAATTAAACTTATGAGTTTTTAAAACATAGACTTTTTTAAGGAAATAATACAAGATTTGCAATAATTACGTTTAATATTGTTCAGTAAATAAATCATCTTTAAGTTGTATGAGTACAGTGTATAGTTTACACTGTACTCATACAACTTAAAGTTATTCAGAACATATGACTTAAAGTTTTTATTCAGGAGCTTTAAAATAAATTCAATCGTTTTTAGTTCACAAACAAGTTTTTATATAAAAATATTAGGCGTCTTACATTTACACTACAAATGGATAATTTACGGTTGCCATCGACAGTTGGAAGTACTTTTAAAAAACATGGTTTTTTACATGTCAACCTTTGAGAAAGAATCAAAAAAGAGGATATTCTTCTCGTGGAATGCATATTTCTAGCATAACTCACGTTAAATGATGAAATAACAATAAAACAAATTTACCGGCACTTTTTTCCATTGATGATGTTTGACGTTTGAAATAAATCGCAACGCTTACTTTTTTAAATTAAAAATATATATCGTACCGTCACTTTTTTTTAACTGCCGTTTAACATTTAGGGTAAAGTAGTCCAAGTAAGTATTTAACAGCAACTGTTATTGATTAAACAGCAAAATTAAGGTAAAAGATTTTGATGGCGTCCAAATTTTGAACAATTTCTCAAAATGCTAACCAATAACTTTATTGATGAGTATCAATATCATTCACGTTTATATTCATAATCAAGGTTTTTAAATAGTTTTTGCGGCTTAATTAAGTTTACAAAATAATTTTACGGTTGTTAATGACGTTAATGCTTCATCGGCGGACCTGTAAGAATAGAACTTAAAAAATAAATAAAAAAAAAATATTAATGCAAAAGAGTTCGAAAACTTTTTTTTAATTTTGCTTAAATTAATATGTTACATTCCAATTATATATATATATATATATATATATATATATATATATATATATATATATATATATATATATATATATATATATATATATATATATATATATATATATATATATATATATATATATATATATATATATATATATATATATATATATATATATATATATATATATATATATATATATATATATATATATATATATATATATATATATATATATATATATATATATATATATATATATATATATATATATATATATATATATATATATATATATGTGCTGAAAAATGAAACATTAGCTAGGATTTAAAAAAAAATCACAAGATTTTGTCGTCAGAACCTTATAATGCACAAACAAGCAAAATAAAGACGAGTATGACATATTAAAAAAGATAGTAAAAATTAAAAATAAAAAAGGACTAAAATCCAAGTTGTATAGCAATTTTCAGTACTTTAGAAGTATCTGACTATATTATCAAGTGAAAGAATACATTTTTTTAGGTTAAGCTTTAGGTTAGGGTAATAGGAAGTTAGTATATCAAAGTTCCGCAAAACAATATTATTATATTGGTGGAGGCAACACTAAGCCATGCATAATTGATTAAATTTGGTATGACAAAATGGCTCATTTAAAAAAGTTATGTTTTTCATATCGCGTTTGTTGTTAGGTTTCATTTTGAAAGTTATATTAAAAATGGTAGAGCGTAAATTATTTCTCCATCGCTTTTTTAGCATACGAGTGGAATAGAGTCCATTGGATTGTAATTTACCTCTCGTAAATTACAAACCTCATAAATTTAACAGATATATAAATTATACATACATAAAAAATACAAAAACAAATCATCCAGAGACAAAATGATTTCTTTAAACTTTTTCTTAAAAGAGATTTGGTTTCATCAGTGGCGGATTAAGCTTAAAAGTGACAAAAAAAAAAGGTCCTCTAAAATTTTTGGGGGTCCCTAAATTTGCAGGACCCAGGGCTATAGCCCCCCCTAGCCCCCAATAAATACAAGCATAAAAAATAACACAAAGACAGTAGGCATGATACATGAGTGATACTTAATGAAATACATAATTGTAACTTTGTATTGTCAAATTTCATGTTCTTTTAAATCTACTTCATATTTAAAACACACCTTGCTCATACCGAAAACAATTTATAACTACCATACAATCATTTTGAAATAACTAAATTTTTTCGGCGCACCAATGCCAGTTTTAGCAATGTTTAAATATTTTGCCGTTTATTATTACAATACCTAAACATATTTTACAATTTTTACATTCGTAACGACAGGACTTCTAGAAAATCATGAGGATCTTCTCATGAAGCCCTTTACAATATATAGTTACCCAGCCAACATTGACAGACGGGTACCGTATGGTTTTTGTCTGGGCTTACGGGAACGGGATTTTGACGGGTAAGTGTTTTGGTTTCCAGACGGGTCCCATATGGTAATAAAATCAAGCATATTTGTTCTTTAGGGTTTTATCTGGTTTTTATCAGGGCCGAATAACCTGGGGATTTGACGGGTTTCCCAAAAGGTTCCCAAAAGGTTTAAAAAAAATCATAACAAAACTTACTCGATGGTTGCCATTTTTAATTCGTATTGTGCGTGAAATAAGATTAAAAATTTAACTTTTATGCATTGCATTTTTTGAATCATTATATTTACATTGTAGTTAAAAAAAGGTTTTTTTTTTTGATGTGTTTTGTCACTGTAAAACTCAGTTAAATAGACGTTGTTTTAAAATTTCATTTATTTATTATCATTATAAAAAAAATTTTATATATACATATATACTATTTTTTAAATGAATTTACAAAGTTCAACATATTTGTTGAACATATGTTCCAAAAACTATTAAACATGTAGTAAATGTTCTATTGAGACACTGTTTACATTTTTAAAATGATCAAAATATAAATTTTTGTTTCTGCTAGTCACTAGCAGAAACAAACTTTATATTTTGATCATTTTAAAAATGCAAACTAGCAGCTAGTGATATAATTAGATAATAAATGGTTTGAGTTTAATCAAAATATTAGTTTAGTCAGAAACATTTAAAAAGAGCAAACAGACGAATAGAATGTAATGGATAGGTTATATTTAGGAAATTAAAAGCATTTAAATCGTTTTTACAGATCCACTCTTTTTCATTGATTTTTCTATATTTTATGCAAGCAAAATGACTGATGTTAACGAAGTTTACATCAGTCATTTTACGGTTTCACAACAGCTAGATAAGGATGTTCGTCTAATAATGTAGCTGCATCCAAACATATTAAATTTCATATTAAATTTGACTGTTAAGACGGCATATAATGTTTTTACAGAAAGTTGCAACTTCTCACTGCCCCAATAATCATTCCTTAGTGAAAATACCTTTTCAACAGCAGCATTAGTGCCTAGACAACATAAAGAAATTTCTGTTAAAACTTTTAAATTTTCATGTGGGATACGTTCTACTCTAAAATGCCAAAAGATCTCTACCCATCTTCTTTCAAGTTCTATTTTCTCATTGTTCCATTTCTTCAATTTTTCTTGATTTAAAAATAAATTTACTCTTCCAATTTCTTCAAAAAGAAAATTGTCATTAATAACAATATCTTTTACTTCCTTTATTACAAATTCGACTGCTGAAGAAACTTTTTTTCATTAAATTTTACTATTTATAAGGGTCCATTTAAAACAATTCAATGCTCTAAAGTTCATTATCCATTCTTCGATATATTCATAGCAAATTTTATAAAAATTTTTAACTTCTATTAAAATTTTTTTTTTTCCGGGATTGGAATCTTCCAAAGCGGTCAGTTTATAGGCTTTAATATAGCCTTTAATATTGTATATAGTAGTGTATGTATATATTTTTTTATTTAAATTTGCCTTTAATTTGTTTTTTTATATTTTTGTGCAGAAAATTTTTTCTGTCACTTTATCCTTTTGAACTTATGTGATTAAGTTTTTGTTTTCTCTTACATATTTTCTTACTCATCTTATCTCATTCGTTCCTTTTTTTCTTTTTTTTTTCATTTTTCTTAGCGTTACTCTTATATTTTAAATAGTATTGTTCCTTATACTTCTTTTTTATTACTTGTATTAATGTAGTTTTCTTTCTTTCTTATTATTTTTTATTTTATTTGTTTATTTTATGAAGGTGTCGCACCATTGACTTGTTTTTAATATGAGTGACACCGAACATAAATTTGTAAATTATAATTAAGTTTGTAATTTTTGATTTTATGGTTAATTAACCATAAGCGCATGCGTAGTATGTACAGTAAGGTTTTTGTTATCCTTTTATTTAATTAAATAAATGGATAAAAAACTTTGCTGTAAATACTATGCATGCCTCAAGACTGTCAAGCATGGCGTACATACTGCACATCAAAGATCAGCCTGGGGATTACATATGCAAATGTTGGATCCATCTCTTTTCACAAATGTAATTTTGACATTGTTAGAAAAAGAGGTCTGTAGTATCTATCTATCTCTCCAGGTTCATAATACGGCCTCTCAATTGTGTTGAAAATGGCAGCCATATGTGCGTTCAAAATTTAAATCACTGTCAAACTTGTATCTGGTGTTTGCCCTGTCCTCTGATGTGTTGGAAATGGCTAGCAATATGTGCGCATGAAATTCAAATCACTGTCAAAATAGTTTTAAATATTTAATTAATAAAATTGAAATGAAATAATATTAAAAAAAATGTTTTAGAAATACAAATGAGTACAAAATTATACAAATGAGTACTTTCAGAGTACAGGATTTGAAAAAAGTACGGTTTGTGAAAAAAGAGTAAAAAAACTCAGTAAATGAGAATAGCAGGTCACCTTAATTGTCTACATAGTTTTTTGGTGGATTTCAAAGTTCTTGCAAAAGATGGTTTTATCTATGAAAATATTGAGTTTAAAATCAATCTTGCTGTTATCATATGTGATGCACCAGCTAGAGCATTTGTAAAGTGTATTACAGGACACAATGGTTATAACTGATGTGAATGTTGTGCTTAGAAAGGAGAGTGGTGTGGCAAGATAATTCTCCTACATATTTCACTAATTTTAAGCACTGATTCAGATTTTTTGTCATTAAAAGCATTCTGAACATCTTAGTGGTGTGTTAAATCGAATTAAATTTTGATATGGTGACAAAGTTTCCTTTAGACTTAATGCTTAGGGGTAATGCGAAGATTTCTCAACTTATGGTTAAATTGCCCAAATGTTGTAAATTGTCTCAGATTACAGTCAATACTTTATCTAGCAGATTGTTCCAGATACGTCATTACATTCCAAGAAATTTTTTATAGAAAATCAAGGTCTTAATTAGATATTAAAAAATGGAAAACAACTGAGCTTAGACTATTTATAGTAAACACTGGACCAGTTGTTTAAAGGGAATGGTTTAGCCAAAAATGTATTCAATTTTTTAGATTTTTCAGTTGTAGTTCTACTTTCATAATGTTTCATTTTGTTGAAAAAATATGTTAATTTTGCTTTTCAGCTACTTATCTTTATATGTGAA